ACTGGCTGCGTCAAAAATCTCATATTTCAAACCGGCAGTCTAAATCCCACAGGTATCAACGAACGCTTTTCATTCCACTAATTTATTCGTGTTTTTCTCGTTGCGATGTTCCCACCAATTACGTAGCTCCATTCTCTGCCTTTAAAAGCACACACAACCCAAAATTCCTCTTTTCACTCCGACGAAGGGCTAACGCTCGAAACGTCAGCTTTTATAATCGTAACGGTGGCCAATTTACCATTTCAACTTTGTTGATATATTGAAATAATTTCCTTTAGACTCACGCATATATTACCACCATTCACCATAGGCCACGGATGGATTGGTGCATAAGCAAAGGCGTGTTTGTGTTCCACCTCCGCAACTGGTACTATTGGTCCTAGTCTCCCCATATCGTTCAGCCACCATTCACTTGACGAAAAAATGGTCAAAATACTCTCTGGTCACCGCCATTTTTCCAATATTTTTTACTTATACAAAGCAACATTTCCAAAACGTTTTGTCACGACGGAATATGTGTCTGAGAGATTCTTACCTGGACACGGAACATCATCGCTGCAGTTCTGAATCTCTTCCTTCAGACCCGAACATATTTTTCCCCCATGACCTGCGGGCGGATTGGTGCATGATCTAGAACGCATCTGGGTTCCACCTCCACAAGTGACACTGCATTTGTCCCAGTCTCCCCATGGTGTCCATCCGCCATCCACTGGGCAAATACATTATGATAAAGGTCATGTTTCCAAAATGTTCTCCTCACAAACAATAAAATTTAAAAAAATATTTGTTTTAAAAGTGGTCGTGAAGCCAAAAATTTGTTTTCTGGATACAGAGCGTTTTCGTTACAGTGAGTCATTTCATTCGGCGAAGTCAGGTGTTATTACTAGAGAGCCCGGGTGGGTTGATGGATGAGCGTGGAAGTTTTCTTTTTCCACCTCCTTACGTGTCACTGTGTTTTTCCCGCTCTTTCTATTCACTTGTTTAGCCGAGATTCACTGAACAAATGCTTTTTCTACATTTTGGTAAAAGTTTGTGTTTCCATTATGTTTCATGATACAGAGCAACATATCTTAATAAAAAATATTTGTTGCGGCAAATCCTGCAGCAAATATGTGCTTACCTGGACAGAGAACGTCATGGTTACAGTTCTGGATCATTTCCTTCGGACCCGAGCAATTCTTACCACCATGGGCCACAGGTGGATTGGTACATGAGCGAGAACGTGTTTGTGTTCCACATCCGCAAGTGGCACTGCATTTGTTCCAGTCTCCCCATGTTGTCCAGCCACCATTCCCTTAGCGAAGAAATGGTCAAAATACTCTGTTTTAGGTAAGGGCCATTTTTCCAATATTTTCTACTTATATATAGGAACATTTCCAAAACTTTTTGTCACAAAGGAAAATGTGGAGGTTATTACCTGGACACAGAATATCATCTTTGCAGTTCTGACTCTCTTCCTCCAGACCTGAACATATTTTTCCTCCATGGGCTGGGGGTGGATTGGTGCATGAGCGTAAATGTTTTTGTGTTCCACCACCACAAGTCACGCTACATTTGCTCCAACCACTCCAGGACGTCCAGCCACCATTTACTAGAGTTTAGAAAACACGTCGAGTAAAATTAAGGCTTAAAGTTGTTCCATACGTTGTCTTTTGAACAGCACCAAATTTGAAAGAACAATCCTTGTTTTCTAGTATTGCGTGAATTAGGGAGGGGAACCTGGAACAGAGGGCCATGCTTACAGCTCTCAGTTAGAGCTGTAAGCTTCATTGACAAATTGGACGAACCGGGCATAAATTTGAAGAGATTGAAGAAGTGAAAAAAATGACGACAGACCAGGGTGTTTGGGAGCTTTTGAGTCATTTGGGTTTTGAGTCATTTGTAATGTAGTCTGTAACATTATTATAAACCGAAAGGGTTTTTTAAACCCTTTTGATTAACGCTACTTAAAAGTAGAGTTATGATGGAAAAAACGCGGTCGATTGATTTCCACCAATAAAAAGATACATCATCTGTTCTTCAGGCCTTTTAAGAAATGTTTACCTGGACAAAAAACGTTATCTTTGCAGTTCCGGATCACCTTCTTCGACCCTGCACAAGTTTTACCACCATGCGCAGCGGGTGGCTTGGTGCACGATCGAGAGCGCGTTTGTGTTCCACCATCACAAGTCACGCTGCATTTGCTCCAATAACTCCAGGACGTCCAGCCACCATTAACTATTAAAGAAACCACATAAAAAAGTAATTTATAGTTTAAAATTGTCCACGCATGTAACTTAAGTGCACGGCTTAGAAACAATACGAGACAACCAGCGGTTCCTATCATCAGTGTTAATTAAACGATGCCCAAAAACATCACTAGTGGTCACTATTGAGGAACACTTTACCTGGACAGGGTATGACGTTGCATTCTTTGGTTTGACTGTTACCGTTCTCCGGACACAGGAGTCCCACGCCGACAGGGAGAGGGTTGTTACAAGTCCTGTGTCGTGTTTGTTTGCCTCCACCACAGGTCTTGGAGCAATTTTCCCATACTCCCCAGCAGCTCCATCCTCCGTGAACTTAAATAACATCAAAATGCGAGAATTACAATATACAGTTAGCGAGAAGACACTTCTAAACATCACTCTCTCTTTCTTGCGTTGACGGAAATGTCAGGACATTTGGGGATAATTCGTGGATTTTAGAAAAAGCCTCGTAAAAAAGAAAATGTGCTGACAGTAAATAGCAAAAGAGATGTTTTACGGGTTAGTGGACATAGATATGATTCAAACGTTCGAATTTTCCTTTTCATTTCTGTAATTCCCTTCCTAAAGGTATTATTATGTATTGATACAACCCTCGCACTGCTGGAGTCAGGTTTGCCCGTGATGGATCGTGGATCTAGTTCAGGACTACTGGGACTGTGTAGTTATCTCTCTTGGCACAATACTTTTGCAGAGTGTCAAGAAGGGAGTCCACGTTATGACACATACAGATGTACTACGAAAAAAGTTTAGCCTGTTTCAGGTGTTCCGTTCGTAAAACAGAGCGCGATGGTAATCAACGAGATTGTGACGAAGGAGTGAAAAAACGAGGGAAGATTGGGTCGGGTTGCGTAATGGAAACGACCCAACTCTAACCTCCGTCGTTTTCCTTCTGCCCCCCCCATCGTGTCGTGTATTATATCACTCCGTTTTACCAACCGTTTTACTAGCCATGAACGCCTGGAACAGGCTAAAAGAAAATGCTAAATTGAAGTGATTGCGTAATGTAAAAGAAATTACTACACACAAACCTTGTTGGCAGCATTGTCCACCATAACGGGGCAGACATCTGCATGTTGTTTTTTCCAGGGTACCTCCATTGTGACAGTAATGATTACAGCCGCGAGACTGCTTCAAGTCAAATGGGCAAACACCCCCACAAACTGGAAGCTTAACAACCTTATGGAATAAGAATCAAGAAGCAGATTGGGTTTCGAAATGGATAAAGCTCAAAGTATAGGTGCCCGGTTTTCCCTATGGTTACGGGTCTCATGTATCTAGGCGGGGGAGGGGGTTCCTGGTAGGAAAATGACACTTCATAGATCACCATTATACTGACGTCAATTATTCTTCAATAAGAACATAAATATTACAACTCCGTGAATTATTTGCTAAAGTTATCGTTATTCGTATTTTCTAACCATGCAAGGTTATCAAAACAATTTGCCTTAAAATCCTGGCTCTACTGCTTCGTAAGGGTTATTAAGATTCTCACTGTTCTTGAAGCCCTGTGTAAATTTATGTGATCTGCTTGCCGCTCAGGATAAACTGTCGGTACGCAATCCTGGCCCAATCCTTCTCATTTCTCAGTTTTATACTCGACATGTTACTTCTAATACAATTTGGTTTCCTTACTTCACTCATCAGGAGCTAAAAATGATTGTAAAGTTCAGATTTGCCATAGGCACCCGTAAAATGATTCGAGAAACAGCCTACCGTTCTATTGCGTATCTGCACTCCGCTTGTTCCGCAAGCTACTGAACATCTACTCCACGCGTTCCACTGAGTTACCTCACAGTGTTTCATGACATGACAATGTTTTCGCCGAGATTTTGTTGGCTTTCGAGTGGTTGGTTTGCGTGTTGGTGGTTTTGTTGTCTTGTAGCCTATCCTGCGTCTATGTGATTCGACTTTATGAGTGGTTAGCAGAACGTGGACAAATAGAACAAGTAGCAGGTAGGACTTCTTCATTTCTAACACTATGAAACCTGTTCGTACGCTTCACCTTTGCATATGTATGTATCAGTGCAGTGTCTAGTTGACAGTTGGTTCAAAACGACACGCGACGGCACAATTCATTCACGTAGCTAGGCTTCTAGACGCTAATACTGTTTACATAGGACAAAGGTAAGATTGAGGAGACCATTATAAGCCGCTCAGCACAACAGAGACCTTTTCCAAATATTTGCTGGGGATTCAGACAACTTAACACACAGCTGGCTGAACGAATCTTAGCTGTAGAACACTTGGGCATCAACTACAGTAGATCTACGGGACAAACCAACTAAAGTATTTAAAAAATAAAGTATGCCACTCCCATGTCTATTATAGCAAACAAAGATACGGCGGATTTGCATAAAAAAGAAATATCACATTGCTTGTTTTCTATTTGATCTAGCAAAATGAAAAGAAAACTCTTAAGGTGACAGCCGTAATTTCTATGTTGATTGTTTGACGGGTTCTTTTTATTAAAGTTTTGTAGAGCCTCACTACTCTCCATAGTGTCTTCATCTAACTCTAATGAACAATTCTTAGCTAGCTATGGATATTTGAGTCTGGATTTTAGGAACGATCATCTTCATAATGATTTGAAAGACCCTCGTTTATTTCACTTTCACTTGAATTTTCTCAGCTTTGCACTCTTTCTTCTTGGTAACTTTTTCAAGTTTCGGTAGATGTGCGCTGTTTATGGCTTTTACATTTTTTTTTAGATGTTTAGCTGTCCTTCATCTTTAGTTTCAGTAGCAGAAGCCTTATTAGTTGGTTTTACATTTTTGTTCATAACGAGAACTAGACGAGACCTCAAACTGCAAGACTCTCGAAAGAATACTTTGTCCTGCAGGACTTCTCTGCCCTGTAAGCTAGAAAAGCAACACCGCTTTGTGTCTAAAAGTATTTAAATAGGTAAACTATACGGTAAAATTGATTATGATCTCTAGAGACAATTTTTCTCATTGAAAGTACTCAGTTGAATAAACTTCAGGGTTCTGTTTAATACAGGTAACTTATTACTCATTTGATTCTCATAGTTTCGTATTAACCAGGAAAAAAAAACACTTAATATGTGAATCCTTAAATCCTCAGTAATGTTTACAGTGCCATCACCAGTATCATCTCCATCCTCATTATGATAAGGTGAAATTGTTGATCATGTCAAGTTCTACAAAATTCAATTTTGCGTATTCCAGAATAATCAACAACCATACGGCATGAGCGCACGATAGATATCAGCTGAGAGCCACAATGGCGCCATCCAAATTACGCAAATAACTGAACCGGTTCGTTAACGACACGTCTATCACAAAATCTGCGAAACACACTCACACAAAAGAAAGATATTGTTTGTCCTGCTTTACGAGGTAAAGGTAGGGATCCCTGCGCATCAGTGGCATGCTCTGTGGGCTTATCAAAACTTAGCAATCGCGATGTAAAAGTGAAGAATATTAAGAAGTTTCGTCCTCCAACGTCCGTCTTAAAACGAATCCAAAAAACGGCTCCATCTTCGACATTCTATTACAAACTTTTGTAACCAAAAATCTTAGTTGGGGTGACTAAATTTTTTAACGCCAATTCTTTGATTGATCGTAACTTCCACACTTTTATCGCTGTTTCTTCTAATACAGTCTGAAAAATGCTAAGTCACTTTTTGAACATGTGTTTATTTTTAATTTTTTGTTCAACATCTTAGGTCATCATAGCAACATGACAGTCTCTTGGAAACACCCTTGATTTTAGCTTTATGTGCCTGTAACTCACAAAGGAGTTTAGTGAACCCCATCTTTTATTGTTGCACTGCTAACAGCATAATATACTAAGATTCATCTTTCCACAAAATTCAATGAAAATACTCAGCGTCACGTTCATTTCTAGATAATTTTGAATGGCTTAATGACTTGCAGAAAGATAAAACTTGATATGTTTAAGGCAAATCAAAAATGAAAAAAAAAAAAAAAACAAAACAAAACAAAAAGGCGACATGGGAATTATTAGCATCTAAAATCAAGGCAAGGTACCTAGCACGCATTGGAAATTTTTACAAACTTCTTGAGAGTATTAGATTTTTGTTGTTTCACCAGTTGACAAATATGCAAACTTAAGCATTCTACAAGATTACTGTTTTTAACATTTGTTTAAATGTTGCCATTCTCTGGTGTGCACTAGCTCACTGAAAAAGTAACAATATTTAAGGCAAAAATTAAATATTATCATAGTGTGTGAATCTGGTCAATATTTCAAACTATCATGTTGAGCTTAATGTCAAGAACACAATGATTTTCCTGCATGCTTTGGTTTAGATGTTTCATCAAGTAAAACACCAAACAGAGACTTAAGAATCACTTGACTTTTTATGTCTGACAATCTCAAGAAGTTTACAGGATCCTGTGGAAATTGTTCACAAATTCCCTTGGTGCCAAGTATATCACCACAGAGTAATTTCTTACCCAAAACACAATTCCTATTTGGCTTTGTCCTTTTTGCCTTTGGATTTTTTCTATATGTTAAGGAAAATTGGTGTATACCAATAATGTATTGAAAAGTACCCAAAGATGATAATAAAACAAAATAAAAGTCAAGAACAAGGTTGTCTGCTTGTTGTAAGTGAAGCTAAGTTAACGCAATCTCATCTAATGCTTCTCTCTAAAAGCATTTTTTTGCATAAAATTTACACATAAGTAATGAAAAATTACACTACATGTATGTCAACAGAATAATGCATGCATATATTTATACTTCTTCACATATTTACAACTTTCAAGTTAACAATTTACAATAGATGCTAAGAGTACTGGTCATTGTAATCATGTCAATACTGTCTAACACTAGCATGGTCAAAGGGTACACTATACATACATACATACATACATACATACATACTTTATTTAAGGTATCAAAGAATAAACAACACAAATAATACCCTAAAAGGAGGTTTAAGAGGTTAACCCTATACTGTACAACCAACATCATGAGGTAGAGTCAATTCAATTGTACAGATAAATTTAAGAAAAATTTTATGTTTTTAACTGGAGTTGCATGAACCCGAGCTCTTACATGTGTGACTTGAGACCATGACTGACTAAAACAGTATTTAGTCTGACCAAACCTGAAACTGTTTCCTTATGGTTTGTAGTAAGTTTGAAGAGAAAAAAGCTTAACTTCAAATATAGGGAAACATGAAAATCCTGCATTTCACTTTACAACCTTTTTCAGGAATATATATCAACCAATAAGATACAGGGTATTTTGCTACTCATATACACCTCTTGCCTTCATGTACTGACAGAGAAATTTAAGCTAGTTCATAGACTATCGTTATTATCTTGGAGAAAACATTTCAGTGAGAAAAGTTAGTTTTGTATTTGCACAAATACAATGCAAAAACATCTTCAATAACATCATTAGAATTTCATTTTTCTCAACTTCACAGTCTTTCATTTCTTTGGAAAATGGTACTACTAATTAGATTTCCGCTACATTTTCCGAAATTCTTTACTAGCAAAGACAAAGTTTCTGAAAAAGGGTATTGTTGAACAAATCTTACATACTTTTAGGCTACAAACTAAAAACTGTATTTCACTTCTACCCAATCAGCATCAAAATTTTTTTCATGCACATCATCAGGATTGTAATTGTGCACATGGAATAACACATGTTTAACATGAATATTTCTCAACCAAATGGTTTTCCAAAGATGTTATTGTTCACCTACAAATTAAATACAATCTCTCTTTTCCATCAACGAAGCTCAAAAGGTGTCATAAAATTCCTTATCTCAGAACTAAAATGTATAAATTGTTAATTTTCAAACCAGTAAACATGAAAATTACAAAATTCAGATTGGTTAACATAATAATTATACTAACTACAATAATATTTATCAACTATCTTGGTATTAAAGAGGACATGACAGTCAACTCTTCAATTTAACCAATGGAACACTTTTAGTTGCAATACAGTTGTCACAGACCCACTCTGCATTCTCCTCAGCAGTTAGCAAGTCATAAGCTAATTCGGTCAAGCCTGTGCAGACACGGTGATACCACTGGGCACAGCCTGTCTCACAGAATATGGCATCATCATTATCATTTACTTCCCTTTTACAAATGCCGCATGGATACACTGGATCAATTTTGAGGCTTGGTCTGTTCATTCCTACAGTGGTCTAAGGAAGTAATGAATTGTCATAAGAATACAGTCAAACCAACTCTGATGCAAGAAAACCTCCTTTTTTTTTTTTTTTTTTTTAAAAAAATTTAAAAAAACATAAAACAAACAAAAAACAAACTAAAACAAAACTAAAACAAAACTAAAAAAAGCAAAACAATAACAACAACAACAGAAGAAACAAAAAAGCTTAATAGTTGGCCTCAAGCCCTTTCTCATTTTATCTCATCCTTCTGGTAGCCAATCAGGACTCAGTTGACATTGCCTGCTTGGGGACATAATGCATATGACCACCAATCGTAAGGTGAACTGTGTCTATAAATGCACAATAAACCCACACAAGAGGTTATAAACTGCTTATAATCTCTTACACACAAGGGTCATTTATTTTTTCTTTGTTTAGATTGTCTTCTACCATTTTTTGCGACTTCATTGCAACACTGTACAAAAGTTATCAACTTTGTAAGTCTGCTCCACACACTTTTTCCTTGGGCAAGATCAAAGTGGGCAATCCTGAACACAGCGACCATATTGCCTGCTCCCGTAGCCAATCAGAACACAAGATTTGCTTCATATTGGCCATGGGCACTGCCAGCTATCTAATAATAGAACGTATATTCTTCACCCCAAAATATGCTTCAAAATTGTTTGTTTAAGTAACAAAATTTAAACTCGTGCGACTAGTAACCAATTGCAAATAAACATCAACAAGTGTATCCATTCTGAATTTGTAGATATACAATACCTCGGTAGGATGTGTATTTGATTCTGTGATAAAGGCGGGAGGTACACCAAAGTGTTGCATTGATGTAATAGGGCTGGCAAGATCTGATGAGCCAGAGCTTTCCTTTCCCTGTTTCTTTTGAGGACTCTCAGGGTTAGATCCACTGCTTTCTCCTTCGGCCTCTATTTCATCAGGATTAGCACCATCTGCCAGGTAAAAATTTCCCCAAATTTTTATATTACACCATGAACGCTTAAACATGGACAAAGAAGAGGAACAGAAACCTTCATTAGCTTTAGTCTAAGCTTATACTTATGGCTGAGTCTAAAACGATAACCCTGTGTAAAATTTGTGTATATAGCAAGTCTACAAGAAGATAATTACACTGTCGGGATATGAATCTCTAACCTCTAAACCTTGCTGGAACCTTCCTTTGGCGAGGCATTCCTCTGCTCTACCAAGACGACGCTAACGAAATCAATATGGCGGATTGTTTATCGGGATTATTGGATAAAATGTGTTACGTTACACAAACAAAAATATAATCATGGGAATAACCACTGACCCAACAGCTCGGGTATAGCTAAGATGGCGGACGAAGATCGAAAGCGACTGTCGTCCAAAACTTCTTCATATCAATCACAGGTAGAAAATCTTGTCTAAACACTGAAAGAAAAATTAGCATATAGGCTTATGAATAACATCATTTTGTAAACATTGATTATCCAAGCTTCTTAGTCCAGATATGCTCCCTTTCCAACCAAAAAGGCACTCAAAGAGTTATTCGGTTATATCCTTGAAGAAGTTGTCCAGGGAGAGGATACGATTGACAGGGAAAGCTAGATGGAAGATGGGAGTGGAAACACCAAACAATTTGAGTATGATGGCAGCTCTATCGTGAAATGATAGATTTTAAGTACTTAGAAATTGTAGCCCTCACCACCCAAATTAAATCTCCTGGGACTGATTGAGAAGTCAGGCCTTGAGAGTTGGAGATGTTGTGCCCCTTAATTGATGTAAACGCAAGTTTCTGCGAATTTCATTACAGAAACATACTTGAATAACCTCTATGCATTGGTATGGGTTTACGGTCAAGATGCTGGCGGTCAGTATAATGCCAGGAAACCGAGTCATGTCGCCTGGAGTTTTAGTCATGTCACACGAACAAAAGAGTCTGGTCACTTGTAAAAACGCCAAAATGGCATATTTTTAGATAGTGCTGAAGGTACCAATCAATCGAGACACCCTTTTGGTGTATTTACTTATTTACCAATGCTACAACAATAAAATGTCACAGAACTTCAATTTCAAACCTTTAAATTTCTCTTTATATACCGGCATACCAAAATGTTCAAGGTCCCTGAGAACTGTTCTTAAAAATTTCAATTGAGACAGATAAAACCAACATAAACAATGTTTATTATTTTAATTCAACCTATGACAGCATATTGCAAAAGGGTTATGCGAGGGAGAACTTTCCCTAATCACCTTAGTTGTATACACCACTTTCATAAATGGCTGCCGGATTGATATTCTTTTTTTTAAATTCAAATTAACCTCACTAGCCTCGCTTGAGATAATGTATTCTTTTTAATTTTGAACTGGAGAACGAGGCCAGAAAGGCTAATTTAAATTTAAACAAAAGAATATTAATCTGGCAGCTATTTATGAAAGTGGTCAATACTAGCAAGATAAATCCTAACATAATCCTATCGTGAACTAAGTCCTGTGTAACATAATAAAATAAACTTATCTAATGAATCAGTACAGATTGATCCATGTTAGGTGGGAGCAACTTTTAGTAGTCGTCTTATTGAAATTTACTTTCTTCATATATTCTTTGATTGGATCAAGACATATATGCAACCACCAGAGGGAAAAGGACACAACTATATAATTAATGCCCATTCTGTTTTTTTTCCTTTGTCCCATGCTCATGACTAGACGAATAACATCTCTCCATATTTCTTTATCAAGCTCAAAACTTACCATCTTTCTTACTCTTTACAAAACATGACACTTGGGACATTGTCAGTCCTAGCAGTATGCAGGATGCATGTCAAATATGAACTTTGTAATGGACCTTGCTCACCATAGAGTCTCTGGGCTCAGTGGTAGAGCATAGGAATGCAGAATCAGAACTTGTCTTAGGTTTAATTTCTTATGGGGACTCAGAAATTTTGCTTTGTCCCATGCTTGTGACTTGATGAAAAACATTTTTAATTAACATCCATTTGTGGGACAATCAACATTTGTTTGTGCTTTCTTCTTTTTATTTGTTATTATTACAAAGGTCACCAATAGTCACAAAAGAACTTTACGTATGTTTTACTTGCTTGACTTTAACTAATTTGTCATATGGGGCAATCAATATCTGTTTCCTAGGATTTTGATCATCATTGAGTGTTTGAAAGGGTGCCAGTCTACCAGTGGTTTAAGAACAAGCGGATTCCCATTGGGTATGAATCGACAGAGTCTGAAATTTCTGTGGGTACGAAACAAGTAAATACCAAACAGACAGTACAACTCTGCATTCTGTTATAGAAACAAATGATGCTTCCCTTTGTTGTTAGAAACAAACATAGCCTTTAGAGTTTTTACTCAAGCATATTTCATTTCTAACCATATGATTGATTTCTAAGTCTTGATGGTGTTCTTAGAGTCACCAAGATAAAATTTCTCAAACTTGCGAAGTCTGTGAGTATGAAACAAGTACATACCCAATGAACAATGCTTCATTTTGTGGTTAGAAAACAAACAACTTTTTTAGAATTGTTACTCAGACATATTTCAGGTCTGACCATATGATTGATCTCTGTGTAGTCAAAGTTTTCATGGTGTTGTTAGAAACCAAGGTAGTGTTTCTCAAATTTAGGAAATGTCTGTGAGTTTGAAACACATACCAAATGAACAATGCCTCTTATCACTTTGTTGTTAGAACGAACAACATTGTTGTCAGTGGAACATTCTTTGATCATCATTTGTTGTAATAAAGAGCACTTAAGATTACTCAAATTTATTACCTTAATATACAATGTGTTAGTCTGATCTTTTAACTATTGTTTCTTTGGGCAGTTTAACTTTGCTTTTTAGGCTGACATGAATAAAATTTTGGGCGCATGACTCAGGGTCTGGACCACATGACTCTGGGTGAGATGACTTCCAGGCGACTTGGCTGGTTACCTTTGGAATGTCATTAAGTTGTTAAAATTTTGCATTCTGAAACCTGATTTGATAATTAAAAGAATGAATTTTTACTGTAATTCTTTGATTTTAGTGCAGAGTTGAATGAGTTTCAATCTACATGTTTTACTGGTTTATTTTTTTTTTTTGATAATTTGCTTGAACAGGAAGTATGGAAGCTTTATGACTGCATCTTGATTAAGAAACCACCTGGATCTGTCCTAAATGCCAACTCTGTAGAGGTGAGTAAGTGCTGTGAATGGTGAAGACACAAATAACTTGGTAACCTATTCATTCTATAGATGCAATTTCAGTCAATCAAGAAATTTGCATGTTCAAACATTTGTTTCTCATGAAGTGCTTTATGTCATTATGCAAGCACTCTTACACATACCAGAAAGGAACCAGGTCCAACAAAGTTAATTTGAAGCACATGTTTAAACCAGTAGTTCAAATTATTCCTTTCATGCTTATGTGTACTGGTAACCATACTAAATGTGGTACAACTAATGAGCACTGTGTTTTCTCTCTCAGATTCCTGAACTGAAGTTATTATGGGAGCTGACTGGAGATTCATCAGAAATTTTAAGCAGATTGTGTTGTAATTGCTTGGTAGAACTAGTTGTTGATAATCATGCTGAATTGGAATACATCTTGAGAGGAGTATTAAGTGTTGCTCCATCTGCAAGGTGGGTCTTTACACTTACAGCCAGGTTTCCTCAATGTTCCATGATGTGTCTTATGCAGCCAAGATAAATCAAACTTTCTCCAGATGTTGTCATTGTATACTTGCATGCAAGCTGATTCTGTGTCAAAGGGCTAGAGAAGCTTATTCTGCAAGAGAGCAAAGTCCTCTGTAGAGGATCCAATCATGATCAACGATGCCTTTAGAGTTCCTAAGATTTCTGATGAATCCATGTATCCAATGCTCTCATTTTTCGGAAAACATTGCATTCATTCAAGCTAGTTTTTTTTATGATATAAATTTTAGAGAAAGTGGCATGTACGGCTGTGATATCTCAAAAGTCATGCTAGCATGAGATATTGAGATATTGAGATATTATTGAGATACTGAGCTTGAGATATTGTTTTGCGAGCATAAGCTAGCTTGAGATACAGTTGTGTGTACCTGTTGAAGTTTCTGATCCACAGGTATGAGGGTTGGCAAATACCATGGAGAGCCCAAGGTTTAAGTTTCCCTTTTATTGCCATAGGCTTGAAGTTAACCTGTGTTTTTGGTTACATTGCTCAAGCCACTAACCGTACAAGCTGTGATCTTGACCTCTTGGGGTTTTTCTCTAAAATACACAGAAATCTGGTCGGTATAACAAAAGCCTTGAGTTGTTTGCTCACCTTTCAAGTTTATAAATGTACTACAGCTGGTATGGATTATTTCTGCCCTTTTTCCTTGAGGTAAGTGCTGCACATATGGCATTGAACTCAATTGATTTTATTAATTCTTTTCCATTGAAAGTTATTTTCATACATTGACACTGTTAATGATAGGCTTTTTGTGAAATGGGTTGAAGTTTCACAGAATAAAATCTTTTGACTGGGTATTTTTATTGGATCTACATATATTGTAAGATATGCTTACTGGTAATGTAATTTGAATTCAGTAGAATATTTTAGTGAGGCAAATGTTATCCATGCAGTGGTTTCACCAGTGGAATGAGGGGACCCAAGGGAAGTTGTGGGGGATTGCCAGGAGCTACTGCACAATTTGTTTGGCGGCTTTGTATTTGCTTTGTTTCCCTCCCTTCCCCTTCTCCTACTTCATGATATTAAGTATTCACTCCACACAGGGGTTTGTCAGTGTTTTGATGATAGGTACATGTACCTGGCTTGGTTGTTATAAGGACCTAATGTAACTGTGAAGGTGATTGCTGCCCTCCTCCAATGCGATTTACAACAAGTTGCAAAATGAGTTGAGATGTGTTGTGATGGCAAGAGATAATTTTTCACCATGTGATCCAATGTAATGTATTCCCCACTCCCCCTCTTTGCAATGATGGTAGCTGAGGAGTATCGTGTTCAAAACTTTGATGAACACCATTGAACGAGGGAAGGGGGGGGCAGTATTTAGTTTTTGCACTAAATTACTTCTTGGCCATCTGATGAAGTAGGTAAATGCTCTCTTTGCACAAGGTGTCTCAACATTTTTGCAACTGGTTGTACCTTTACTGTTTATCTATACATATACTCCTGACCAATACTATAATATAATGACAAATGTGTTTTAGATATCTAGTTAACCTACCACATGACATTAATGTGGAATCTTTTTTGTATATGTAAGATGAATCTTCTCTTATTGTGGAGAAGGTTCTTGTAATTAACAAGTTGAGTGCACAAAGTTTGCACTTTTTATGGTACATGTAGATAACTATTACTGAAAATAATGATATACATGTGACATGTGGAGTGTTTCTTCATTTACCTGACCGTCTATCTGTCTGTGTTATCAGGGCCTCTCCCCACCCATTTATTACACTACTGATAAGTCGTCCTGAAGGTGCAACAATCCTGATCCAAGAAGTCAATGTGTTACTTGTAAACAGTGTTAAAAGGTAAAGCTATACTTAAAATCACCACCCAACTTTCCTGATGTTGTGATGTTGTGGCAAGTCCTGTATCTTTTGAACCATGCATGATCATCATTCAGTTTTTCCTTATTGTGCTCCAGGTACTAGATCACTCAGCTCCATTGGTCAGACTTTAACTTGCCTTCCTTTCAGCATCACATTCAGCCTAAAAACAAGTTTGAAATGGTGTTAACCTGGTTACATAAATCTGCTTATTAAAATATACTTTTATTTAGCAAAAATGTTAAGGGCATTTTGCAGAAGTCTGTTCCTAAATTAAATAAAAATGTATGTTCATAGGTAGAATCAGAAATCTGGTTTGCTTTTGGTTAACATCCAAATTCCCCCTTACCCTCTACATTTGTTACAGACCCTTTTTCCGAGCTTCCCCTTCCAAACTGGAAGTCATCACTTAGAACAGATGTTGGCAATTAAAAAATTGGAGAAACACAACAGAAGTGCAACATCTTGAGAGTAAAATCTGAATTTTTCACAGTTCAGGGCTTGAAATTAATGGTATCCCGTTAACCAATAGTTAGTAATTTCCAATGTTTGGTTACTAAAAATGTGTCCAACTAACCTGACATGGTTAGTAAAATTTTCTAACATATTTAAACATTGGTAGACCTCAGGACAAAGAGCATGTATTCCCGACTCTCAGAGGAATACTTAGAATACTCAAGTTGTTTAATCAACTTAAACTCTTTTTAGAGAATGTACTGTAGATGTACTGTTCTTGACTAATCATGGCAAACGAGAGGGAAATAAAATTGGTGCATAATTGTTAACGTTTTTAAGGTCACCATGCAATTTTAGCTACTCTTTAATTTGTCCTAGTTGTTATTATCAAAATGTTCAATATTTGAGATATTGTAACTTGTGAGCTTGGATACCAAACTTTATAATTTGGTTAGTGTTACGGTATTTTCCAAACTGCCAGAAAGATACAACTTGTACTAACTCAACCACTTTATTGACTGATGTAATAACTATGGAGCGATACCAATAACTAATACAATAACTATCCTTTTAACTTGGAGCCTTCTATAAATACTATAGCTTCATTATCAGTGCACTACTGCACAACTCACTTTTAAATGCACTCGTGCACAATGCAAAACGTGTCCTTTCAATCACAACGCTGATAAAATATCGGGACCCAAACGATCCATTAAGATCACCAATCACTTCATGTGCACCTTTGCCAATGTAATAACTATATTGCATAACTTGTACTCATTGCAAAAAGATATATATGGGTGAAACAGGCAGAAGACTAGGTGACCGATTCAGAGAACACGCTCGTGACGTGGAAAAAAATGACAAGGACACATCGAAACCAGTCGCTAGACACTTTAATTTACCTAACCATTCTAAGCAACATATGGCATTCTGCGGTCTTTCCTTACACTTAGGTAGCACGGAAAGGCGTAAAACTCTTGAACAAAAACTCATCTTTTAAACCGGCAGTCTAAATCCCACAGGAATCAACGAACACTTTTCATTCCACTAATTTATTTGTGTTTTTCTCGTTGCTATGTTCCCACCAATAAGGTAGCTCCATTTTCTGCCTTTAAAAGCACACACAACCCACAATTCCTCTATTCACTCCGACAAAGGGCTAACGATCAAAATGTCAGCTTTTGTAATCGTTACGGTGGCCAATTTACCATTTCAACTTTGTTGATATATGCAAATAATTTAGTTAAGGGTGGATCATTGTGCAAAAAAAAAAAAAATAAGTGTATGAGACAACTGGCAAACATGAAATTTCTCAGAGCTGAGGAGTTTGTATTTTCTTTTTCCTTTTTTTTTTTCAAGAGAGACACTAGGCTGTGCATTTGTTTTAAAATACAAAGTGTAAATTGATTGAAACCATAATTTGGGTGGGTTCAGTTAACATAAACAATTAAGAAATTGTAGCTATTTTTGGGGTTGATTATGAAACTGTTTTTTGTTCTTTGGAACTTCCTATTTCACATTATCCTATAGATATTTTCTATTCTCTTTGAACAGATATCTCAACTGTGATCCTCAATTTATTCTTCGGATGCTGGAATCATTTTTCAAGTTTGTTCTTTTGGATCCAAATGTCACGGTTAATTGGTTTACTAGGCAGCAATTTTTAACAACTCTCTTGCAAACAGCCAGTGTTATACTGCAGTGTACAGGTATGTCTAAATTTTATTGAAGTGTTAACCTTAACAGTCTATTTTCCTCTAGCATAAATTTATATCTTTATATATTCAGCATATACTGATATCCTCATATATTAACAGTCATTTATAGATTTTCTTACTGGGGTGATTCATTATCATTTAAAATAAGATCGACTGGGCATTACTGCAGTAAAATCAAAATGTGAATCCCTGCCCAGAATGTAGACACCTATGACCAACTCAACAAAAATGAGCTTTTGAATGGGGTTGTAATAAATCAACAGCAGTCAAGGTTCCAACCAGCAAAAAGCACCAAATATATAAAAACTTCCACAACTGCTTAAGGAAAGTCAGGCAATGAATTGTGACAACTCTATCAACATGCAAGGCACAAACTTGCTAACCCTGCATGTATGAATGAATAGTTATCATGGAAATTAAATTTCACGAGGATTGAAATAAATACTTTGTGTTGTATAAGATGCTACTTAACTTAGACAAAATAGTATAAACATTCCTTGAGCAGCTTGTTGCCTAATTTTTATTAAATGCATATGAATGGTGTCCTGTAGACTTTGAGATTGTCACAATAACATATTTTAGATTGAAGCTACTCTAACAAAACTGTATTTCATAACAGAATGCTGCAAAATCCACCTGCAATATGTTGTCTTCTTGAGTTCACTCGATAGACTGGAACAGGCTCAATTTCTTTCTGCATGAGATAACATGTTGTATTGACTACATTGAACTTTGTTTCGTTCTAATAAAGAAAAAAATCACAATCATGAGGAAGTTGCTGAAAGAAAAAAGCTTGTTGAGGATATTGTTGATTTATTGGCATCTCTTGTTCCCTGCTTCCAGGTCAGTTTAGAATCAGTGTGGTTATATAGATATGTAACATCAACCTTGTGAAAATATGTAATTAAACATTTTTGGCAATTAAGCAATTGATTACAATGGATTCTTTGAGAAAAGAACATTTCTTTGTGGCTCCTCAAGAGCGGAAAGGTCAGTAAGCAGATATGTGATCTGTCCTATAAAATTAATTACAGTACACATGTATTCTAAAAATGTGGAGTATTAAGGTTCAAAACTATGTGTATTTACAAGAACAGTCTTCTTCAGTTTAATTGGCATGTCTTTGTCATTCTGATGTACATTCATAATACTGGAAGTATGAATTCCTTCCATTTGCCTTACTGTAGAACGAAGGTAACATGTATTTAACAAAGTCTTATTGGACTATTTGAACAAGTGGGACCACTTATTTGGACCATATGAGGTAGTTACACTGGACCATTTTATCAGTTGGATCATTGTATCTTGTAGATAGACCATTTTAACCGATTGAACCATTTCAACCAGTGGGTCAATTTTATCTAGACCATTTTAAGTGGTAGAACCATTTTATCTAATAGATCATTTTAACCAATGGGACAACTTTGACCAGTTGGACTCTTTAGCAATACCATTTTAGATTGGAAAATTTTATCAAGTTGCCTAATTTTAACCAATTGGAGCATTTTAACAAGTTGGACCATTTTATCTTCAGTTGGTAGACTATTTTTAACAGGTTGGACATTTTAACTAGTTGACCATTCTAACTGGTTGGATCATGTTAACCAGTTGAACAATTTCTCCAGCAGAAACATTTTATTAATTGTCTAATTATTTCTAATTAGACAATTAACCAATTGGACCATTTTAACTGACTGGACATAGATATACAAGTGTGGTGTTTATACTTAAATAACCACTGAGGCTTTCAATGCAACGTAACGATATTTAATGAACATGTAAGACCATAACCGACTACATCTGTAACTCATTCTCCTTTAGACCGCGTGTGCAATTCCACACACTGATTGACTGCTGTCAGAAACACTACATCTCTCCCCTTCTTGATTATAAACTTAAATATGTGTACATCTAAAAGATCGACTTAAGCAACTTATCTCTAATAACTAAAAATGATAAACTGGAACGTGTTTAATTGTCACAAAATTCAATTGCATGCTTCGAGTGTCTACTTCTATCGCACAAATAGGACAAAGTCTTTCAGTTTTGCAGGGAGCCTTGTTTGCCTTTGAGATCGCCACAGGGCTGTTGTTGGGCTTGGAGAACTTGATGATTTGTCTAGTTCCGAAACTTCTGGTGACCAAGGCTCTGCTGTTAAATCTTCGTCTGCCTGCTCTTGTGTTATCTTTTCAGCATGCCGAATGTGGCTCGGGACAACTTTGAACATGGATGAGTTCCGCGTGACAGTTTTATTCCCATCACTTGCCGTAACCATAGACCCGTTTTTGCCTTCAACCAAAAGAGGTACTGGACTAAAAGGGGAGCTTAGCTTGTTACGCTTTGGTTGCTTGATTAGAACTGTCTCCTTGCTTGTTCTTGCTCTCTGTAACTCCTAACTTCTGGTCTGCATGAACTTTCATCTTCATCTTCTGTTCTGCATCCATAACTGTCATGTTCTTCTGTTTCTCGAGAACTGGTGGTGTCACTTCTGGAAGGGTAGTCTTAAGATTCCTGTGATTAAGTGCTTCGCATGGTGAGATATCAGTCGTTGAGTGAGGTGTCGCCCAATATTGTCGTAGAAACTTATAAAGTTCTTGTGCTCAACGGTGGCAGCTCTCACGCATTTCTCTAGTGCCTTCATGAAACGTTCCGCTTTGCCATTTGCTCTTGAGCAGAGAGGCGTGATTTTGCAGTGGTGAAAACCTAGATGCTCAGCAAAGTTCTTGAACTCCTTGCCATTAAAGGGGGGTCCATTGTCACTCTTTAAGACATCAGGAATTCCTTGTTTAGCGAAAATTGCATCAAGCTTCAGGATGGTGGATCTAGCAGAAGTGGATGTTACGATTTCAACTTCTGGGAAACGGCTGTATTTGTCTATGACGACCATGAGGTACTCTCCAGAAGGGAGTGGTCCTAGAAATTCATCACAAGTTCTTTCCATGGGACGTTTGGTAGCGGTGTCATCCTTAGAGGTTCGAGTCGTTCTGCCTTGCTGGTAGTTGCTGCTTGGCATGGTAAACAGCTGTTGACATTCTCCTTAACCATCTTGTCTACACCAGGAAACCAAACTTTTTCTCTGATGAGGCGTTTTGTTTTTACTATTCCTTGGTGCCCAATGTGTGCTAGGTCCACGGCTCTGTCTCACAGTACTTTCGGGAACACGATCCTGTTTCCCCTCAGTACAGCTACTTGGTAGACCAACAGTTCATCTTTCACATTTCTGTAATCCTGTACTTTGGGATGTGTCCACTGGTCAGTCTCGATGGCCTTAATAAATGCTTGGAGCAAAATGTCCTTCTCCGACTCTAACTTGATTTCTTGCAGCGTCATTGCTTTTGGCACTGCCTGGTTGCATACATAGTTCACGTAGTCTTCTGCAATGTTGCGCCCCTCACTGTCTATGTCACTTGGATGACGGCTCATAAAATCGGCTGGATTCTCAGCGTCCTCGCCAGGTCGGTAGATGAGTTGACAGTTGTAGGGCATGAGCCTCAGCTTCCATCTGTCGATGTGTGCTGACGTTGGCTTGTGACTGTTAAAGATTCCTAGGAGAGACTTGTGGTCTGTGGCAATGATGAACTCTGATCCATACAAGTAAAGATGAAAATTTTCGACTGCCCAGACTACTCCTAGCATTTCCCTCTCGGTTTGGGAATATCTACTCTCGACGTCACTGAGTGCTCGGCTCGCGTAACTGATAACTTTACTATCCTGCACCAAAAATCCTCCAAGTCCGACCGGGCTCGCGTCGACTATCACTTCAGTCTTGAGTCTTGGGTTAAAGTATGACATCACATGATTCTTGGTCAGGCTGTCTTTCAACTTGTTGAATGCTCGTTGCTGCTCGTCGGCCCACTGCCATGCCTTGTCTTTCTTAATTAACAGCCGTAGTGGAGCAGTTATCTAGCATAGTCTGGAATGTAATGAGACACGTATTGAGCCATCCCCAGTAGAGACTTCACCTTGCTGACACTTTCTGGTTTGCTCATGTCAATGATCCCCTTGATCTTGGCTGGGTCTGCCTTGACTCCATTCTTACTGAAAATCTGTCCATAGAACTTGATCTCACTCCTCGAGAAGGTGCATTTCTCCTTGTTCAGGCGCACGCCATGTTGCTGGAGCCGTTCCAGTACGCCACGGAGGTTCTCATCATGTTTCTTCTGAGTCTTTCCATAGACGACAATATCGTCAGAGATATTCTGGCATCCAGGGAGGCCAGTGAGTATTTCTTTGATTGCGTTCTGAAAGATTTCGGATGCTGCGTTAATTCCAAACATGAGGCACTTGTATCTTCGGAGTCCGATGTGTGTGCTGAATGTGGTAATATAGCGGCTCCCTGGTGCCAGCTCCAGTTGGTGGTATCCACTGAGACGAAAGGTCTGACTTGCTGAAAACTGTCGCTCCGTTGAGGTCAGTAACCAGATCGTCTATGGTCGGCATCAAGTGTTTTTCTCGTTTAACAGCCTGGTTGGCCTCTCACATGTCTACACATATTCTCACTTGACCAGAGCTCTTGGGGACTATGACGATAGGGCTCACCCAGGGCGTTAGGCCTGTCACGGTCTCGATGATGTCTAGCTCTTCTGATCGCTTTAACACCATCTCAACATCCTTTCTGACGTGGAAGGGAATTCAACGGTGCGGTTGTTGCTTGGGTGTGACGTCAGGGTCTATGCGAAGCTTGATGACTTTTCCTTTCACTTTGTCGATTCCACCGATCAGGCTTTCCAAATTTCCGTTAACGTGGGACTGGGGACCGGTCTCGTCAGGTTTGACTTGGTTGATGATCTTAAGCACATTGAGTTTTGTAGTAGTGTTAAAACCCAGGAGGTTTCCTGAAGCGCCTTTGATGACATGCAGGGTTGTCCATGTGCTGTTGGCGTTGGCGAATATTTTGGCCTCTATAGTTCCCAGAACAGGTAGAGGTGTGGATGATCCGTAGGAGAAAATTCTGCGCTTGGAGGCGTCTGGTACCTTCCGTTTTTATAACTTACTGAAAGTGCGTTTGTCTATGAGATCGACCGATGCACTGGAGTCGACCCTCATTTCCACTTATTTTCCATCGATCTTGACTTTGTAAGTTGGTTGCTTGTCACCGCCTGTTGTGTAAATGTATTCGTCATTTTCAGCCGTGTCTTCATACGTGACATGTTTTGCTGACTCGGGTGGATTTGTTCTGCAAACACCGGCTGTGGGTCCATTTCAAGTTAGGGCATGAAGAGCCCAAACTTGAAATCGACCCACAGCCCCTGGGTCTCCGAGGATGGTCAACCTCTGGACTGCTGTAGTGCAGCAAAAGGGCTCTTTTCTGCTTGTCATCGGAAATTCCCATTCCAATGGTAAGTCTCTCAAATCTTCCTAGCCATTTCTTCCATCTTGGGCCTGCAATTCCATCGAGGTGAACGTCAAACGGTGGGAAGTTTGGTAGAGAAATCGCCATCATGTTTTCGCGGGAAAATGCTTCGGAAATCTCTTTAGAAATTGCTTTGGATGTTTCTTTGGAAATCACTTTGGAAATCCCTTCAGATCCTTTTAGAACACTCTTTGTGTGTTCTTTGCTTGATCCTCGTCGCCAGATGTGGTGTTTATACTTAAATAACCACTGAGGCTTTCAATGCAACTCAATGATATTTATAACATAACCAAAGCAAAGTGCACGCTCTGATTGGTCAATTTAGCATCCCCCATTTGCCCGTGCGCGCTTGTTTTTTCTGGTCACGTAAGATTTGTTAAATAAAAGGGAACTCTTTAGCTACAATGTGTTAATGTTATGTTATAAAACCAATGGTAAACACCACAGCATACACTATTGAGTTATGGATGCACTTGGGAGGTTTGCTAGGCACTCAAGAAGCTAGAGTCGCTCTCGGCTATCGCCTCTAGTGACTCTTACTCTTCTTTCTTGCTTAGCAACCTCCCGCTTGCATCCATAACTCAATAGTGTACGCTGTGGTGTTTACCATTTGTTAATTAATGAACATGTAATGAGACCATAACCGACTACATATGTAACTCATTCTCCTTTAGACCACATGTGCAATTCCACACATTGATTGATAGCTTTCAGAAACACTACAACAAGTTTTATAACATAACCAAAGTAAAGCGCGTGCTCTGATTGGTCAATTTACCGTCCCCCATTTGCCCATGGGTGTACGCTGCTGACGCGAGCAAATGCAAAGACTATTTTTCTGTGCGCGCTTGTTTTTTTCTGGTCACGTAAGATTTGTTAAATAAAAGGGAACTCTTTAGCTACATTGTACTAATGTTATGTTATAAAACAAATGGTAAACACCACAGCGTACACTATTGAGTTATGGATGCACTTGGGAGGTTTGCTAAGCACTCAAGAAGCTAGAGTCGCTCTCGGCTATCGCCTCGAGTGACTCTTACACTTCTTTCGTGCTTAGCAACCTCCCGCGTGCATCCATAACTCAATAGTGTATGCTGTGGTGTTTACCATTTGTTAAATACAGAATTATCCAAGGTAGTCCAGTTACATAACCCTATTTGGCTTACTCTGGCCACCTTGCCTCATTAATAGGGACTTTAAGCAGCCAGGACGGCAATGGCACGGAAGACGTCGATTAAAATATGAGTTTCTACTTTTAGTTAGAATTTCGAAAATGGCTGCATGTGTTTACCGTCTCATAGGGCGCCAGACCTCAAACTCAACATAACGCATAAAAGTAGCGTTGAGTTCCAAATGTAAATTAAAATAATTTGCCGCGGCGGTTTCGCTTCACAGTGGACGCAAATTTTGGTGATATCACGTTTTCGTTTTGCATAGGACGGCTAAGAAATGTACAAAGTTTTAAAACGCACGTGCCTGGCTATTGTTTTGCCAATTAGATCTATTGTTTTTCCATGTTCTCGTTGCCGTTGCCATCGCCGTCGTGGTTTGCTTAAAGACCCTAATGTTTTGTTAGTAGATTAATTTCAAGGATTTTAACTTAGGGATTGTTTTTAACACTTTTAGAATTCAAACTTACCTCAGCTTAAGGATCCTTTTCCAGTTGCCCTAACATCCCTAGTTATTTATGATGTATATGTGCAAGTCAGGATGTAACTCCCTTTGCATCAGGGAAACAACTTGCTCTTTTTCAAGTATGGTACAGGAGGATTTATTAACTGACAAAAATTCACATGTTTACTAACACTTGTTTGTCCCACTTTCTCTAGATTGATGGCAAATCTCTCAGTCATACAACTTTTCTTGTTCACAGTCTGACATACTGGTTACTAGAACATAGCAATTTTTTCCCTGGTGGTAAGTTTTAAAGAACAGAAGAAACTTCCAGTGATGTCAATCATGTTTTTATTGTAGTTATTGTTTTGATAATTACCTTTTTTCTGCATGGTACATGTAGGTAAGAGCCATTTGGAGCTGATGGTGAATCATTTGTTTTCTTTGTGTTGTGAGAGTCTGTCTTTTGGGTCTGATATGACAACATCCATCCTCTTATTACAAACATTTCAACTGCATTGCCCACAGGTATGTCTTTGATAACTTAGTCTATGTAATAAGAACTTCAAACAGGGCTCAGAAAATTTTCCAAAGGGCTGAGTGGCTTGCCAAAAATAGAAAAAATTGAGAGTCAAGTGGTTTTATTTTCTGAACTAGGTATGAATGCTATTCAATTGTGATTTTTGTTTTTAGGTTTGATGGTAAACACTTATGGTTTTGAGTTTACTTGTCAGACATTAAGATAGAAATGTAAGCTTTGACCATACATGTATTTGTTTTGGTTAATTTTTTTTGGTCAAAATTTCTTCAAACCATTATAATTTTGATCTTTTTTTATTGTATAAAGGATTAACAATGTATAGGAATTTTTAAAACAGAAAAATTTATTGATTCTTATCATGTAACTTAAGAGAGTATCAGATTAAAATAAAAACTGACTTGGTGGTTGCAGTTTATGAATTCTTAATAATCTTGTTGGTTTTTCTTATTTAAGGCCTTCTTGCAATTATATATCTTACCAACCTTGAGCAAGCTTCTTCTGAATTCAGCAGAAGACTGCTGCATTCATATTCTCCAGCTCTGTAAGTATAGATCCTTTGTGAATTTTTCAAATGTATTCAGATGTAGCAAGGGCAAAAAAGGTCTGGTTGTTAATGTTAACACTCCACACTTAAAGACCTTGATCTTCATCAGACAAATCTTGAGTGTGGCATTAAATGTTTTCATCTTTCTCTATGTAGGTTTGTCAACAATGCAAAGTCAATTAAAACATTTCAAGCCAGAGTGTCTGTTTCTTCCTATCAGTCATCTGTTTCTTGTGCAACCAATACTTCAAATTATAACATCCCCACCCAGGCAGACATTCAGCACAAAGATGCAGGGCAGCACTGGGCAGTCTTTACACAGTAAAGCTCTCCAGATCCTAGGATTTGTGGAACACAATGTTCTTCCCCTTATAAAGCAAAACCAAACTACCAGTAAGGTAAGAATTACATGTACATACTGATTGCCTCAGGCTGCAGTTAGAATGCCTTGGTTGATTGATTTAAATTAGGGTTTTTTATGAACACATCACAGCAATTGTGATTGTAAGACCTTTTAACAAGATAAAACTCATGGAATTTCATTGGAAAAATATTTGCACTAAATAGATATATAATATCAAATAACATGCAAAATTAAAACTGCAACAAGATGTCACAATGAAAGAAAAGTACATAAAATACAATGAAACATCAATAAGCTTTCAGCAATTTCAAGTAAGCATGATATGCTTAAATTTTTAAAATTATGGGAAACAAATGAGGTAGTATGATTTGTCTTTTTCTTTCAGGCTACTGGAAATACTCAGCACTATTCTTCATCTCTCAGTTTATGTATCAGACAAATGACAGCCTGTGCTGAAGAAATGATCACCTTAATTGGGTAATAGTGCTCTGCTAAAGAATCAGCAGCAGTTGCTGTTCACACATTTGTCGCATTGAAACTAGATTATTGTAATGCATTATTATATGGCTTACCTAAGTATCAGTTACAAAGATTACTGTTTGTAGAAAACCCAGGGCTAGAGTTGCATGTTAAATGAGTAAGTTTCAGCATATTACACCTGCTTTGCAGGAGCTTCAGTGGCTACAGATTCAATACTGTGTTCAATTTTCAAGATTCTGCTTCGAGGGTATAAATCACTGAATGGGGCATCACTGAACTATTTAGCTCAGAAACTACATTATCTTTCTCTTACTAGATCACTGAGGGCTGTTAGTAATAAACTTTTAACACTGTTCATGCACCAAGAGAATGGAACTTAATACCCTTTGAAATTCGGAAGTCTAACACCATCTTTAGTTTTAAAAGATCACTTAAGATGTACTTGTTTACTAAATTCATTAATAACAGATCATTATTTCTATAGATTTATATATATTGCTTTAGTTTTAATTTTTCCTTTTTTAATCATTGAGAATTTTAGCTCTGTTAAGTATCATATAATATAATATGGTTGTTAATTTGAAAATATTTATTGATAATGTTTTTTTTATGATTGTAAAGCACCTTGAGCATAGGATATGAGCACTATATAAATAAAGTTATGATGTGATGTGGATTAATCCTGGTTTTCATGAGCAAAAAGGCATTATGGTCTGATTACTTAAATGTGACAGTTTTCACTTTCTCAGAAACACCAAATCTACAAAGCAATGGCTGAGCAATTTACAGAACTCAGTAGCCTCACACTATCGCCTGCTGAGTCATGTTCCTTTAATGTTGTCTGCACTGTTGGTGACTTCACAAGGATGTCTTGCTATGGAGGTCTTGGAAGTCATTCCAATTCTTGCTAAGGCAGATCCATCCCAGGTCAGAAATGCAAAGTCTTTGTCTGCATGGAACACCAACAATGAAATAAACCATTACATGTTAAAAAGTGCACTATAAATTAATAAATTATTAGTATTATTATTATTATAAACAAAGAAAGATGTTAGATAGAAAAATACTCAGTCTAGCTAGCTATTTGTTTATGTAACCAGGTTTACAGACTTATTGATGGTTTTTTTATCCTCAAGTACCACAGTATTCTGGATACTCCTGTATAAGTAATGAAAACAGAAAACTTCAGCTACGTACTTTACTTTGAAAGAGTTTACTCTTCTCATGTATCAAACAATTTATGGGGTTGTATGCATAAAACCAGAAGCTTATGATCTAGGTCATAAGCTTCTGAGCAAACTTTTAACAGGTACCTTGTTTTCATCATTTCTCTGTCTAAAACCACTACTGATCTTCTCTATTCTTAAGTTAACCTTAGAACTAACTGTTAATTTTCTTTAATCAACTGCAAATGAGTCCCAATTAGGGCATAGCCTTTTCCCTCTCAAATTGGCTTTACTAGCTTAGTTTTATAATTGGTTACAGATTTAGAATTGTGTTAATGAGACTTTTGTAGATATTTTAGGCTCGGTATGTTTATGTGCTGTGTCTTATTTTGCAGGCTCTTACCTTCCTGCCATTACTACTCTACAAACTTAGTAAAGAAGTCGATCCTGAAGTGAAACAGCATGCTCTGTACACAATACCACAACTTGCTTCTCATAAGGTACTAAAGTCTCTTCACCAACATGCAGGCACTTACCAGGCTGTTGGTAAGTCTGATGTCGAGGAGCTGGGAGGTTTTTTTTTAACATATTATTATTTTTAGCTTAGTGTGTTATGTTTCCAATGTTTACTGTTGGCTGTCGTGTAATCATTTCATTTGCATTTTCGCAATTACTACATTTGATGTAGCAAGCTTTCATCTGGCGCTCGTTTTGGAAAACTGTTGAAAATGAAGCTTTGTTAATGTGACAACTTTTACAGACATCAATTCTTGCCCATGCTTAATTTGTGTTCATCTCCCTGTTTGGCAGTTTTGTATAGGCCCCGTGTTACATACGATTCAGACGATAGGAAAGTGCCCTCCTCTTAAACCTGTGTATCTGAGACTGATTTGCAAGTTGTGGCAGTTAAATAACCGAGTGTTCCCGCACCTTCAGCAAGCACTGAATGTAGTAATTGACTCCAGTTTGGGAGGTAAATTGAACTTGGAGATTAAGATTGCTCAAGCAGCTTGTTTATTGGACATCTGCAAGCTTAGGTAACGATCATACGAAATAAAGTACATGTAAATAACGTAGTACACATTTGTAGCGAATTTTTTAAGTTCAACAGTTGTTTTCACAGCTACCACACTTATGCTTTGTTACCTACTGCGATCATGCATGGAGGTTTGTTAACGAGTGTTAATCCCTAGCAAAACAGACGAGTTAGCGTGGTGATCATATGAATTTCTCTAAGTTTAGCAACTGGCGATAAAGATCCAGACTTCGACCGTTCTGTGGAAATAGAGAGCTGATCAAAACAGATTGACCCATACAGCCTTAACATATAGTTTTTACATGTTTTCCTTGATAACATGCCGTTTGATTCAAAACAGGGCAAAGGAAAGTGTTTGCTTTCTAATTGCGGCCAATTGCCAGCTGGGAAGAAAGTGAAGCAAGCTTTTCGGTTATTTGCTCTGATTTCAGTGCTAAAAATTGAAGGTGATTGGGCGTCTCGCTTCCTTCACTTGTGAGATGTAAGACATATCAGCTGCAGTATATACCGAAGTTCTGGTGGGGTTAAATAATTCCAATACTAAATATTTATCAGAGTTTCGTGAGGGCTATTAGGGTTGCCAAAAAAGCTCTGTTTTAAACAAAAGTTGAAACAGCATTCGATGAATCCTGATTGGGAAGCATCTCCGATGTCAGTTCGTCACAATAAATGAACAAACAAATGAGAATTAGCACAGACAATATGAAACGCATTTAGACTCACAGGGGAAAGAAGTTGAAAATTAATAATGCTATTTATATGATTAATTTTGTTTGTCATGTGTTGGTGGTCCTCTTCAGACCCTCTCAGCACGGTGCAGATCTACTCAGTTTGCTGTCCAAATTGCTGGATGAGAATACAAGACCAGGCGAGACTGAAAACACTCCCTCTGCGTTAGTGGTATCACTAGCACTGCAAGCCCTGGAGCAGCTTTGTAAAGCTGAGGTAAGCCACACGACTGGCTGTGAAAGGTCCTTTGCCTAGAGCAGTATCTCTGTGGAACATGTTAGACGAAGACCTGAGAAACGTTACATCTGTAAAGGCCTTTAAGAAAGTCCTGAAACTTGCCATGAATGAATGATCGAGTGACTGTTAGAATTTAGAATTTAACAATAGCTTGTCATATATAGTTAGCATTCATATTTGTAAATAGGTACTGAAAAACCTTTTTTGGGAGTATTTATCATTAAAGTTTAAAGTTTAATGGAAGTCCCGCTGTACAAACTCTAAAACGCCTTTGCGCCTTTGAGTAGTTATTTGAAGAAAAAAAAAAACAAGCACATGAACATGTAACGGACAATTGTATAATATTAGCATCTACTTCGGGCTTCTTTATGGGCGCACTTTTCCTGGATGCAATTCAGATCCGTTTCACATTTTTTACCCTTCCTCAGGTTGTGGATCTGTGCACCGGGTGGAAAGTTCTTTCTGTGAAGCTTGGCGTGGACAGACGTCCCCAAGTTCTGTGCAGTATATGTCAGTTGTTCAGCATCGTCCCCCACCTGGTCTCTAACTCTTCAGCTTATCTGGTACGAATTGAAGTGAATTGAAAACCATGGACACCTTTCCAAATGAATGTTCAGAATTAACTTGAACGTGACATTTTGTTTACTTTTTAGAATTTTAAGAATGAAGCACTTTCCTTTCTTTGGTCGCTAACGCAACATAAGGTTTGTACGATTGTTGTAAAAAATTGAATTTTTTTGCATGAGACGTAGCTCTACTAAAAGTGACGTGATTTTTTATAACTCCGTTGTGTGCGAGTCAGCGTGAAATTAAATGCGTGCTTTCAAAATCAAAGGAACGGTTAGCGCTAGTTTGTTTTTAAATTTCAGGTACGACTTCTAGCCAAACTTGCATGATACAAAGCTCACAAATCGAAATCTGTACTGGGAAGAGGGGAGGCTTAGAACTTTTCACTTGCTTATTTTAGTCTTTACAAATCCAAGCAAGCGACACAGACATATACTGTAGATATTAAGACAAATATTTAGACTCCTAAGACCGAAAATATAAGAAAAAGTATTAAAATGTGAATTGTAAAATGTGAATGTTAACGAATTTAAAGGGTCCTCTGAGAGACAAACAATGGTTTAGATCGTGAAAGCGCTGAACAAAGGCATTGAAGGCCAGGAATTAATGTTCGTTTGTTGATGCTCACGGTGTGATGTCGTCTCTTACCCTCAGGAGTCACCTGTCGCTCATGCTGCTTTCACGACTTTGTCGAAATTTCATCCATCAGATTTCAAGCTCATTCATCTTCCTTCAAAGGTATTGTAGAGTATGTCTGAAGCAGTGGGTTTAAACATTCAACATAATTGTTCTTGGTTAAGTTGACTGTCGGTTCGCACCAGAGTCTAAGCATCAGGCTCTGAATGCCTGCACTCGATAGCTGTAGCTCACACAGGGAGCTCACACAAGCGGCGTGTCTGGTCGTTTGTTCGAAATATAAAGAAATGTATTTCTTTATATTCCTTTCTATATAAGGAGACAGTAAAGTAACAGTCAACGCAAAATCTACCAAATCGCTTAAATTCGCCATTTAGAACCACAGAAACGACAATACACAGCAAGTGAGGCAGGTTTACATTTATTTTGAGCCTGAACATAGGCATTCCTTGATATTAGTCTACGATATTACGACTCTTCAATATTCTCCCATACATTTCTTTATATTTCGAACAAACGACCAGACACGCCGCTTGTGTGAGCCGCTTGTGTGGGCTCCCTGTGGTAGCTCGTCGCGTCTAAACTACAAATCAGACGTACGCTGTGTTTCCTTACTCGGAACTGGTCAGCTCAGACGACCACCACAAACCGTATAATATTATCCAAACTTTAATGATTATTCGATTTAAGAGAAATACATTTGTAATTCGAAATCAGAAAACGCAAATTTAGTCTTAATCTCATGTCAAAATTCAAGAAAACATGACTGGAAACTTACTTCTGTGGCGGGTCGTAAAAACAGGTTTCTCACTTCAGGTTAGCAGATTCGGGTAAGCGAACAGTTGCAAAAATCGACTTCTCTCTCTTACTGATTCTTCTGAAAAACTGGTTTAAATCACGACAAGTTAACACTTTTAAATCATTTTGAGGAATTAATATCAATCACAAGTTATGTTAATTAAATTATATCTGTCATCATAGGCAACGCCTATTTACTAAACGAAACACGCTGTAAAGAGTAATATTTCAAATATGCCACTCGCAGATCCACCTTCCACTGAAAGAAAAAATTCTGGCGTCTAAGAAACTTGATAGCAACGCGGACGAAGAAGATGGTGATGTCGCTGTTCAACAAAACATTGATAACTCAACACCCCCAGGGAATGCTTATGTTGAGCTTCTACAGATGGTCAAACAAGATGTACTCCCAGGTACAGATTTTTAGTCTTCATTCTATTCGTGAAAATCACTGTTTTTGCATACACTATTCAACAGGAGTAATCCAACTGTACCGATCTTAGCATCTAGACATTGACCGATTCCATCTTTAGAGGGCAACAAACTCCTTATTATAACAGACAAAGATGATAAATGACTTTTGAATCAAGAAAATCTGCCTTATTGTGTGATCTCACGGTAAACAAGATAGAGCATACAGGTGCTATCAATTGTAACTCTTGAACCAATTCAATGTGTTATCATGATTGATGAAGAAAAAGAGAAGATCACCAGTCCTTATTACTTATACGATGAATTGCAGGCTATAAGAAGTTAATGACAAACATGATCAGCTTGGAAGTTGCATCTATGCCACGGGGCCTGGGTCACACTGTTTTACATGCTTCGTCGTCACACGAGAGGAATTTGCAATCCATACCAAAATTTTTGATGTCACACTATGAGAAGTCGAAATCACCTGGATTAAACCAAGGACTTGCAGGTTCCAAGAATACAACAGATATTGATTTATTATATATAACGTACTTCCACATTTTTAAGTTTTTTTTTAGTTCTATCAAGAGAAACAGCGGTGACAGATAGGGACAGTTGGGGGCCCTGGCGTGGACATGTGGATTCCACAAAATGTATTTTTATTTTTAGGGGGAAACTGAGGTTTGCTTCTCCATCCGTCGTCATTTTCTCTCAATGGGCACTATTTCCCCTTTTTCCATTGATAGAGCTATTTTCCACGGTCAGTTTCGCGATAATCTTTTCACCTGGAATATTAGATTCAGATCACAGTTAGTTTCCATGCGGGCTCGAGAAGAGATGCGTACGAAAGACTACTTAATTATTATTTTAAAAGGAACTGTTACATCCCAAGGTGTGGATCAGGTGGGAACATCCTTCTCTGTCCCTGATTTTCTCCTTTGCTATGTAGCCTCGCGTATTTACTCAATATCTTCTACTACATTTATCAGCCATGGGAGTTTTTTTTTTTTTTTTTTTCCATGTTTGTGAGTTGCCATGAGAGGTGCGCCTTTTTTTATGTTTCTCTTATTTAAAGTACTCTTTTGTATTGAATCAGCTGGAATACTGTTTAGTTTCGAACCTCCCTTCGAACAACACGAAGGAAAACGTGCCAGAAGATACACGGTTGATTGTGCCCGTACATACAGACAGATGTTAGATTCATTACTTTACGAAGTAAGTTATGCACTTGATGTGAAAATTTATAATGGATATTTTCACTTGAATATCAGCAAGTTTCTTTCCCTTTTTAGGCTTTTGTTTTCATCCCCTTAAGGATAGTCAGATATAGCCCTGAGTGTCAGTGAACCAAGATCTATGTGACCTAAAATAACTGATTTTGGTGCGGTGTAGAAATTTCCGTTGGTGAAGCGTCTCTCGGCAAAGTTAGTCATGCAGCCATGATCTCAATGATGCAAAAACGTTTTTTTCTTCTTTTTCCCAACATTACTCCATTTGATAGAACCATTTGCTGATATCCACGAGAATGGAACTAAACTGCTTCAAGGAACAGATTTTGTAGAGGAATGTACCAACGAGCACTTTTCACGCCAATTGATGGCTGTAATGCGTTTTTTACGCATCATTTTTGTGCATCTCATTTGCAAAACGTAAAAAAACCACTTGTTGTCGAAACTTTTTACTGTGGGGGACATTCGCTTCTGAGTTTTTATCCAGAAGTTTCATCGTTTCTTTGATAACGGTAGGACGCTGTTTGAAAATTGGGGAAATATCACTTTAATAATGTCCACTGGAAATTTCCCAGTTTTATTGAAGGCATGTTAGATCGCTTTTTACCAATTGCGTACGAGCGAAACCGGTTATATTCATTCAAATAAATTCGCACCCATGCGATTGGTCAAACGTATCACATGATTGAATATGTCACTGCTAAAACTAAAGAATTTCTGAGTGATATACCCCACAATTTCAAAATCTTACTTCCGATAGACTTATTGTGATTTCTTTGTGAAAATCGGTCCGTCTGTTTGTCGTGTGCTGAGTGACTACACGTATGTTTGATGAACCATCCTGTCTCACTAGGTCCCAGTGCAGCCAACTGAATGGCACAGAACATTACTACTGCCTCAGGCATGGTTAGCCTTTATGAATCGCTCCTACAAGGCTTGTGTGGAGGTACGTATGAGATAATAAGTGGGGTTTTTTTTTCTTTTCCCACGATCTTGAGAAACATATGACATGTTTATTCGATTGAACTAAACATTTGTCATCTTTCGTATTCTATTTACACACTCGATCCTTTGGACATTGTTGATCCCAGCAGAAAGCTTGATGCTTTTCACATATGATTCATTATATATTTACGAAAGGCGTTTTGAAAATCATCTCCCCTCAAAAGCTCCATCTGGTTTTCCATACACGTCAATTATCGTATCTGTGTTACGCCTTAACCGTGCGGCGGCCTTTTTTCTCAGGCCGCCATTCGATTGTAAATGGTGTCGCTATCCACATCATTGCGAAGACCGCGCAGAAGGATTGAGGAGAAGAAGGAATCAGCAAACTATTACTCAAACGTTTTTCACTGTGTTGTGCGTCACGTACACACGATGAACCTCTTTCGATTCTCTTCTACTCCCTTTGTAAGTCTTTTTTTCAGTTCCGATTTTGGGAAACGCTAAGTCACGAAAAGCAAGAGGAGTTTTTGTTCGCTGCAAGGTGGAACTGCAATTAAGTGAAGAATAGTCTCAACTTCATTGCACTGCTCAAGAAATTCTTAATTTGGGGCTTTGTCTTCTTGATCTTCAATATTTTGCATCGTAGTGTGATACTTACATTTTGAGTTTGTAATAACCTGCTGTCGATTGTTGTTAGAACTTTATTCTCATCTTCTGTTTCCGTGATCGATCACTCAGCTCTTGAGGAGAAATTTGACTGAAAATTTTTTAATTTCTGGTGGCCTCGATATAGGGTCGTAAGGCTGAGCTTGAGATGCAGCATAGCCATGGTCATTTTCAGAGTATGGAAGAACTAAAAACAAGACAGTCCAATTGCTGGCTTTGGTTAGTATGGAGTGATTCTTATGAATTGCCTTCTTGCTAACATTTGCTGTTAAGTTCGGTGATACCAGTTCTCATGGTCAAAGAGGATCATGATCAACTGTTTGCAAGACAGTCACGTTTATCGGCTATCTCAAAACAAAGCCAACGCAAGCACTTTGTAACATACGCCAGCAATGAACTATAGAAATATGAATTTAACACGTGAATCATGTGTTGGAAGGCTTCTGATCGTCTTGTGTTGTTTTGGAAGGCCCTTTAGACTAGTCTTTACTCATTATTCATGCCCGATTATTTTAATATTTACTGTATTTGGGCTTGTTTTGAACTTCAGGGTAAGAGATCAGATCACTGAACGACTTAAAGCGGCGTCAAGGTAAATTTAGTGTCGCATGAAAATTGCCGAAATGAGAACAGAAAGAATTACTTCGTTAAAACAATTCTCATTAAGAAAGGCGAAAACTTTAGTTTGCTTTGTGATAACTACTAGATTGATTTATAAACTCCAGGCTTACTGAACTCCTTTGCCAAACTATGGACGTCAAAAGCCTGTTGAATATCATTTCTTAGTATTGATATTTAAAAAAGGTGCGGTAAAGTAAGGTTTTAACCCGTTTGATCAAGAAAATTAAAACACGGAGAAGTTTTGATACAGTCTCGCCTTCAAGAATGGCTCCAGCTCAAGTAGTGATAAGGTCATCAATTGGACCCGTGAATAAAAAGATTTTAAACTGACAACTGAATCAAACCAAAGATAATGGCTTTGAAGAATCAGATTTTCCGTCTCATGTGCGAAATACATTATGTTTTACTAGCATCGTTACATTTCTGAGCTTTTAGTCACTGATTAATTTTTTTTAATATTTATGATTGATTATATTTTTTCTTAGAGGTAACCCGTCTGTGCAAGGTAACTCAGTGCTTGCTTTAGCAGGGCTTGCACGGGCTGTGTCGATATATGTAGGTCAGCAGACTTCTTCAGAGACCACAGAACAATATCAGCGGAACAACGATTGGCTGAGCGTGGTGACTGACACAGTAATGGTGGTGTTGGATGGTAATTATAAACCGAAGGGTCCTACTCTGGTTTGGTGTCAACAGGTGATTGTAAACCTTCTCTTTCTTGGTAGATAAGACTGTCAGCAGTTTATGGTGACTTTGTGAACCTATATGAAAAAAAAAAGAAAAATATATATATATATAATTACCGAAAAAAAAAAAGAAAGAAAAAACAGCACATGACACCAACAGAGTCCAAAAAACAATCCCGCCGTTGACATATTTCATGGTTATGGCCGGCTACTAGTTTCCCGGACAGTTTCATTCAATCGTAATGTATACCAAAGCAAGCTTACTAAGTTCACATTGATGTTTTGTATACTTTGATTTATGTACTACCCTGCAGGTGTCTTCACCCACCTCCACTGCCAGTTCGTTGTTAGCTCGCTCGTGTGCTGCGCTGTCCATGTCACTTTTGGTTCCTTGTCTTGTCATACTTGACTCTGATAGAATTTACGACATCACTGAGCTGCTGAAGCAAAGGATTCCAGGACAATCCAAGTAAGTTTGTGCAAGTTGTGTGATTTATCTTCTTGAGATATGTTAATTTAATTCTTGGATTTTGCGGAAATTGTGATGCGTTCTTCGTTAATTATGACCAAAAGCTTTTTGTAGAAAATTAAAACAGGTAAAGAACAAGGCATTTGGAGGTTTCCCCCTTTGCAGGTTCACCCCGTTTCTAATTCGCCCCCACCACGGCGAGTTCGCCCCCGAAAGTAAAAGAGGTTCGCCCACACCTCAAGCAGTTCTCCTCGAAATATTTTTACTCATTTCTTTGCGGTAGAACTTTGTTATGCTTTCACATATAAATTTCATGTTAATCGAAATGAACTATGACGTGACAGAAAGGGGATAAATTCTGCCGTGAGGAAATGTGATCAACGATGTGGGGGCGTCATGATGTAAAGGTGGGGCCGAACTGCTGGAGAAGTTGTTCTGTAGTGAGGACTGAGAAGTCTATGAGAGTCTGAAATCAGTCAAGTTACTGAAGCATTGATTCGGGAAACAATTAACAAAAGTGAACCACCACTTTGTCTTTTAAAAGTATCTTAAAATTTTGATTTTATTTTATGTAGATCCGGTAGCTCAGCTGTTTTACAGATGTCTTGTTCTGTGGGACTTGGTCTGTTCCTCAGCAAACTCTATGAAGAACATTTCAGGTGTGTAGTCCTGGTGATGTTGCTTTGCTACAGTTTTTCTTCTCAGTTTTATTGTGATGTAATACATGTCTCAGTAAACATATTATTATCTCGTTCTTTTTCAGCGACGCTTACGGTAAAGAGGCAAGTACTTGCTCCTTATGTAGCTGGCGCTCAGCTTCAGGAGGATTCCGAACTAACTATCCACGTGTTGCATTTACCTTTCCTGCAAAGTCAAATAGACTGCAATGACCTGAAGTGCAACTTAATGGCTCCATTCGCCCCCCTCCTTTTTTTTCGCCTATCTATTTGTTTTTTGTTTTGTTTTGTTTTGTTTTATGTAAGAGTTGGGTTCTGGGCAAAACTGCTTTAATTTCATTGATGTTTGAAGGGTAACGTATGTTGATAATTAAATATTCCACCCTTTTCTTTTGCTAGGGCTATTTACTGTTGTCTACAGCTTTAGATGTTTTGGAGGAGACTGCTTTTTCAAATGACCTGGATAACACGTAAGAGATGCATAAAATGATTCCTGAATATCTCGAGCCGGACATGCACAACACTCATTCTCTCTGACGATGATGTATGCACAGTGCAATTGTTTTACCCTGAGCCATGTAATGCTATTGGGCCAATCATCGCAGCTCCAAATAAGAAAGTTAAAGACAGTCTGAATTAAAAATTTCGTGAAACATTTCTTGAGTTGGCAAGGTTTATCTGTTTGGTTTAAATTGGTTGGAAGTGTGATGTAATCATATAATTGAATAGGTGAATCTATTTCTTCCTAGGGAAGGCGCGTGTCTCGGTGTTGGACTCGCTGCATCCTCTTTGTGTAAGGAAGGTCTTATTGACTCCAGGGTTCACGTCACAAATCTTTATCACAAACTTGTTGACAGTGTGAACGAGCAGTGCGATGACCCTGATCAAAAACTTCAGGTAAGGTTTATCTAGTGCGTTAGCCAGATTTTATTGCAGTAGAAAACCAGAAATTTAGGGGTATCCACAAAATTTTTAGGAGTCATTTACATCAGTCGAAGTACATAATTAGCACACCATTTGATTTAAAGCGCACGTTATTTTGTTGAAGAGTGTATTTGACATGGTTTTCGGGGTTTTTTTAGTGCCTATCTTATAGTGTAGCGTGTGTCTGTGTAAACGCGTTCCACACGAGCCTGTTGTCTGCTGATCAAGCTTTGCAGTGCGTCGACACAATTCAAAAGTTGTCAGGCAAATACCTTGAGGTATGTAGCTATGTGTATTTAAGCTCGACAAAAGATAGCCATTTGATTACATTCCAACCATTTTCGAACTCGGAAATTGATTTGGATACGAAACAGCAGCATTCTAGAATACGAGGATGGACATTCATCTTGATCTGATTTTTATTGATGGTGTCATTAGGTTTGCGGTATTTCTTTATCGCTCGGGTTGCTTCTTCATGGACTTGTGTCATGTGGTCATGGTGGAGCCATTGAGTTGGCCAGAGAAATTGGCAAGGACTGGCGAAGTGTTCTTGAAAATAAGGTAATTTATTGTGAAGGTGATCGTCTCTTTGACTACTAAAAGAAAATACAATCTGGTAGATTGTTGATTCACCTTTATTCAAAGAATACCCGGCCATATTGGAATTACATTACGTCTGTATTGTCAAGTATCACCGAAACATGAATATGTTAACAAAGAAAGAAAAAACAAATAGGATTTCAATAGCCTAATTAACAACTGAAGGGTAAGGATCACGCATTTGATGTGCGGTGGCACTGGAATCGTAAATTGTGGACTTTTTTCTTTGTGAACAGGATGTTTCTGAGCGACGGCAACTGTCGGCTGTGAACGGAATCGTAGCACTACTTGGGTCTGAGCAGGGGTTGTTTACCGTAAGTTAAGACACTAGAGTTTATAGGATATTGAGTGAACCTTCACTTTTCTTTTTTGACTGTTTCTATCAGAAAGGATAACTCGACCACTTTAGATTATCATTGTTTATGTACCGGTATTCAAACACTGTCCCGTGTAACAGTTGGGACCGCTTATTCTATAGGTGGATTCTTCTACTTCTGACGTCGTATTTCCTTCTCAAAGTGGGGGAAGCATCATTAAATTTCTCCAAAAGGTAAGGATGGTAGATTGTTTTGTTTCAAATGTCGTCGCTACTTATTGTTGTTATTATTATCATAATTATTGTCGTTACTTTTATTAAGTTAGCAACAGTCCTTTTCAGGACCACTTTCACCTGGACGACTTCCCCTTGATAATAATGTTTAAGGCGATGTGGAAAAGTGGATCTCTACTTATTTTTGTAATTAGTTGTGCAGTTTTTTCCAATATCCATTTTTATGATTTGTGTTATAAGAATAAGAAATGATTATAATTATAATAATGATGATGATAAATATAATGATAATGTTATTTATAACAAAAAGTTGAAGAATTACTATTATTGTTATTATTATTATTATTATTATTATTATTATTATTATTGTTAGTTGTTGTATTATTATCTCCGCTTCTATTTGACGAGTGTATGACTCCTGGTAAGAATGCTTCCACTAAAGCATCAGAAAAAGTTTCAAAAGTACAAAGACCTGGAAAAAGAACTAGCTCGAATGGGGACGATGTGAACAATGGTTTCTCCAATAGTAGTGGGCGGGGCGCTTTTGGCGCACTAAGGAGAATCACGAAGAAGCAAGTCAGTGAAATTCAAAGAAATATTCAATTGAAAAAAAAAATCCAGAAAACAGTTCATATTTACTAAGTAATTTGAAAGGACATTCCTCTAGCGCTTTAGGACCTCGTTTTTGTCTCGGATCGAGAAGTAAAAAAAAATGTACAATGATAATAATAGCAATAGTCATTATCATTATTCGTAATAAACTTGGTTTTTTCACTTTTATTATGTTTATAACTGTTATTTGGAAGTTTGTCTCATCGCCAGAAGATGTTGGTCTTAGTTTTAATACTGCCTGGCTTCTTGGTCATCTGTACAGTGCACTCACTTCTAGCTCAGTCAGTGATACAAGTGGTGAGTAAGAAACAACGTGCATGTTATTAAATGATCGTAAACATGTCACCAAGGTCGGGCGAACAAAACGAACCCTAGGTGCTTGGTGACGTCGCCATTGGATGCTCTATCCACTACGTTTTCTTGTCTTTTCAAACGAGTCCTTACAGTGGAGTGTGTTAGGAAATGGGAAAAACTACTCTTTCAATTGTTATTCTATGTGGCGAGGAAGCTTAAAGACTGGTACAGAATTTAGGTTCTATATAGGATGGCGAGATTTGAGTAGTATTTATCTCGTCAGATTGTTTTTGAACGAGTAAACGTTGTAACCTTTCACCTAACATTATTGATCTGTTATTTCATTGACGTTGTTTCTTTTGCCGTTATTATGGATATCTTGCACCTCTATAACAAAAGAAGGTTTCAGGAAAGTGAATCTATTTGCTTTTCCGTAAAACGAGTGTTGCATGATCATAATGTGTTTCTGTCGCGGTTTTATTATTTGTTATATGTTACTTTTTCCTTTCATCGTCAAATATTATTTCGATGCTTTGCTTCCCCTGCAACTGTATTGTCTTCATTTTTTTGTAGCTGATACTACCAGTTAGTGTTTGTAAACGACCATCGGTCATCTCAGTTTTACCTAGGAAAGACATTTAGAATTGCTTTTCATCTGCTTGGTGAATTAAAGAATGTGCCCAAAATTCTACCTTAAAAGTGTATGTCTTATTTCCCATTCTAGCGTTTTACTGCACCAGCAAGTCTTTGCGTGACGTTTCCTTTGCTCCATTCAGCACTGACTATTATTTTTCCTCTGTCAGTTCCAATAAACTACAGCTACTTGTCAGAGAGGAGTATTTTGCGACTGCTCTTTGAATTTCTTAACCAGTCTGGGAAGATAGGTAATATAAATTGCACTTTTTTGAGAATTTTGTAATAGCGTTATGCACGACACGGTCGGTAAGTTCTAACGGCCCGTAAGAATTGATTATTACCTACATTATGTGTTCCGATTGCGAGCGATTTTTATGTGTAATAACGAATAATACGATCCAAAAGGGATTGCTATTTTAAAAGATTTTAGAGTGATTCCTTTTGGTAAATTATCGCCATGGCTTTATTGATCCAGGTCCTCATTCGAGTTTCGGTGGAGGAAGGGTGGCTGTAGTCTTAGAATCATTGGTCAACGGTCCTCAAGTCGCACTACCGCCAGTGAATTGGGTGTCAGTACTTGGACCAATCATGAGGGCTAATTTTGGTAATATAAATCTAGTGCCACAATTTCTATTTAACAAATTAACATTGGTTTAGCGTGAACTTAACTCTTATCGACAACGATATTCGTCACCATTGCACCGCAACAAATTTTGGCCACTGTAATGACGAATATTGTTGTCAATAAGAGTACAGACCACACTAAACCACTGTCGATTTGTTTTTTACCACAGTATTAACGTCAAATAAAACGATTCTTTTAATGCGTGACACGTTGACGCGAGCAACGTTGTCTGTATTCTTAGCCGACAACGGCAAATTGGCCAATCAGATGGCGACATTACTGCCAATTTTGTTGAATTTCTTTTTCTATGCCTTATCCATTTTTCTATTTCTGGTGTTGTAAATACTTTCTATGCCTTCCATAGTTTGCTCTCCTCATTTATTTATCTCTGTCGACGTGAGATACATGTAACTAAAAACTGCCCCATCGTCCTTCCTAGGGGAGGATACAAGGCAGTTGTGTATTCGGCTTGCAGTGACCCAAGCCCAGTCCTCCTCCAATTTGTCCTCGTTCTTGTCGTCTCTGCTTAGTAGTGTGATGTTTGAGGGCCTGGAGGTGAGTGTAATATTCTCACGATATGACACTTTTGTTGAGGTTCTCATACGAAATATTCTGAGTTCAAAATCATACCTATCCAACCTTATTACATAAAAAGCAATAAAATACTACGTTTCGCAAACAAGATATCTTGATACGAGAAAATAACATATCTTCACATGTAAAAAGATCGCCGTTGCTATAGATACACAATAAAAAACGCCATTCCCAGTAGCGTATTCCTCAGCGCCGCCTTCTCGACACGATTTCAGAATGGAGGACGAACCTAATTGGAATCTGAGTATTCTCGATTTCATTGAAGACAGTTTCAAATGACCGAACATGATGGTGACAAGCTTATCGCTTAACAAGAGAACAAAAATACGAAGAAAAAGACCATTTAGGACCTTAACATTGTTCCAAAATTTTCCATAGTTAAGTTCGGAAAGTAAAGACAGAATTCTTGTAAATCTTAGAAATGAACCAGAATTTATGTCCCAACGGGTTCATTGTTGAGCCGTGTTCTTTCAGAGGAATCTTATCAAGCGCTGGAAAAGAAAGGAATTGGTATACTGTCCGCGCTTTGCAGGACGTGTACTTCTTGGATTTTTAGTTCTGGCCCGTAGTTCTACTTTGTGACCACAAATAAAATGTTAAAGTGAATGATTTGGTATTTCGTAGGTGTTAATATAATCAATAGATCATCGCATGACTACTTGGAGATACCAAATTTCTCTGCGAGTATTGAAAAATATTGAAATATTTCACTTGTTTGCGACGCCCACTCGATCTGAATAATGTTAAGTTTAAAGAGCTTCTACTGACCTCTATTTGGAATTAATCTGTGATAGGATCGGTGCAAAAGAGAGCTGCTGAAAAATTTGTCAAGACTGGTTTATGTCATTTCCTCTTCCAAGATGAAAGAGTTCCTTGAGGAAGTGTTAAGAGAGTTATGGAGAAATAGCATGGTCAGTAAATATCACACAGTTCACCATATATCTGTAGAGACGAGAGTTAAATTTTAAGTGGGGAGTTGAGTCAGTTTCGTGGCTCTATAAATATCAAAGCGATCTTCGCAGCAATGAACACTACTTGAGTAGCAGTGAAAATACGGCCTGAAAAAAATTCAGGCCCGCGCGGGATTTGAACCCATGACCTTAGTGATACCGGTGCAGTGCTCTAAGAATATTGAATATCAAATCAAACCATCACAGTGACCAGCTCCCAGTTGCCATTTGGCTTGTTAGCTCAGTTGGTTGAGTACTGCACCGATATCGCAAGGGTCATTGGTTCAAATCCCGTACAGGTCTGAATTGTTCTCAGGCCTTATTTTTACCCCTGCTCAAGTAGTGTTCATATCTGCGAAGATCGCTTTGAAATTCATTTTAAAACCCGAAGTTCATATAAATGATTTTCATATATTCACATTCATTCAGTGGCTCTATGCTAGATCACCAGAACATTACTGAGGAATACACTCAGTGAAAACTATAGAGCCGTTCAAACGAGGAAATTACAACGGCGCTGCAGCTAACCCTTATCCCAAGTGCAAGATAAAACTCACGCCTGTACAGTGCCAGGATTTAAACGGGAATTTCACGTCTTATTGAAGGCGCCATGTGAAGTAGAATTATACTAAAACTGCGCTTTTTAACTGAGGAGATTCTGGACCTTGACAAGAAGCGTAAAATTCCCGGAGTGGTACAGTTTTCACCAATAAAGGGAAATCGGGTTGGTGATGGTTTGAGTTATCGGGAGCTGACTTTGATAAGTACTATGCTGCCGTGTACACAAAGTTTTGATCTAGCTATTGTGTATATCAGTTACGAAGGAGATTGACAACCTCACCAAACTTGTATAGTCCGTAATGTATGAATTTAGTTTAGCATCTTACTTTCTTGACATGATTGACCAGGACTGTACCCAGAGGAAGACCATTTTAGAAGCTTACCTTTCAGTTCTTAGTTTAAAAGAACCTCCCACTTCTGTGATCGGATGGACCATAACAGCCCTGGAGCACATGTATAATGATGCGTTTGGTGCAGAGAAGAGTGAGGTAAAGTTGGTTACCCATGTTCATATGCACTGGTAAAATTGTAAGAATGAGATTAATTTGATTCTCTTTATTTTCGCTAGAGTGAATGCTTGAGGTTGTTTACTCGCTGTTTTGCACTGATCCCTTTGGAAGACGTGAAACGCATTTTGCGGAACACACAAGTAGGTTATTTTTAGGGGGGTGGGACTGTTTTGTTTTTCCACAGTCTCTTTTAAGTGTTACCTAGATATTTGCCAAAGTTGCACACGGAGCCAGCTTCTAGACCTCAGTTTAGAGAGAGACTGCAACTCAACTTAAAGCTTTAATAACTCCTTCAACCATCATGCAAGCCCAGCCCATTAGGCTTTAGCTTTCCCACGATAACAAACAATACGAAGAACACAGGCGACAATATTAATGATACAAATCAAAGTGTTTATTTGATAATGCAATAGTAAATTATCCAAATAAAGTTTGAAGGTAATATATAAGAGTTTATAGAAAATTGGCCTGTCATGATTAGTTTGTCTGAAACGTTCCCTTTCACCTCAAACGCTTACTCTTTTATAGGCCACAGACACCAATGATTTATTTCTGCGTTGTTGCATGGTTCGAGATGGTATCGCTCCGGTGAAGTGGCTTGCACCATGTTTTGACTTTATTTTAAGTTCCGGCCTCATTGGTAAGAAAACCTGTGTTGTCATTTTTTTTGTTTTGAAAAAAAAGTTCGATGCTCGACGAAAGGTTAACGTCCTCCTGCTTTCCCCTTATTCGATTAGGACTTTATGAAAACATCAAACCATCTGTTGGCATTGTCGTTTACGTTTGTGAGACAACCTTGCTGGAAATATTTGTGAAACCTTCCATATAGCAAACTAGAAACAGTTTATTTGACAAATGTTAATTATTACTCGGTAATTGAAAGACGTTAAATTACTCGAGTGACATTTAAGACTACAACCCAAGGTTTTAATTTTTTTTTGGCTTTGTTGATCATTCAATCACCGAAGCTATCTTTAAGTAAACTTTTGTTGTAGGAACAAAGTACAAGGAATTCCTTTGCAGTGTTGTCCCACTCATAATTGATTCTTGTACCAAAATGAAGTATGATGAGAGACAGCATTGGTTCTTGGAACTGATTGGTCAGTTTAAAAATGCAGTTCAGCTTTCGTCGGAAACTTCGTCGCATCAGGTACCGATATCACAAGCATATATATGTTTCTTCCTGCGTGTATTCATTTGGTTTCATTAAATTCTCGTGACTGAAAACAGTTGTGGTGTTTTATAGACCGTAATGAAATCTTTGACTTTGTTGTCACTTGTGTCCGCTGCTTGGTGTGACGTGCCTATCCTTCAAGGTGTTGAATCACCTTTTTCGACTTGCCCACCCTTTGATGCAACGTATTGTGGCTCAATTGAGAGGTTCCCATATCTACTGCCACTGACATTGTCAACTTTGTTGGGGAAGGAGCCCTGGAGGCAAATCGCGGAAAAGGTATGCGTGAACGATTCTTGTGACGAGTTATGCTCTTTCATATGCTTTAATGCAGTTTTATATTAGAAGCCGGGCCCCGGGTACCGGCACCCGGGTACTTAAAACAGAGTACCCGGCTACTTCAAGTACGAAATCAACAAGAAAGTCGTAAAGAAATAAATTATCAACCTCAACCAAATATTTACCCTTCCTTGTAAGTTTAAAACCTTTTTTCTGCACTTATTTATCAATTACTAGCCGCCAGATCGCGAAAATAAATTGTACTTTAACAAGAAAGGCGCTGCGCGTTAATCGAGATTTTTAAGTGCCTAATTGGCTAACGTGCCACACGTTTAAAGCAAATGCATTCTGTGGAGTTATCATGGCAAGCAAAAGAAAAACTCGAGGCGTCCCAGATTCTTTTTTGTCATTTACATACAAGGAGTCAAAAGGTCAGTTTTCAGCATTTCATCAATCTTGTAATGTCTACACTTTCCTTTGAGGGAAACACGCAAGCACTCGTTTGCATATGAAAAATGAAGAGCAATGACCCAGAAATGGTTCTCTATTTTGAGAAATTACGTACAGTAACAATGCTTCCTATGCTTTCCATTCCTTAAACTGCTCATTTAATACTTTGTCTGAAGTACAACTCAAAATGTGAAATAAACAACAAGAGTAGAATGTCGCCGTAAAAGATGCTCATCAGCTAACACGTGCGTCTCAATACAAAGCTAGCATTTTCTTGGTTTTCAAAGCTTAAATATTCCGAGCAGTTGTAAGAATCTTTCTTCCAATTTAATTTTCATTCAAGATAAAGTCAAGAAACGCATTCGAAAGCGTTAACATATCAAAAATTCTAAACGTGAAAATCTGCTTCGGCTTGTATAGGCGCTGAGAATGTTAGCATTGGAATTGTGCAGTCTGGAATCTTCGATGTTTCGAAACTCCTGGTAACTCGGACTGTGACTAATTTTTTATTGAGGAAGAAGTAGAGGAAACCTCCAAAGCCTTGTAGCTAGCAGATTTGGATGCTGAAGATTCTGATTACGGCTCTGACTTCAAGTTATCATAAACTTCCAAAATGTTGTCAGTTTCTCTCTTGATGAGTTCGTAAGTTTGAGCCAACTTGTTACTTTAAGAAGGAACTGAAGGAGGCCCTATAAAACAACAGTATTGTTTTGATGTAGCTACAGCTGTGTATTAAAATAATAAAATTCTCCCAGAGTACCATTTTTATTTACTAAAACTAGATTAAGTATGCATCATTGCAAGAAAAGGTCTTTTACAGGAAAATGTGCCCCTGGGAGACTCAAGTTTTTAAAAATTTCCAGGGGGAACATGCCCCGAAACCCCCCCCCCCTTCGGCCCTCAATTTTATTAGGGTACCTGCCTACTCACAATGCAGCGCCCTTCTACTTTAAAACTTAATGAAAACTCTGCTTTAATGACAGTGATTTAACACGACAGTGCGAGCTTAGTGTTGCGATTGTAATCACGGTCGCTCAACAAAATTTTTCTCGATAAGAACTGACTGTAGGTGAAAAATCAAATTATAAAGTAGTGCGCTCTTCAGTCGCGTAAGAAATCATTAAATTTAATTGTATCGTCTGAACAGAGATGTTAAAAGTTTTTGAACGAGGATTCATTTCCAAAAGGGGAAGGATTTCTACGGTTTAAGAGTAGAGCAGCTGGAATCGGCTAACTGATTCAGGAGATATATGTATAGGTGTCGTATGCCGACGGCGAAGAAGGAAGGACAAGCTACGCGAATATTATGTAATTCCTTACCCCCCCGAATTGCCACCGAACAGTAAGGATCTGCTACCATCTACCCATTTTTAAATATCAACTCAATAAATGTAGATGTAGATGTAGAAATATCCAAATGTTCAGTGAAGTTCAAACTAGCAAATTGTACTTGGTGTATTTTACAAGCCTACAGAATTGAACATTAAGCTCTCACCTGAAAGGAGCCATTTCGACTTTGCGTATGTGTTCTAAAAGAAGTCTTCCAATGTAAGCTACCATTCACGGGGGAAGGATGGGGAAGGGAGGGAGGGGATGTATGTATACCTTCTCACCCATCTTAAACATGCACTTTTTTCGAACTAAAGACAGATCATGTGGTCTTATGCAAAGTATGATATACTGAAATTTAAAGATAACAGGGATGTTTCCTTTGCATGGGTATGGAATTTTTAGACTTATATTAAGCTTCTTTGATTTTTTCGTAACTTAAAACTATGAGCAGCGGTTTTCAAGATCAAACTAGGGTATTTGAACATAGGTTAAGCTGAATTGCCCCTGCCTTTAAAAATGAACGTATGATGAAGTAGAGTTTAGTGGTTGCCTTCTGTGAATGTACCAAACCAAGTAACTTCCTAGAAAAATACTGACATCTCTGCCACGGGAGTCCCTAATTTCTCCAACCATGTGATCAAAAGAAACGAGGGATCTGGGGAAGAATATGTCATTTTTTTGTTCTAAGTGACCTCGGTAACTGCAGTAGCATTTAAGCCACACGTAACAGCCTGTCGTTAATTTGTTCTCGTATACATTATTTTTTCCTTCAGGTAATAGACTGGCTGTTATCCTTAAGAGGGGATCTCAGGCTTAAAACCGAAAATGTACATCATATGCTTATACATGGTAAGTACCCTTCACAACTGTAAGCAGGAATGCAACAGAGGCATGAAACAATATAATTGATGAACATTTGGCTTGATGTGACCGACCAACTGACTGACTGATTGATTGTCTTGCCGACTAAACTACCCACCTACCGAACGACCAGCCGACCGAACGACCAGCCGACCGAACGACCAGCCGACCGAACGACCAGCCGACCGAACGAACGGCCGACATAACGAACGAACTAAGAACCGATTGACTCACCGGATAATTCGTACGATAAATCTAATCTGTCATTTGAATACCTGAGGGAACTCTTTTTTTTTTTCAGATACACTTATTTCTTTGCGGGAGACAGAAGCATATAGAAAAACAGCGTTGTGGACTGAAGTAGTTGCTGAACTCCACCCTAAGTAAATCGAGGTAAAGAAGAAAAAACCTTTTGTGCATCCTAAATTAAAGGTGGTGAATGGTTTTATTAAGAGTTGGTGGTCAAAACAGCATTGAACTGGACTGAACTGACGTGATAAAATAGCACTGGAGAATAACATGACATTAGACTATGACACCTATTTGACCTTCTTTTAGCCCATTGTTCATTTTCGTAAATGGTCACGAGGATTCAGTCCACAGGTCTAAGTGGTTTTTCGCCCATTACGTTCCTATAGTTTGTCTTCTAATTGCTGCAAACTCTCAATATTACTTTTCGTTAACCGCAGATACCTGCAGTTTCGCAGCTTTCTAAATTCTTCCCTGGTGAATTTGATTTCAGGAGGACTGGGCCAGGGATATCTTGGAGCTTCACGGTCCATTTCATGATACACATTGAGAAGCTGCTTTAATTTCATCAGCATTGAGTGAATACCACTATCCTGATCATGGCTGCGATCAAAGGCGGCGGCGATATGAGAAGTTGGACCCTGGGTTACATAGTGCTGTAAAAATAGCGAAAAATGAAATGCCAGTTACAGTATGACTCTATGTCGTTAGCTCTACAGTGTCTCTGGGGAATAACGTACTATTATGGCACAGGGGTTTAGGGGTTGGCCTGCCATGTAGTTGCTATATCACCGGGATCAGTTCAACACTAAATATCCAAATATTTTTTGGCTACCAACAGCCTTGAGGTAATTGACTTCAATCTATTTAGTACCGAATCGCCGTTATGGTATTTATTTCCTATTTGATAACTATCTCAATGTGTTGTGACAGGTTAGTTGATAGTGCTATTCCCTGTTAGATAAAGAAGTTAAATTCAGTTATCGCAAGGGTAGAACAAACAAGTTTCAAGCCTGATATGACCTGACGACTTACATCCTGTCGATTGCCATTGCGATCAATCCCATGGACGTGATACCCTGTCAGATGATGGGGGGCATGGTGACTAGACCTTCCAGGCTTGTCTTGCTTGTAAGCCTCGTGAGGCAGAAAGTGATGATGGTTAACGACATTGTCTGGATGTAGCAGTCCATTGAAGGCGGGATTTTGGTGTTCAGCTCTCTCATTTGAAGTACTGGCTGTGTGTGGTGTGAACTGGGATAAATGGGTAGTATGAGGAAGATTTTCAGGTTTATTTGTGTACCTACGGGGCCAATTACTGTCTTCATCGTGGTACTCATGTCTGTCGTGGACAGGAAACATTCTTTGCAATCTGTGGTAGAGATCGCGTAGTTCTTCTTTCTGTTTTGTTCTGTTGTGAAGTGTTTTGTCTTCTCCAAAACTGCTTCCTCTGCTTCGACGATGTGAGTGACTGTTCCTACGGCTTCCTCCCTCCCTTCCTCCCTTGTGTAGCGTTATCTCTTCTCCAAAACTGCTTCCTCTACTTCGACGGTCTGAATAACTGTTCTTACGGCTTCCTCCCTCTTCAAGGCTCTTCTTTTTACCTCTAGATGCCCTCAATGCACTTTGTTTTCCCTTGTCATTTTCGTGATCATTTATTACAACTATACCCTGGTCAGCGCCAAAGTTCCATCTATGGGCACCTACACCTGGTACATATGCTGTGTAAGCGTCAACACCTTTTTCTGAATACCTTTTGTTATCGTCCTCGATGCTGGAAGCTCTACTTCTTCCGTGGTTACTTTGAAGGATATTGGTGTTTTTGAACCCTTGTTTCCACGCGTAGTGAGGAGGATTTTCCTCAACTTCCAAGCTTCTCCTTCGTTCTCCTTTAAAACAGTGCAGATCTTCGTGTTTCTTGCTGTGTTTGTGTGAATCTTGTTTGCGTTTGTGATGGTGGTGAGGATGTTTAGAAGGATCGTCATGGCATGTACAGATGTGCTTATATTCTCTCCCCTGGGCGTCTCGAGGTAAGTTGCAAACAACGCATGACATAAATGCCTGTGTCCTACGAATGTCTGAGCCAGCTTCTCTTTTGGTCGGCTTTGTTACAGAAGGTAAAGCTGTTGTAACGAGTTGTTTTGTAGCGTTGGTTGAACTTGCTATCGGTGAAAGCGATATGATAACACTGGCATCAGAAGGGCCTGCACACACTTTCACTGAAGTTTTCTTGTCACTGATTTCCGATTTGATTGTTACCTGAAGTTTTCTGTCGTGACATTTAGTCTGTCTTCGTAAATGCCGTTGTTCGTCACTTGTATGTTCATTTGCTTCAAAACTTGGGCGCCTCTCGGGATGAAAAGCAAAGCGCTCTTGGTTTTCATGATGTTCACTATCTTCGAAATGATCTTGATTTGTATGCTGCAATCTTTTCAGTGTACTTAATAACTCCCTCTCTTCTTTTCGGTAAACATGTGATTGAACATCTTTACAGGCCTCGAGGGTTCGTATCTCTTTATCCAAGCTGAGCTTTCGGGCCTTGTTGGTGACATGCAGGCCATAGAAGTTTCCTTCCGAAATGTGACGAATCTGTTTGAGCATTTCAACTCGTTCATCCCATTTTCAGGTCTTTATGAGATGTGTCACTTAAAAAGTCTTTATTATGACGTCAAAGTGGAAGTCTAATCGAATTTGCGAGTGCTGTCATTATCAGCTCGCGCAAGAATGGATGAAGCGAAGATTTCTCCTGAAAAGTACGTTTTGATAGGATGCTTCCCAACTTAGTTTGCCTCTGTAACATGCAGCTTATCGAAGTTTATTTTGATTTGGTGGAATTTTTCTTGTTTGATCCAGTTAGTGAGCTTGGGAAAGATTAACTGACCGAGATACCCCAGGACCTTTATACCCAGTAGATAATCAATTTTCGAAAAGTAGACGAAGAGTCCAACGCTGCTTTTAATGATGAATGCATTAACTTTTAAAACGAACTGCTTAAATTTGGACTAATATGGAGACTTCGAAACGTCTTACAATCCAGAACGATCAAGTGACAAATTTGCGATAAAGAAAGTTCAAAAACTCAACTCAACTCAGTAAAACAACGAGAATACATGTGATTGGCTGAATTGACAAATCACTCGCGCCGTGCGTGAATACATATATCTTATTAGACGTTTTGTTGTGTGGTATCGCTGAGTATTTACAAGTTGTTTGTATTTTGACTACGGGCTCGTCAAAATACAAACAACGAGTAAAAATACTCATCGATACTACACAACAAAACGTCTAATAAGAGATTTATTATCCAACAGGCCAAATTGTTATTTCAGTGCGGGCGAATTTCGCGGATATTTCTGGAGTACAAATATCGCGTGATATTTGCTCTCGGAAAATGCGAAGAGGGGGATAGAGGAAGAGAAGATTGTAGCTTGAAATTATTAAATTCACAAAAAGCTTAACAAAATTTCAACAAACACCGATAAATACTCCTTATCATGCTTCTTTGCAAAAGATGAAATGTTTCTCTAGTTTTTAACTCGTGAATTGCGCGTGCGCAAGAGCGAGTTGTAGGCATGATGGCTCGACTGTTCGATTCCTGTAAACTTTTTTCTATTTTAGGCTTTTGAATGCATTTGATAGTTTTTGGCGAGTGATAAACAAACGAAATGGCGACCTTTGTTGCTAAGAATAGTGTTGGGGTGAAAAAGAAGCCTATGATAATCTTGAAAGAGTAAAAAAGTATACGTTTCTCATTTGTGAATTAATTAAAGTTTGCCCAATCTCCGAATACACTTTTATCTTTTGCAGCGTATATTTCATTTATGTCATAAATACTTCTATTTTTAAATGTACACATCCAGGAAAATGATTATTGTGTCCGAAAAAGAAAAAAAAAAGATAATAAAGAAGGAAAGGTAAGCCAAACTCAGAATATACATGAGGACGTCGCATTTGAACCACCTACATCGCTACCCCGAGAATGTGAGCCACCGCACTGCTTTTTACGATAAGGCCACCGAAACAGGTTGTTAAACTGGGGTGAAAGTTTATCTATATATAGATTTTACATTTAAAACGCTGGTCTTTGGTAATTTCAACCGCGGGCTCAAACGACTCGAGTCGCTGCTCGCCGATAGTCCGATTCTGAAGTGTCGCTCACGGCCAACTGCTCGTAAAGTGACTTGTTTGAGGCTTGTTTGCTATTCCTGGAGCTGTATCGACGTTGGAAAGTGGTTCACAAGTGGGAACTGCAGTGAAAGAAGCTCAAGCATAAGTTCAATCAATCGATATGCTGTTTTCTTCAATGGTGTAACTCGCACTGCACTGTTAGGTTTGTACGTTTCCAGATACGTTGAATTAAGGATTTTTTCATAAAAATGCGTCCTGGAGTGATGAACAGGAAGTTCTAAAGATGGGGATTGATATCACTCAAAATGAGTGTGATTATCAGTTCTCAAAACAAGGAATATACACTGACAGTGAGTGACAAATACTGCCTAAAACTGATAACAGAGGCCTTACCTTATTAGGTGACTAAAGTTTCTCAGAGTAAGACCTATTTTTTTCAAAATGAGTAAGTAAAGATCTCAAAAGAAAGCACTTACTTCTCAAAGATTGTTAAATAATACATCATCTCTTTGTCCTTGAGACAAGGATCTTAACTCCAGGAAGTGGTTCTTTCTATCAATATTTTGTGCATGTAACACAGGTTAGCCAGGCCATACTACAAACTCAACAAAAACTTTTAATCTGACATTAATAAACCCAAATTGTGCTTTCTTTAAAATGTTTAACATTATTTGAACTTAAGATACCTGCACAGCAGCAAGTTTTATTTTGAAGCAAGACTTTAAGTTACACCTCACTTCATTTGATGTATATCAAATTAACAGCAAAGTGACATGGCTTTATACCTAACACCAACTCTTCAAGAAATGGCACAGCTACATCTTAACTTAATATGCAGAAGTTTTAACGATTGAATAAAAATCTTTATGCAGATTCACCAATACTAAAATAAACAGTATATAGTGGCTTCATGACAAACACAAATTCCTCAAGGAAGAGGTATAGTAGCCTTTCCTTTGAATCATACTGAAGATTACTCTTTCTCTTCGTCAAAAATCTTCCTACAGATTTGCCTGTACCTAAATGCTCATTGTAGAGGCTTTAGGACATATTCTTCAAGAAATTGATACGGTAACTTTTCTTTTGAATCATACTGGAGATTAAAACAATAATAAGTTGACAGTCACAACAACAATCCCTTTACAAGGATGAATATCCTTGCTGGTGTATGACTGTAATTACTTCTGTCAACAAGTGGTTTATATTTAGTTTGAGATTCTTTACTCTGGTTCAGTAATTTTTTGTATAGTAATCACATGATTGTATGTAAAAGTTACAAATGGTAGCAGTTTACATTCCATGCTTATTCTTCTGGAAGTTATAAATTTATGATTTATTTTGACAACCACTTTGATTGTCATTTAAAATTAAAAATTTTGTGAATTAGATGCAACAAGGATATTCCTAATGCTTTATATTTAGGGTAAACTAGCAGCACTCAAAACTGTGGTCTTGTTTCATGAAGAATCACAGATATTGAGTGTGTTGAAAGAAAAATCAATGTAAAAAAGTTTTTCAAATTATATCTACTTATATTTCCTTTGGAATTTGGCAAGCACAATTCCACAGAGATTTTGAAATTTTGGCAAGGATTTATCATAAATCTAGTTGGAAGAAGAACCTTTCTACATAAGTGAATACTTGCTAAAAGCAAGGATTTGAGATATTTATTCAATAGTGGAAATGTCCTTAAAATGAGAATTCAAAGTCATAATTCTTAAAACAAGGAATGTAAATCTTATTTTTAATGGTGGTATTCTTAAACTGAGGAACTTTCATTGGAGAGTATAAAATTCTTAAAAGCAGATATCTTGATCCTTACATTTCAAGGAATTGACTCTCAAAATAAGGAAAAAATCCTTGTTTTGAGTATCACTGACTAACAATAAGAATTCTGAAAAACAGAATTTAGAGTGGTGTGAACATCCTTGTACTTGTTTTTTCATCCTCGTGCTAATAATTATCTAAGAAGTGAGAAACAGGCTTCAAGGGCAGTACTCGGTTGCAACACAAGCATAGGCATAAACATAACAAGCTAATGTGCAGGTGGGCTCAGCTGCAACATAAACATGAGCACAAGTGCTCAGTCGATGTTATGTAAAATAGGGACATGGTTGGTATAAGCAGTATAGTGCTTGCTGATTGCCTGAAAGTTTTTTGCTTATGTTTATGCTTACGCTTATGCCAACCAAGTCTTAACTAGACAGTCCAAGCATAAAAAGAAGGCAACGTTTTGATAATCTTATGCATATATGCTTATCCTTATGTCCGTGCGTTCCATCCAGATTTTACATGCCTATTCCAATGCTTGCATCGCAAGTAAATACTGAGCTCAATATTGGAACAATAGTTTTATTATAAACAAAACAGCACCCTTTTGAACTTTCATTCCATAAACCTTAACAGTAAAATCTGGAACAGTGATTGTCTTGCACCAAATCCTAATCAGGCCATATTTTTTCTGTCTCAGAGGCCTAATTTAGTCTCGCATCATATTCCTCATAATGCTCATTTACCAGTCTAACGATTCATACCTTAGTAAGGAAATCAAACACCCATTTCTATTGACGACACAAATGACATTGGCTTATCCAATTCACAGAGCCTTTGATTCATATGGAAAGCACTTCAGTTTTGTTAATTTAACGTTTGCTTCACTTAGTGCAAGACTTAGTAAGATAATTGGCTTAGTAGCTTTTCGTTGTAACACGAGGAGAAAAATACTCCTGTTATACCAAGCGCGAGATCACCCCCTTGTTGTGTAACATTCTGCATTTAGCTAAAGAAATAAAACAAAACCAAAATCACTTACAGATCTCAAATGTCACTTGAAGGCTCCGAAACATTTACTCTACTAAAAGTTATCCCCCACGTCTCTGCTCCAGGCAATAAAGCACTCTTGAGTGGAATTCAGGTAGAACCTGAGCCAATTTAAAACAATAACCCAGTTATGCTACTTGTAGTTGACACAGAAAAAGCTACAGTTTGTGTCCCATCAGGGGACCGCAAATGCAGACAGGGCGATGGCCTTGTTCTTTGGTATTTGTTACCATCAAACTGATTTCCAGTTCAAGAAACTTTCATGAGTACAAGACAGATCATGACTAAAACACCACACGAGTACGACGCGTGACACACAAGTGACGTAGGGATACATACGAATGCATAGGGCTACATACGAGTATGTATGGGTTAAATTTTCCATATTTTCTCTTTACTTTGCAACAGAACCGTAAAGACTTGGTGCGTACGAACAACAAGCCAACGCTATGCGTTTGTCCCCATGAGGCTGACGTGGGTGTCCAAAAAAGTGTCACTTTTTTCACTGAGTATTGTGAATAATACTACGCTATTACGTTTGAAAGTTTTCTGCGCTTTTTCGACGTAATTTTTTTTTGTTAATTGCTTTTTTAAACCAAATTTGAAGAGTTGGACATCTTGATCACGACATCAGAAAAAATTGCACAGCGTGTGGAAACCTGACTTGCCACATCACAACAAAAAATTTTCTTTGATACGTTTCTTGGTCACGGCTGCATTGATTTAGTAAAACAATCTACCATATGCTTTTAAATATAAGAACATTACTTGGGTATGTTTAGGTTTCGAGAAAAAAGAAAAATGAAAGGACTCTCAGCCTTACAAGCCCTATAAGCATTTCTTCACTCGCGAATAAGTTTGAAACCTGAAGTGGCACAGATCGCTTGCTAGGGCACTGCTAGCTCGCTGGGCTCATCGGCTTAAGATTTAAAACTTACTCGCGGGTTTAGAAAACCGTGGCGCCACAGCACTAAATATAAAAGAGAGTGCAACAGTCGCTCAGTCGTTTAGTGGTTTTAACCCGTGTGGGATTTCCCTGCCACGTGGAAATACAAAAGCAAGTTAGCACAAGGAAGCTGTCAAGAGGAATCGAAAACACCTCTCCAATATAAAATTTACAGCTAAGGTTTCAGTGGAACAGGAGTCTAGGGGGTTTTCTATTTCAACTTTTCAAGAATTTTGCATGATTAGAATGGAACCTGATGACCATGATTGCTAAAATAAGAATTTACTTGCCTGCCCTTCTTGCTTGCCGCATAATCTGCTGAAAAAAGAAACTGATGTGCGACAATTTACAGTGAGAAAAACTCCCGAGGTAGACTTTCCGATAACCAGGTGGAAATGAGCTCACGCTCCTCCTCCCGAGAAAACAGGGTCCAAAAAAGAGGTTTGGGTACGGTTCGGATGGAAAACCGAAAAAAATAGATAAATAACCCATATGTGTGGCGCGCGCCTGCGCTCGCACATAAACTCCATGACATGGTGACTCCGTTCTCGAAAATAACTCTCCAAGCATTTTGAAAACCAATAAATCAAACATTTTACTGGTGTGTATCCATATGTACTGGTATTTGGCTAGTATGTTAGTCACCTGCCTCTCGTTGTGCGCGTGTGGTGTAGTCATAATCTCTGAGAAGAACTTTCAAGTGTGTTTGAGTTCCAGCTTATCGCCAAGCGAAAAAGTACTACACAATATGATGAAGGTCGTTGAAGCGTTTTGTGTAATGGAACCGAGCAAAGGAAGTGGTGGAAATCTGCTTTTGGATTAATCAGCTTTCCAAGTTCTTCCGCTGTGTTGTCTATTAGAAAGGTTGTGGTGTACTGGTGTACAAAAAACGAGTTGATTTCATGAAAACGAAAAGCAAGAAAATTTATGTAACCTCTAATTTTCTCATCTCATTGGTCATCACCGCACTGTACACACTGGAAGAAGACAAATCTTTCCTAACCTCACTAACTGAACCGTTTTGATTTTTGTTTTTCGTTTTTTTTTTTGTCGTTTCTCTGTCAAGACTGAGAGTACTCAAGCGCCCTTGTGTCAAGTTATGTCCAGCCTCCTTGTACAAAACGATGTGCCATACTACAACTGGACATTTCCATATGAAAATACCATTAAAAACTCTACAAAGCAAAGGAAACAAAAAACAACGAGAATGAAGTCTATAGTCTTTCATTCAAATTTCTCACGAATTTAATGGAAAGGGGCTTTTAACTCTTAAGGTCGCCGGGTATTTCACACAGCTTTGCTTAACTTGAATAAAGGCTGATAGTTTCTAAAGAAACTGTTTGGGGCTGCGTCGGTTGGGGTAACGAAATAATTTGGATAAATCAACAAAGTTGAAATGGTAAATTGGCCACCGTAACGATTACAAAAGCTGACGTTTCGAGCTTTAGCCCTTCGTCGCTCCGACGAAGGGCTAACGCTCGAAACGACAGCTTTTGTAATCTTTACGGTGGCCAATTTACCATTTCAACTTTGTTGATATATCCAAATTATTTGCTTAACTTGAATGAACCGTTCACTGAAACACGAATCGAGTGAAGAAATTTCATGTGGTTGAATAAAAAATCAGTGTCCCACACATACTATGCCGGTGCCCTTTTTTGTGGTTCAGGATTTTTTCAATAACTGTTTTCCAGAAAGTAATTTTAAACCAGAATCAAAGTTTGTTTACTTCACATTTTTTTTACCCACGAGGACGATGGATGTTCTCTATGGCTGGCTGAATCTATCGTAGGTAACTGGCCAATGTTTTCATTCGTCATAGAAGAAAAGGTTTTTCTTTGAATGTTCTCCCTTAAAAGAAATAATTCGTATCGTTTTTTTGTGGTGATTGGTAATGTTTTCATTTTGGACCGGTAGTTGAGCTTCTTATGAGGGTCAAAACTGTTTACACCATGATTTATTTGCATGTTTCTTGCTTATACCCAAATTTCTTGCTTATACCCAAATTTCTTGCTTATACCCAAATTTCTTGCTTATACCCAAATTTCTTGCTTATACCCAAATTTCTCGCTTATACCCAAAAGCCGTACAAAAAATCAAAGAATGATATATGACATAAAATGCAGACTATATTTTGGGAATCTTTTGGAAAAAAAAGATTAAGATTAAGGATCTTCCCTTCTTACTAAAAAAAATAAGATATCTCGAAAACTGGTACTCGCTATTTTTGTTTGCTCAGGATATCAAGTCTAAAAAAGCAATATTATCGCGAAAAAGTGTGGTTTTGAAATTGAAGAACATGGGTTTTCTTATGATCTAAGTGGTGTCCATTTTTATTGACGCTAATTTGCTACAGGACTTCTTAATGATAAGTTGTCATAAAATGGAACTTTTGTTGGCTGAGATGTGACCGACCACGCGCCCCTCTTAGTAACATGACGAGGTATCTAAATACTATGCTGACCTAGTATACTCTGCCCACTCTTTGAATAGCTTTGATCCGGGAACAATCCCGACCAGGAAGGCTTGTGCAGCATTGCCTAAGGTAAGGCCGGCTTAACGACATTAGTCGCATGTGCAGTGCTTTTTTTGTTGTTCGCGAACAAATGAGACATCATTAAAATCAAAATAATCGATTTGAATTCAAGCAAATCATTTCATTAAAACTACGAGGGGTTTTATCTTTTCTTTTGATGTAGTCGAGAGCGAAAGAATTGTGAAAATAACTTTAAAAAATCATTCTACTTTTGATTCCGCTGTATGTGACAGCGAAGTTTAAAATCATAATTTTAATGTGAGAGTTTCTTTTAGCAGGCATTTGCACGGGAATGACACATTATAGAGACACCTTGGTGTTTGTTGTTCCAGCCCCCTTTTTTTGTAATCTCTTAGCAGAAAGTGTTACAATGGCTCTCACCGACGAAAACAACAAAAGCGTGATTATACCGTTCTTAGTCATTCGATGCCTTTTTAATAAGAGTCCACTGGTGGGGCGGGGAGAAAGTTAAGCGAAATTTTACACAAGGTTGTCCTCTTCTTTCGGCTGGACGTTTTCTCGAGAGCTACAGGTTCTAGTTTCTTCCTCTAGCCTTCAAGTTTTGAAAGTTCTTCTCTTTGCGAGGTAGGGGAAGGGACATAAGAAGTCACTTAAGACCTACGGCCTTGCCCAGCAATGTCAACCGAACGAGTGATAAATTTTGAAAATATTAGTTTTAGATATGAGACATCAAAAACTTGGAGAACAAAGAAATCGACTCACGAAAATTTACTTGAGCATCCCAGTTACTGACTTAGTTCAAAAAAAAAAACAAAACAGCGACATTTCTTTCTGTTTAGTTGTCTGTCGCGTCAAACTGTTTTAACCAAAACGCTTGTCGAAGTTTCTCAGTAGCAGTCGGGATGCTTTCAGTTGAACTTGGATACTTGTGATCAAGTAATGTGAAGGTTTTCAAGGCATTTTTTGTGGGATTTGAAAAGATTTTTTACAGCCTACTGCAGTTGTTTCTTATCCATTTCCTGTGGAGAGCGTTGTATTCTTTATCCCAACAGCTGTGAGCTGTTAGATTATGTTCACCCACTATTCCTGTTCACACCTTAACGTTTCGTAACCTATTCACGTCTCATTCACTCGACGCCATATATCGTGCTCATACACCATCTTTTAACCTCACTGATTACGCGAGAAAAACTATTGATACTGAAAGATTCGTTTTATGAAAGTGAAGACTGTTTGTATGCAAATTTGATCGCACGATTGAAAAGTGGCGTACAAATCTCTTATCGCAAATTTGGATTGGGCATCTCGTTCAAAGTAGTCCAGTTTTATTTGTTTAGTTCAGGTGTCGTACCTTTCTTTCTGTTTTTACTGGCTGGTGTCGTGTTTAAGGTGCAGTAGTTTCTACAATCTCCTGAATAAAGGATTTTTTTCTTGTGGCTTGTGCACCACGTTCCTTCCAAATCCGATGAATAGAGCATATATGTCATTCAGTGGTCCGACATAAAAGGTCCCAAAACAAACCGTAAAACCATATACAGCAAAATAAATTTTAGAAAAATCCTACTAATTTTAAAATCGAAAGGTTTCAGCTGCTAATTCCTCCTTGAAGTGCGGGTTTTATATCAAAATGCATCCGGTTTGCACGAGATGTTTTTTGGGAAAAAGACTTTCCTCACTTTGGTAACTCATCAGCGCAGGCATCTTCAATCAAACCAACAAGGCAAACACGTTTTACTCATCCTTAGTAAAGTATACATTTTTGACAGAATATTGGTTTTGCCGTCAGAGAAAGTCACCAAAGGTCTTAAAGCTTTTAAATCTAATCGCAGCTATGATATGCGTCAGTATCTTAATCTTAACCGCAGAAACCAGCAAATATAGTTTGCCTCAGCCATGAAAACTATTATAAAGAAAATTGATCTAAACACGTAGGTGAAAAACACCTGTTTCCCAGGGCAGAGATGAAAATTTCGAAAGCGAGAAGAACGCGAAGCCTGTATAAAACTAACAAGGGTAAATCATCTGAAAATTTTTCTAAAAAATTTCAAAGTGTATTGGGTTGGTTCGAATTACCATCTTCGAATATCTTTACTATCTGCGGTCATCATATTTCATGAAGAAGGGTGTTTGTGAGGATGCAATTAACATCCTGGAATTTAATCTTCTGTGATTACAATGAGGCGTAGTGAGTAGGCACGGGATTCAAAAAGGAACTTGTAAAATATGTTCCTCAGTTTGATAAAGAAACATCTTCCACTTGCCTTATCAGCGGGTTACCTTAAAACGTCGATAAAGATCTCATGATAGTTTCTTTGCCATGGAATTAAGCTGCTAATTGGCATGTATTCGGATTTTAGTAGCTTGTAATTGTTTTTGTCTTTTTAAATTAGCTCTAAACCGCCGCCCTCTGCACTAAACCAATCACAGCTCTGAAAAACACCGACAAAATTAAAACTTCGTTAAAAACTTTTGTTGTAAAGACTCAGGCTAAATGTATATGACGCGCAACGGGGGGATTCATCAAATTCTTACCTAAGGATATAAATCGTTCACAAACATTTCGCCAAATAGAACACTTTCAACGGACGAACTCGACGACTTGCTACAGTGGGAACTTCTCAGCAAAGAAGAAAAGTTTTTGTCAAGCACATTTGAAAAGTAAGTTGAAGAGAAAGTAACACCACGGACATATTGTTTTCAGTGCATGCCGGGTTTATGAACAGACTCTCTGAGTAATCAGGGCAAATCGTTTTTTCGTATTATTGTACCTTCGCGAAAAAATCATCTTTTCATCCAGATTCATGAAGAAGTTCTTCTGTAGATGTGAGTGTTTTGACATCTGCGTTTTATATTATTTTATTACTCCAATGGGTTTGTTTATGCATTCGTTCATCTTGGTGTATCGGCTTAAGTGGGAAGGAAAAAACAAAGAGGAATATCTTCGCATTAACAATAGACACACGAATTGACTTTTGTCCATAACATGGGACGGCCATTATCAGTTTTATAAAAACTATTTCTCAATTCAATTTTTTAAAAACAATTCTTAAATTGTTTATTCATTGGGATAGCGTTGAGCTTCCAATAATGACTTCTTCTTAGAAACCAATGTGTTTCAATGCATGATGACCATTGTAAAAAAAGCTTTTAGTCTACTTTTTTTGTCATAATTGATATCAGTCACTTTCTCTTTCACAGCCATAAGACAAAAAGTCATCTTGTGGTTTTTCTTCATTGATTTCTCTCAACAATGAAGACTCTCCATGATCCAACTTCTTTTTAATTTTCCCTGTCAGGCTGTATTTTTTTGTGGACCTGAAAAGTTCCACCTTTTTTCAGTATGTAACAGACACACACCTCTATTCAGAGGATTCTTTGTCGGCTGATTGTCAAAAGAATTGTATATCTCGGTTAAAAACCGCAAGTTCACCCCACCTTCACCTGCTTCGACTGTTAGCAATCATTTCTGTGCTTGAGAAAAAAGATTTGCATTTACTTCTTCTCCTCTCTTCATCTCCTTTCTTCCTTCATTCACTAGTTCATGTGACTTTTAATTACAGTTGTTTTTTTTTACTCATATCTCTGGGGTCTATAAAATCGAGAGCGCGTTCGAAATTTTAGAGCTATAAACAATCATTTATGAAATGACATTCTGAATGCTTTCTACTGAAATACAATTGAAGCTTTCATAGGCTTCATAAAATTGAAGCTTTCATGGCTAAGTGCATGTTGTCCCTTACAAAGGAAAAGACTGTTGCAGGTATCAATTGTTCTTTGTGCTTTCATAGGCTTCAATACAATTGAAGCTTTCATGGCTAAGTGCCATGTTAAAGCATGTTGTCCCTTACAAAGGAAAAGACTGTTGAAGGTATCAATTGTTCTTCTTCGCGCACAGAAGTTCTTTTTAAAGCGGGATCTGATGAAAACGGACTGAAAGTAATCTTGTTACCCACTTGACACCCAAGAGTGAGGTAAAAAGGTCGCCTACATTCTATTTGAAACGAAGTGATAGTTTCAATCAACAGGTCTTAATCAGAGGGGGTCTCACCAAAAGGGTTCTGACTTGACTTAGAAAAATTTGGAATGTGGGATAAAAGTCGACGCTTACCTTACGGATGGAGCTCGAATGGGAAAGTTTTAGTAAATTACTGAACGAAATTCCTTTTCAACAGAGCTAAAATGCGTTTTCGTGCGGCGACCCATTTATTTCCTACAGTGCTTCTCAGAAACTATTTTTTAAGGTGAGTATCTTATGCAACTGTTCTAAGTTATGTTTTCCTTTTTCTTTTTTAGAAAAATGAGTTGGACTATATTTGCCGTTATTACGATTGTTGCCCTTTCACACGAAGCAGTCAGCAATCCACTGAGAAGAAATAGGTTGTGGGAGGATGACTGCCCCCCAGGAGTCTGGGGATGTAAGCGCTCGGAAATAGAGAGCACAAGAACTGATGATGACTGTCCTCCAGGAGTCTGGGGATGTAAGAAGAACGTCATCGAGGAGCTGGATGAAGATTGTCCCCCCGGTGTGTGGGGCTGTAAGCGAAACTTCAAAATAAAGAAAAGCAACGACGAAGACTGTCCACCTGGAGTCTGGGGCTGCAAACGAGGTCTATTTGCCTCTGTCAAAAGTTGGTTCAAACCAAAAGGAAGATCTACGCGGTCAGTGAAAAGCAATAACGATGAAGATTGTCCCCCCGGAGTGTGGGGATGCAAGCGAGAAATAAAAAAGGAAGAGTCAGGCGAAGAAGGATGCCCACCAGGGGTCTGGGGTTGTAAGAAAGACTCGGTCGAAAATGATTGTCCTCCCGGGGTTTGGGGCTGTAAGAAAGACAAGATTGAAGAAGATTGTCCACCAGGGGTCTGGGGCTGTAAGAAAGACAAGATTGAAGAAGATTGTCCACCAGGGGTCTGGGGCTGTAAGAAAGACAAGATTGAAGAAGACTGTCCACCAGGGGTCTGGGGCTGCAAACGAAACGAGGTCTCTGAGAAAGAGGAAAAGGAAGATGATGAGAAAAAAGATGAAATGGCTGCTAAAGCCGAGTGCCCACCAGGGGTCTGGGGCTGCAAAAGAGAGAACTAATGAATTGAAAAGTTTCCAGATTAACTCAGTCAGTGAATTTTGTCAAAGTCAACGCTGAACGACCTTGTGACTGTGTCAAGTATCATGTCGACTGTATAAATTACACTTTACTATTTATTGATTTTGATTAATGCAATTCTAAGTAAGTTATGAACAGAGTGTATTTTTAAGTTGAAAAGAAATAATGTTCAAGTAACAGAAGTTAGCAACCATTGGACTGTCAACAAATAAAAATTTGAAACTCCGCTGCGTCTTAAGGTTCGTTTGTTTGGTATAGTTTATACTGTCCATCTCCTTTTCTATTGTTTTTTGGTTTGAACTGTACCTACCCTACCCAATTAATAACAAGAAAACATGGCGAGGTTATCATTGTAGACGAGAAGAAAATTTATTTCTTTATCAAGCTCCATATAAAAAGGTATGCGTAGTGTGTCCTTAAAGTGGAAACATAAAGTGGGAGAGGAAGACTATCCAGTTAAGAATCTGTTCTTGTACTTTAAAGATCTAAATTATGGTTTTTTAACCGTGTTAATGGACTCTCTGACATGGGCTGGTCGTATAGAGCATAGCTGGTCACTATAATTCGTTGTAAGACCATTATAAGGTGTCCGATTAGAATTTTGAGAGTTGATGCTAAAAGTTCAAAGCCTCATTTTCGGTCAAAAAGTGAACGTAACTATGCCAAGTCGGTTTGCTTAAAAAGCTTTAAAAAAGGGGCAGTGCGACTGCGAGTAGGGGTGAGTCAAAGTTTGTCACATTTCTGACCTTACGCTCAGAAAGAAAGTAAGCGTGAGGAGCGATGAATTAATGAGTGTAACACTCGCCACCCTCGTTTACGTAGGAAATGTAACAAAGACTAACACCATTCCTCACTAGCTCGACACCAAAGTGTAATGTTCATTTGAAGGTTAAAAGGTTTCTACTGAGAAGTTATGGGACATTACCAAACGACATCAGTCTTCATTGTTTTGAAACAATTATATTAATTCACCGAATAATCAATTTGCAATAAGTATTTGTTAATGTATATAAATATCCCTAAATATATTAAACCCTATAACTTCTATTAAGGCTATGAAAAATATTTCATCAAAATCACTTTTTTTTTAAATCAAAATATCGTTTCATATGTTCATGTTGATTTTGGCGTTGTGTTGGCAAACTCTGTTCCAAGTTCCAGAAGCTTAATAAAGAGATGTCAGCAAATCGTGTAGATGATAAAGTCAGTCAGGTCTAAAATATCCGTGTGACAATTTCAGATTTCAGATTTGAAGAAGAGAACCCGAGCGGTAGAGTTAGTTACGCGGGCTTGTCAAATCAAAGAGTCCGCTGGGTTCAGCTAAACTTCTCAACATTACCCGAAACACATTAATTGCACATTTATCTGAAGTTTTGAAAACTAACAGGACAAAACTTTGCCTTTTTCAGGATTTCCACATTTTAATCATCGATCGTACATTATCTTTTCATCTGTTTTGTTTGTCACTCTTCACCTTCCGCAACAACTAGTGGCGTGAAAAAAGACCCATTATTTTTCGAAATATGACCTATGCGCATGCTTAGATTTAGCTTTAACTTTTCAATTGATGATAAAATTCCACGTTCTTATGTTACTAATGACATTTTGGTCTGTAAATTGGATTCAGTTTAGTTCAAGCTGGCTCGCATGCGTTCAAAACAAGTTTTGTAGTTAAAAACGTTAACAAAGGGTAAACCGATGAAGTGTTTTTGCAATAAAAGGTATGATATTTTCACTGATCGTTTTTTAAAAATCAAGCTATCAATACTTCAACACAATCCGCAAGCTCATCCGATTCTTTCAGAACAAAGTGACTGTCAACAAAGCTCGACAACATGGTAGTTAATATGGCAGTTATAATGAATTGTTTTACCAATGTCAAAACGAGAACAGATAATGATGATTGGACATGTCTAATATGTTGAATGATCTTCCATGAATGTATTGCAGTTCCAAGATGCGTCCAATCTAATTAGCAGAGCTAACTGACGAACGATCGTCTTCCTTTCCCACAAGCCTCTTGAGTCGTTCCAGATGACGGTAGGCCCTGTGAAGGTAGGACAAAACTTAATAAAAATAGCATTTTCTAACAAATACCAAGAAGTACCTAAAGTAAAGAATTTGATTCGCAAACAGTTCCAATGTTTAAGGGTGGAAAGTCGGTTCCACGACACATCACTCAACCTCATTTCCTTTATTCTAAGCATTCGTAGTGATTACTTTAGTTTTGCTTTTGTGACATTAATGAAAAAGGACGACGGCGTAAGAGATACAACTGTAACAAAGACTAGAGGAGGCCCACTAAAACGGTATGATCGTTTGATATGTGAATTTTGAGGAAACGTATCGGAACATCAAGACGCTTGATGACGAGAGCTTGAGACAAAAACACAACCCCGGGAGAATACGTCGACTTAAACAAAAAGCGAGTTATGAGGCAGCTGTGGGTAGCACCTTCTCAGTCTTAAATGAAGAAATGAGAGACCTTTCTTTCTTCTGAGAGACTTTACCTTTGTAAAGATATCTCCCCGCGCATTATGTCAGCATCTCTTTCACTTTGGTCCTCTGTAAAAAACAACAATCCACCAGAAAAAGTCAAGATAGAGGACAAGTCGTAAAAACACTGAGTTTTTTACAACCTACATACAGTTCGGATAGTTTCACCAAGAACCTTGTGGCTCCACAAACACTCTGCACGTGTAGGTTTAGGCCGAAGTGTTCCCGGCAGATAATTTCTGAAAGGCAATTTAAAGCCTGTATTTCACCTTCATAAATAATCTTTCGAGTGCTCTTCAATTAGATCACAACCGAGCCTTGAAAGTTATCAACATGATTACCTGATGATAGAGAATCTCTGATAACTTTGGACTTGAAATCCATACTGGAAGAGCCCTATAAAAAAAGTGATCGTTAGTTTTGAGCCCACTAATTAACAATTGGTTCATGCTTTAGCGTGCACTATCGAGTTATGGAGCACGCGGGAAGTTTGGAGAGCACGAAAGAAGCGTAAGAGTTGCCCGAGGCGATAGCCTCGGGCAACTCTAGCTTCTTGAGTGCTCTCCAAACTTCCCACGTGCTCCATAACTCGATAGTGCACAGCTGAAAGCATGAACCAATTGTTTTAGAACATAGCCGGTGGAATTGTGCATCAAATGCGACGCGAAAGACGGACAACAATATCAGTTGAAGCGAATCGTGACGGCGCTGATGCCGAGTCTCCTTTTCCTTTGTTTTTCTCTTTTTCTGCCTCATTTAAGAACTCTAGCCCATGGGAAAAGGTCGAAACATTGTCTTCGTTTTCGGACTAGCAGGCCGAGTTTCTGTTTGTATCCATTATTGTCGCGAAATGTATTATTTTTGCCCGCACTAGCAATGGCCGCTCGCGCGAAAAAAAAATTTCTGGCGAAGTCGGATTTGCTGACGCTATCAGCGTGCACTATCGGGATTTTGAGCACGCTTACGTATAATGAATTTGATTGCGCGACTCTGCTAGCTATGTTCTAAAATAGTTTAAAACCTTAAACCAAAAACAGCGGTGAATGAACACTACAAGTGAACATAGAGCAAATATTTGCATCTTCTTCAATTGTATTTCGCGCGTTCCGTTATTTCAGCTCCTTTTCCGTATTTAGTAATTTAGCGCTACCTCACTAACTTGCGAAAATCGTCGATTTAACGTTCATGAATCATATCGTAGCTGGTTAAATCGTCTTTGGAGAGTTTACAGCTGCCTAAAGGTACAGTGTATGTTACTTAGCGTTTCGTTTTAGTAAGAAAAAATTCTCAAAGTTGCGTAGTTGTTATTGTTGAGTAATAAGGGATCTTTGAGAAAGGTTGTGTATTGCGCACGAACAACTTTTGTCAGCGACACCTGCCACCCTTAAACTACAGTGTAGAAAGCCCGCATATACTAGTACAGTTGAGCCCCGATAACTCGAATTTCCCGCTACCCCGAAGCAAAACTGATTTCCCTTGAATTTACTGTATATTTACTGAATATTTACTCTAATTTTAACCCTTACGACTCGAAACCCCGCTAACTCGAAGCGATTTTTACTTCTCTTCAGGTACTCTTCTTTGTAATTTTACCCTTGATAACTCGAAGTCGACTTTCACTTTTGCGGACTAATGAGCCATAACATTTTGCACCGGAAGATTACATTTAATCTCATTTATATGTTATGATAGATTGACCTTTGTCGACATCACACGTTTGTATGTCCGCAAACAAACAGTTTTGACAGTTCTTCCCGGCAAAAAGAAATAATGGCACGTAATCTGGAATCGATCTGTTGCTTGAACAGATTTTTCAACGAGTTTTAAAGGGAGATTTAAGCTAAACATTCTGAAGAGCAGCTCCTTTACATTTCATGCTTTTGTTTTGTTTTGTTTTGTCGTTTTTATGCTCTTACATTGCTAGAAATCTTACAATAAAACATGTAACAGCATCAAATATCTTTAATCAAGTGCTTCTCGTCTTTTTGTTCAAAACCCCAACCCCATAACTCGAAACCCCGATCACTCGAAGTAAATTCAATTCCCCTTGGCAATTTGAGTTACCGGGGTTCAACTGTACCATCAACCCATGTTCGCCTATCTCTATTGTAAATTGTTAGGTTACCTTATAGCAGCTTGGATCTTCGCTATCGAGTGTTTCGTGATGCGCCATGTCCTGCATGGTAAAGAGCATCTGTTTTAAGGCTTCCACTGGGCCTGGGGCAGCTTCCTTTCCACTGAGTCTCATAGCACCACCACCACCAGTAGAAGTAACACTCGGTTCCTGAAAGGATTTACAAAAAAGACGATCACATGGTCATTGGATATAAGTTCCGCATCCTTCCCGGGCCAAATACATGCAACTCCTAACTCCCATAATTTTCAGTCAAGAATTTTTACTAAGATCAATACCCAGTCATCTCGAGGACAAAAATGAAGACAGCAAAGCTGCGAGGAGACAAATTTCTACTCTACACTCTCCGCTTGTTCCCGCGGCTGCACAAGCAGGCTATATGTAAGGACACTAGCAAGTTAAGTAATACATGTATATCAAAAACTCGTGCTTCGTGTTTCATCAGGGGTTCCAAACACCGAGAAACAGATGGAAACACGAGGCAGCAGGCCTCGTGCTTTTATTGTTTCGAGGCGTTTGGAACCCCTGATGAAACACGAAGCACGAGTTTTTGAGATGACTTCTCAAATGAAACAATAAAAAAATATGCAGTGCTACATTTTTTCCATTGTCCTCCCCAAATGAAAGAATAATTTATGTAGCGATGCAATTTTGCTATTTTCCGTAACATTACGTTAACATGCATGCATGATTAATTGTTTTGGTGTGGTTGGTGTGTGACCATGAGTGAAGACAGAGCGGCAAGATTTAGGGAGCCAAAAACGGTTTACGAAGAACGCGCGTTCGTCGAAAAGCTATTCCCCTCGTTTACCAAATGTAAGAACAAATGGGCGGAAACAATTCTTGGCGAATGGCAAACTTCTCAGTCAGTTATACCTCCCATTTTCGTTCCACAAGCGCTCTTTAAAGACTTTGATTTACTCAAGATCGCACAGCTTTCGGCAAGATTTCCATATAACCCCAACATTAATTATGTATAGAGTGTTGCAAAGAAACCTTTATACTACTTAGTCTTTAGGAAATGAATGCATAATTAATGTATGGGGTTATATGGAAATCTTTCCCAGCTTTCTACCGGCATTGAAGAAATAGACGCAGTAACCTTGAATTACTGGCTTAACAAGTTTGTGATGGAGGTGGCTAAGAAGTTGGCGGAGAGAAAACCACCGAAGATCGTTCATGAAATAATATTCAGGTCGTTTTTGGAATAGTTGTTAACGATATATTAATTATTGAAAATGCTCATTAAAATGTAAGTGTTGGATCTGAGATCAAAACCGTGTTTCACCTCAAATCAAAACCCTTAAGATTTTCCTCTGAATGTTCATTAGGTATGAAGGTTCATGCATGTGACCCACATATGCCTCATTCACTGGCTGTTGCCCTCATGAATTTGAGAAGTTAAGGTTTTGAACACCCACCTTCATTGTTTTGTCTTCGCTATCAACGCTCAAACAGTCGTCAAGAAACGAAGAAATTATTCCAGATTTCGGATTTGTAAAGCGCCTTGTTATGAAGCTGTCTGGAGCTTTGGTGTCTTCATCTCTTTACAGGATTCAACAAACATTACATTACAGAAGAGTAGTGTTGATCACGAATCCTGACATTATACAACAATACGATGGTAGATAATGAGTTAAACCCAAAATTAATTGCTCATCAACTTAACGTTCGGGGAAATTCACACCCTTTTTTCCACAAGTCTTACATATTTACGGGATATGTTGCCACTTGTGTAAGAGTTGAGAGCATTCAAGGTATATGTATTATCACTTCTTTCATTTGCTAAAAAAGGAAAGTGTCGTAATTCAACAACTTTACACTTTGTCTATAACGTCAGTATTTAATTCGTAGACTTAAATACTCATTTTTAAGCAGCAAAAGCTACCAAAGTTCCATCCACCGAATTTAAGAACTGCAGACACAATTTCTAACAATTGCAAAATCGCATTTTGTAAACTTTTTACTGGCCCTGCTATGGCAGGCCGTTTGTAGCAATATTCAATAATTCTTTCATTCAACTGCAATTCAACCGTTGAATTCAACCCCAATTCAACACCCCCATTCAACCATTCAAGAATCTATTCAACTATTCAACCCCAATTCAACTATATTCAACCCCAATTCAACCATTCAATCCCGCATTCAGACCCGATGGTTGCAGGTCTGAGTAACCTGGCACAATTACAAGAAAGACGTCCTAAGACGTCTGTTATGTTAACTTGGAAATATTGTACACAGTAAGTATTCCTTCGATTGACATTTATTGCAATTTATTACACGACTCGGGCAGTCAGAGGGCCAATAACTAAAATCAACCAATCAAAATGCTCTATTGCCGGTCAATATTCTCTCAGTATTGGACCGGGCACTGTCCCGAATGGTCCCGAATGATACCGCACTTGTGTCCCTTTGAACTTCAGTCGTATAATAAATCTCTTATTAACCAAGCTTGCTCGGGACCGTACTGGAAGAATATCGGCCCTCGGTCTTTTTTGTAAGGACCTCGCTGCGCTCGGTCCGTACTGTCAAGACCTCGGACCGATATTCTCCCAGTGCGGCCCTCGCGCTTGGTTAATAAGATATATGTAACGTATTTCTTCAGACAGATTTAATAAAAGAATCAAATCAAATTTCAATTAAAAAGACCGAAAAATTTTGTTGGCTAGAGATACACACTAAGATGGGCTGCCTGTGGTTTCCCAAAGTTCTTTGCAGAAGTTCCTCAAGTGTTTAAGAAGATATGTCGAACGATGGCCTCCCGGGTGAAGAAATATTTGCTTGTCTGTCTGAGCCCAAGTTAGCGACAGTTGTTGTGGTAATGGAAGCTAGAGACAATAAATGGTTCCAGCCTTGTAAAATATCATAAGCGGACGTAATTTTTTGCAACTGTTTTCTCGTTGGCTTCAAACTGGAAACAATCTTCCAGCTTTCTTAACAAGGAGATTGTTTAGTCAAGTGTTGCGGCATGCTTTTCCAGTGCTTCCACCTCGAAAGGAATCTTACATAACTGAGTCGTCTTGTTTAGGATGTGGTTTAAAAAACTAGGTATTTCTGTTAGCTCAAATTGCTATGCATCTGCCGCCATCTTGCTTTCTATGATAACTTAGGTTTCAGGCTCCAGCTCGGCCGCCTTTCGTTCCAGGTTCCCCAGTCCGCCAGTTGAATGGTTGAATGCGGGATTGAATGGTTGAATGCGCGACTGAAGTGATTGAATTGGGATTAAATAATTGAATGGGGTTGAATAGTTGAATTGGGGTTGAATAGTTGAATAGATTCTTGAATAGTTGAATTGGGGTTGAATAGTTTAATAGATTCTTAAATGGTTGAATGGAGGTGTTAAAATGGTTGAAATGGGGTTGAATTAAACGGTTGAATAGCAGTGGAATGGTTGAATGAAAGAATTTTTGAATATTGCTACAAATGGCCTGCCATACCCTGCAAATTCCTGTAACGAGGTAGACAGTTTCCCTCTGTCTTCAACAGCAGAAGTTTTTCTTTTATCTCCAGTTTTAGTGCTTACTCCTCTATCTATGACAGGCAGCTGTCACTATGTCTCAGAGTAGAGCTTACTCAGGGTTTCGGTTAATGGCACACACTTAGACATAAAAGGTGACCGAAAGGAAACATAAGTGAAGGTTCTGACGGCAAGCAGACAGCCAGCACAAAACTGACTATAGAGGACAGTCCATGTTTTCTTGACGAGACCAGAAAGGCAAACAGTTTGGTAAACGACAAAATGTTTGGTGCTTAATAGGAAACTTAAGTACTGTATAAGAATTCACAAATTATCAATAACAACAATCCAAAGCTTATGAGACGAGCAACATCATCAAATACAGGTACACAAATGTGACAGAAGCAAAACTTACAGCTTCCATAGGTGAAATCTTTGAGGAAGTTCTTCTCTTACTGCAGCATGAGGATTTGTCGAAGCAAACACACTTGTAGGAGAAAACTTGTCAGACGCATCAGCAACATGGGGTGGGCTCATTTGACTCCTCTCGATCACACCCATGTGTGTGTCCGTCTCTGTTTCGGACTCGACTAATGTATCACTATCTGAGACAGTAGTCAATGAAGGACTAACATCAAACAGAGGCATAGGTGGGTGGGTGATGAGCCTTTCAGTGTCTGCGGTATTTACACTGACAACGTCATCATCAAGACTGCGGCGTGAATTTTTTGGCCTTGAAGCTGACCTCATGGCAACCCGTCTTAAATCTGGAACCGTTTTACTTCGTCGATGACTCGAATTCCCTCCAGTACTTCTGGCAGGAATTGGCGGCTTGCGGTATCTTGCATCTGGAGCAGACTTAGCGAGCTTCTCATCTCTGGACCGGTAACTTGAACCAGCAAAAACAGGTTTGATAGGTGATTTGTGCTCCTGTTGTGCTCTAGCTTCTCTTCCATACGGCTGGCTACTGCGCTCAGAAAACACCACTCTTTGGTCGCCACGAAGGCCACCATTTGAAGTTCTGCTCGAATATGGATGCTTGAGTGAAGAGCTAAATGGCTTTTGTGGATCCCTGCTTGTTGAGATTTTGGGAGTAGAATAATATTGTGGCTTTGGACCCGGAAACTTTGCGGCGGCAACGTCTCGAGATTGAGAACTCTGAATCATTGTTTTCCAAGGATACATAGTATTAGGATCTCTGTACATCTTTTCCATTTTAATTCCTGTTGGTGATTTGCGCATTTCCCTGTCTGTGTCCTCAGATTCTACATCGCTTTCCTCATTTCTAGGTGAAAAGTCTGTCTCGAGTGGGATTCTTACACGTGATGGAGATTTAGCAGAGTTGGGGCTGGTAGATGGTTCTCTTCTTACAGTTAGTGGTGACGTCACTTCCTCTTTTTTGACGGGTAGATTTGAATACCGTGTCACAACGGGCGGCGATATGTACATCCGCGTCATTTTTGGCGAGACGCTACGAAGTGCAGCCTCTGCAGAAGAGCCTGTATATCTCTCATTCTGTGGAGGTATGCTGTATCTTGACGGCAGAGTAGTGAAGGGGCTCCTGCCTGGTGAGGAATCCCTCAGGCCAGCCGTTCTAAGAGGAGTATCTTCCTTACCTTCTGAATATCCATTGCCGGTAGAAAAGCGGAGAGACTTTGTAGGTGTAAGAGTCAGACTTTTCGACCTCTTTGGAGATACTGTTGAGTGTTCTCTGGATTTGATCTTCCCTGTGCTTTTTCTGAGCTTTTTGGTGGATTCCTTTTTCAGTCGTGCGACCTTTTTGTCTTGGTATAATGAGCTGTGGAAATTTCCGCCCATATTAACCGGGTTCGGTCCATACACTGACTGAGAAAGCAGCATGTCTGTATCAGTACTTGCCCCATCGTTCCAATCAGTTCCGTTGACCTTACTCACTCCTACTCTAGATGGGTCTTTTGATCTGCCAGACTGCAGATCTGATAATTTAAGAGCTGATTTGGACCGTGATGAACGAGTAAACGGTTTTGTTTCTGATGGAGAGGAGGTGCTGGAGGAGTATTTCTCATCAGGGCTAAAACAAATTATCATACACTTACGTCAAATGATTGCTCTAAATGACCATTAGGTTAGGACATAAAAAGGGGCCAGAGTGCTTTAATGAATTCTTAATAACATGTAAATGTATGGGTTACAAATGCAGTACCTGAGTTCGTGTAAATGCTGATGATCTTTCAGTTGTTGCAAAATCGTTGAATTTAATATCAATAAACGTTTTTCAAAGTCATATCGGTGGATTGAAAGGCGTTCGTGAAAAGCCATAGCAAGGTTGACAGTTTACATAAGATACACATATCATTACCTGTACTTCACTTTGCTCTCTCTTGTAGTGGTGTCCAGGTCCTCTACCCAGCTGGGGTATTCCTTCCCAAGTCCAGAAACCCAACTGGGATATTCTGTTCTACCACATCGAGAATGGGTTTTCCACGAGGCAGTGATTGGAGATCTGGTTAGAAATACCTTGCTGGAATACAATCCTGATAACAGAAAATATTGGAATTCACTTCAGTGGGCCCATGATAAAAGTGTCTACTTTCCTACATGTAGCACCCTGTTCTGCTCCTTTCAGTGCTTTGCCAACTTCTGAAAGTGTTTTTCAGCAAGGAGAGGAAGAAATAACTAAAGAGATCATTCAAAGTTCAAGATACATTTATTTGGGACTTCCAAATCATATGAAGGTTATCTTAAACAAATGCATCTCATCCAAAGAAGATCTCTAATGAAAGCTTATGGTCATGAACATTGCTACTTTGTATTTTTTATTAACACAGTTGCCTTAGTGTACTCTATATGTGATTGCAAATGTAAAGAACTTGTTTTTAATAAGAATCAAGACTACCAGCCAGTACACAACATCAGTCAATACAACAATGTTGTTTTACTGGGTCTCACACTCCAGAGTGACTGTAAATTTAAGCCCGGCGCACACTTGAGCTATCAGCAGAGCTGAGCGTCACTCGTGCTCTTGCCTTACGCCGTTTCCTCAAGTGTGCGGTGTCTTTTTCTGCGATTTTGGTCACGCGTGCCATTAGTTAACAAATGGTAAACACCACAGCGTACACTATTGAGTTATGGATGCACGCGGGAGGTTGCTAAGCACGAAAGAAGCGTAAGAGTCGCTCGAGGCGATAGCCGAGAGCGACTCTAGCTTCTTGAGTGATTAGCAAACCTCCCAAGTGCATCCATAACTCAATAGTGTACGCTGTGGTGTTTACCATTTGTTTTATAACATAACATTGATACATTGTAGCTAAAGAGTTCCCTTTTATTTAACAAATCTTACGTGACCAGAAAAAAACAAGCGCGCGCGGAAAAATAGTCTTTGCATTTGCTCACGTCAGCAGCGTACACCCATGGGTAAATGGGGGACGCTAAATTGACCAATCAGAGCGCGCGCTTTACTTTGGTTATGTTATAACGTCGGATATTCAACATGTTGAATAATTTTGGGCACGAGTGAACATTTCCTCACAGTGCGCGCGCGTTCTGAGCTATCAGCGCAGTGATCGATGCGAATGCGCATGCGTTTGTTTCATCGATGCAAATGCGCATGCGTTTGTTTCATACATAAACTTAAAAATAGGCGGAAAACAGCTCGATAGTTGCTGAAGCTGTTCAAGAAGGTAAATTGGCTGAATTTTGGCCTGATTATCCATGCCTGTACGACGTAAGATGTGCTGCATTCAAGAATCGTGAGTTGCGGGATAAAGCCCTTCAAGAGCTCGCCGAAAAGCTTGGAACAACAAGAAGAAAAAGTCTAAGTTATAGGCCTAAACCAAAGCATATTAATGAGCCCAGTATTAAAATTCTATATGTTGATATTTACACTGCCGTCCACGAAATTCACCACACATTCAACATTTTCTTTGGTGTGCAGTTAAGTCGTAAACGATTCATTGACTGTCAAAGGAAGTGACACTGCTTTTGTTTTGGTATTTCCCTCAAATTTTTGACCAAATTCAAGAATTTGCCAATTTTAGGACGATTGAACCTTGGTTACTTAATTTAAATATGATTGAACCCTTGGGGAGGGGGGCACTTGACTTTTACTTGTAGGGGGATGTGCGCATTAGAAATACATTCTTTCACCTCGTGTTATAATTTTTCCCTCAAAATGATAGCCAGCTTTAGAGAAAAAAATCAATCAAATATAATTGTTGTCAACCAGCTTTAGAAAAATTGCTTTCATTTAATATTGGGCATTAGAAAAGAGGTGAAAACAATACCCAGGAAGATGTGCAGATCTCATCAGCAAAATATACTAAGTGCCACCTGTTCCCTCCACTTCTTGAGTCTTGAGCCCACTGCTTGAGTCTTGACCATCAAAAACAATTTGTCAGTCTTGTAATCTTCTCTCAACACATACCCAGGGTACTCAACACACAGCCACTGGGCTATTTGAATGTGTTGGTAAATATATGTTAAATTCATTCTAGGTGAATGGGTCAAAGCTAAAATCAGAGCCCTGAGAAACAGCTTTAGCAAAGCAAAGAAGCCCCTACCTAGTGGAAGTGCAAGAAAAAATCAAACAAAACGCACTCAGTGGATACTTGAAAAAACTGCAGTTTTTAACACCTCATGTAGCAACTCGGGCATCAGTATCAAATATAGATTTGGTAAGTATTGAAGAAATCAAGACAGTTTTTGATAGTCCTCCAGTTAATGAAAATTAAAAGTATTTACAGAAAACATGCATGCTTGACTAGGAAGTATGGCTAAACAACCATATTGAGTTGCCAAGGAACAGACCCATGATTATTGAAGTAATTTACCAAAAGTTCCCTTTGGGATTTTGCATCTTTTGGTGCATTGAGAAGGTTGGTGGGTTGCATGCTGTTCAAAACTAGGTCATTTCTCCAGGTTCCTCTTACCAATGTATGGTCTGCATCCTCCAGGTCTGCGGCTGATATGTAACTAGCTTTGTTTTTTTCAATCACTAAATTGTGTAAGCAACAGGCTGCAAAAATTATGTCTGTTACTTTCTCGGGTGATAGTTTAATGGTTGTTAAAAATACCCTCCACCTGTGGGCTAAAATGCCGAAGGCATTTTCAACAACTCTTCGTGCCCGTGACAATCTACAATTGAATATGCGCTTCTCTTTGTCCAAATTGCAATATGGGTATGGCTTCATCAATCGGGCATGCAAAGGAAAGGCATCATCCCCAACAACATGATATGACACCTTTGCTGGTATCCCTTGTAATGCAATCGCATCTGGGAGATCTAAAGAATTTGTTGTTAGTTCTTTTTTCAATGCAGAGTAAGCAAAAATGTCAGCAACTCCTGCTCTGCCAGCTGCCCCAATGTCTACATAAATAAATTCATAGTTTGCATCAACCATGGCCAATAGAATGACACTGAAAAAATGCTTGTAGTTAAAGAACTCAGAGCCTGTATCTGCTGGTTGTTGAATAGCAATGTGCTTTCCATCTATGGCTCCTAAACAGCAGGGATAATTCCATTTGCTGTTAAATTCTGCTGCAATTTGTACCCAGTCTTCTTTATTGTTTGGGGTTTGAAAAATAAAATATACATTTGTTTAATTTTTAGGATCCCTGTGGTAGTAGTAGTAATCAATCAACAGAGGCAAGTCATGAAAATGATGTTGATGATGATGAAAGTGAAGATGACTTCCTTAATCCATCAACTCCAAGTAGCCCAACGAATCAAACAAAGGAGGATGGTGATCAAGTGTCTGCAAGATCTACAAGTGAACCACTAAGAAAACCAACTAAATCCAGAAGGAAACAGGCTGAAGAAGAGTACCAGTTGATTAAAAATTTGTCACAGTCAATAGCAAACAAAAATAAAAGAAAACGGGCAAATACAAAGAATGATACCATTTTTGAGGCTTTTGGCAATTATGTAGCCAAGGCCTAATCTGAATTAGACAGCCAAACAAGTCATTTTGCACAGAATAAAATAAGTAGCATTATTTTTCAAGCACAAACAGGGTTACTAACGCCGGAAATGCAAACACAAACAATGATGCAAGTCCAGCCTCAGAGGAATTACTTCCACCCACTCATGCAACCTAGTATGTCAACAAGCCCTTCACCTCCAATTTATGGCCAGAATAGTGTATCTTACAGAGAGAACAGTGTATCTTACAGAGAGAACAGTGTATCTTACAGAGAGAACAGTGTATCTTACAGAGATGACCACCTTTGAACACTGCAAGGGTGAACCTTTTTATTATTGAATAACTGTGGTCTGCTTATATATCATTTTTGCTATGTTCTATTTATACATATGTAAAAAATTAAAGTTGTACCTTTAAATACTTGTCTTTCAAAACTTCACACAGTGCTTGACATGTTTCTTCTACAATCGCAGATATTGTCCTCTCCCCAATTCGATATTGAAAAGACAGACTTCTAAATGTCTCTCCTAAAAAAGATTAAGTTTTTTTTACATTGAGTCATAATTATTTCAAAAATACATTTAATTAATGATTTGTGTCAAAGATGGAAAGCTGACAGAGAATGCTTTTTAATTCTTTCAACCAAATAGTTTGAAAGGAACTTAAGGCTGTTTGCCATAATTCCAGAAAAAGCAGTTAAGGTATCCTCATTATTTTGGGAATTAAAGCATTTTTACACTTTGTGCAAGAATATAGAAGAAGAGGTATAGGAAGCTCTGACGAAGATTAAAAGCACAAGTCAAAATGACCAACACAAGAAACTCAGTTTTTGAAGATCTATAAGATGGTAATGGTAGTAAATACAAGTCTTATGGTTTACAATTTAATAGCAATTTGATGAAGTCACAATTTCAAAACTAGCAAAAAATTTCAAAAATACTGTACTGTAACTCTAAAAATAATGATTATATGAAAAATACTCTTCTGGAATTATGACGATACAATAAAATAAAACTAACTTCTACATGAAAAACTGAGAGATATATGAACAAAACAAACCTGAAGCCAAAAAACGTAATGTCACTGACAGTCGTTCAATGGGCTTTAAAGAGCAACGTAGTGGCATGTCTTTCCTTTCGATTAATGGTGTTACCAAGGTTAAAATCTCTTGAAATGAAAGTCTGTCTAGGCGGTGAAATTGTCTAAATTCTTCAGGGTCTTCACAATTAAGTTCACGAACAGTATTTGCACATGCACCTTGTGACTGGCGGTGTGAAACCAAAGATTTTACCCACACCTTTCAATGAGCCGCCCTCAAGCGCCTTTGCCTTCGTTGCAGTAATAAAAAGGACAGAAAAATCTTTTCATCTTCCGACGAGCTTGCACTTTCGTCAACATCTGCCATTGTGAAGTCTGTGTGTATAAAAAARGCATGCCCATTCGCATCGATGACTGCTCTGATAGCTCAGAACATGCGCACACTGTGAGGAAATGTTCACTCTTGCCCAAAATTATTCAACATGCTGAATATCCGACGCTAATGGCACGCATGACCAAAATCGCAGAAAAAGACACCGCACACTTGAGGAAACGGCGTAGGGCAAGAGCACGAGTGATGCTCAGCTCAGCTGATAGCTCAAGTGTGCGCTGGGCTTTAGCACTCATGCAAAGCTGAAGCTAAAGAAAGCAAACAAATGCCTTCATGTTCTGCAAACTCTCAGGAAAGAACCCTATAGTCAGCAAGAAATAGATCATGTCTTTAAATCTATTGTATTACCAATTTTGACATATGGCCTTCCTGTGTATGGAGCTCTGAATCGCACCTTAAACAAATCCAGCACTTCTTAGATAAATGTTACAAGCGGCGATATAGTTCCTGTCACTTCATTATTTTGAGCCTTTTAGAGACACAGGACAGAAAATTTTGATAAAGTGACCGCACTGCGTTCACACCCTCTCAAACACATCATTCCTGAAGAGAAAAATACTGCATACCATCTACATGGAAAAGGGTGCTTTTGCAACACTTCAAATCCATGTTTGTAAATAGGTTAATCCTTAAGCATGGTTTAGTTTAGTTTTAAATATATTGTAACATATAGGATGAGTGTTTTTATCCTTATACATATATTATATAAATATATACATTTATAAACAATTATTTAGGAAAATAAAAATTAAAACTTGGTACTATAGATCTGTTTCAAAAGGATTAAAAGTCCTCTCTCGTCAGGTGGATATGACACTAGTTGACTTACGATCCTTTTAAGTAGGTGGTTTGAGCAGTCTTATCAAATATTTAGTTGAGTGCCAGCACACACTTGCCACTTCGTTCCTTTTGTTTAGGGTGCGCGCCCCTGTTCTGCATATGATAAAGAATTTTTCAGCTATGCCAAGATTGCATCTCTTTGTGGTATTTGAGTATGGCCTGGTGCGAGCTATTATTTTCCAGGTCACGGAAAACTCCGTTTCAGCATCCTTTAGGGACCAGATATATTTGCTCAATTCTGTTGCGTTCCTTTTGTTCTCATGTCTAAATGAAGCTGTATGATTTCTAAATCTTGTTTTAAATTGGTTCGCAGTAAGGCCGACGTACGTTTGGGTTCCCAAGGGACTTTCAACTGTGGCCTGGTAGACCACATTTTGAATTAGGCAATTGCCACGTAACGGGCAAGAGTGTTTGTCTCTACAATTGCATGATTTTTCTTGCGATTGTAGAGACAAACACTCTTGCCCGTTACGTGGCAATTGCCTAATTCAAAATGTGGTCTACCAGGCCACAGTTGAAAGTCCCTTGGGAACCCAAACGTACGTCGGCCTTACTGCGAACCAATTTAAAACAAGATTTAGAAATCATACAGCTTCATTTAGACATGAGAACAAAAGGAACGCAACAGAGTTGAGCAAATATATCTGGTCCCTAAAGGATGCTGAAACGGAGTTTTCCGTGACCTGGAAAATAATAGCTCGCGCCAGGCCGTACTCAAATACCACAAAGAGATGCAATCTTTGCATAGCTGAAAAATTCTTTATCATATGCAGAACAGGGGCGGGCACCCTAAACAAAAGGAACGAACTGGCGAGTGCGTGCCGGCACTCAACTAAATATTTGATAAGGCTGCTCAAACCACCTACTTAAAAGGATCGTTAGTCAACTAGTGTCTTATCCACCTGACGAGAGAGGACTTTTAATCCTTTCAAAACAGATCTGTAGTACCAAGTTTTAATTTTTATTTTCTTAAATAATTGTTTACAAAGCTCCATATGATTGTAGAGCACTCTCCGATTCAAGGATAAGGTTTTTTACATTTATATACACATATATATATATATATTTCCATAAGGTTGTAGTAGTAGCAAGTAGGATAAATATTGTAAGAAATATACAACTTTTATTAGAGACATGTTTCAGCATGCTTATGCCATCTTCAATCAATGAGTAACTGAATGTGAGTAATTATATAACAGACAAGTAGATGAATAAAATATTTACAGTATAATGTAATACAAAAGCGGGTGCTAATTACAGCATGACAACAAACATGAAATTAAAGGTGTGAACTAAAATGCTAGAAAAGTGTTATAATGCTGTAATTGTTTGTTAAGTTCAGGTTTAAGATTATAAGATCTTAACAAAGTGACATTTTTGTATTTTGGTTGTGTGGTAAAGGTTTAATGAATCCAACTTTTTCACAACCAAATTTTTCCATTTGCAAAGGAAAAAAATGCTTTTTGAACCCTGCATAAACCTGATTGTGTACCTGGAGCTGCATTTTGATTTCCTTTATAACTGCTCAACAGAACTTCTGTTTCTACAGTCCCAGCATTACTATCTAGGTCAACTAGAGATGAACTGGGTGAGGGAAGACTAGAAATCTCATCGTCATTGCCAAAGTAGGAACGGTGACCATGTCCAGGCTGAGAGTTCATAGTTTCTTCGTCTGAATGAAACAACCAATAATTAATGATAAGAAATAAAACACAATTTTATTCACATACATGAAAGCTACAATGCAGCTTTAACAACTTCCTTCAATTACCAAGGCTGTACAAATACAGACACAAATACAGTCAGCTTTATTTTGAGGGTTTGAGGTTTTTTTTTTTTTCTTCTTTTGGACATCTAAAATGTCCTTTTCCTGAGTCACTCTCAACTGTTGGCCTCCACACTTATGCAAGATATGAGGCCTTCAATAGCCTTTAAGGATTCAAACTGACATGAGAAATTAGTTAACAAGAGACAATGCAAGATGGCAGCAAGTAGTCCCTAGTTGTTAACCCTATAGCATTTTTCTCACAGCTGGCCAAGAGCCATTTATTTTCCATAATAGAGGCAAGGCTGTGCTCTAAGAAAAATTGAAGGGAGCCCAGTGCTCAGAAACTGTGAAATCCAGGGTGCCCTGCATATGCTTTGTATGAAAAAACTAAGATTCCTGGGTCGCCCAAGAACAAAAGGCACCAGAGGCTACCGGGCGCTGCTAGACCACAGCCCTGAGAGGGAAAAAGTACTGTGATAGTAACATGTAAGTGTCTTGCATAAAGAACACAACACACAATGACGCTTGCCGTGTCACCAAGTAGGAACTATTGATTCAAGGCACTTGAGGATAAGCCACCACATCCACAACCAGACAACACCTTTTCAAATGCTGAAACATAGGAATCAGTCAACTTACACTTAAAATTTCAAAAGGATGCTCCAGAGACACTGAGAATTGATTCTTTCAAGGGGTATAGTCCAAGACTACTCATAGAGTTCATGTGTTCTACAGCAAGGAACTTTACGGTTTTCCATCAAATTAATATTCTTTGACTATCTCCTCCTGATCCCTGACTCAAGAAGATAACTGCCACAGTTATGGAAATTCAGAGGGGTGCATGCCTCTTCTGCAAGGGAGCATGTTACTGCATAGCTGCTAGTTTGCACTTAGAGCTAAAACAAGAACAGCTATTGCATGTACAGTATGTTACCATGGTGCAAGTTTTGCACACATGTACATACTTTGATATTCTTTACAGTAAAATCTCATTCTGTAGCTGAAGTTCTAAACTTGGCATCTCATGACCAGAGTTTTTTTTTTTGAGTAATGCATAGGGTCTGGTTAGTATATATGTTATTCACATACCAAATATGAAAAAATTCTTCATGACCGTCAGCACATACATTGTATCACTTCTCCACCAAGCAATTAGAAACAGCTCAGCCTATTTGAGTTGGCAAGTCTGTACAAAATATTTGTACCCTAGTATACCTATTTCACTATTCCTCGATAGAATATTTCGATGTCAAAAAAAATGAAAAGTAGATTCAATTGGAATTGTTTATAATTCAGTGTTTGGGTAGGCGTCCATGCTAAACAATTTATCCTCACTAATTAATAACCTGACCCGAGATCGACGTCGTTCGGGCCACAAAGAATTATTTCTAAATTCTTGTGACAAGTTTATTGTAATTCTGCCCTTGAATAGCTCCGATCGCTTCAGCATGAGAGTAATTTTGAATAGTAATGCTTGGTTATGTTTACTCAAACGTCCAAACGACAAACCGCATATTTGTTGTAGACTCTTGTAAGATCCCTAAAAGAACATCTTTGACTTCATACTCTCTTCACTCCCCAGAACAGCTTATTATCTTTCATGTCTGCGATAAAGCGTAAATGTCATGGGAAATGAAATAGTTAAACTCGCTCAAAATACCAAAAACTCCTGACTTCTGCTCGCAGGAATTAATAATCGAATGGCGAGAAAAGGTTGCCTAGGACGCGGACTCGCGCTGCTTATAGCTCAAAATGCTCATCCACCGTAAAATCCATTTTTTCAGACAAACTTCGCTGACGAAGAGTTCAAATTGGTAACATAGCAGCGAAGCGACCGCCGAAAATCTGAAATATTCCCTGCCTCAACTGATGTTAACTGGTGACATGACACTGAACAGCTTACCTGAAGATCGAGGCCGTCCTGTAGTAGTTCTGTATCCGAATGGTGTTACTTTACTTGATAAGTCTTTTGCATAAGCATTGTTCACCCACGCCAAGAGTTCATCTACTTTTTTCGCCGGCGATTTACCTGGAGGACTTCTTAAGTACCTTTCCTGTGCATCCATAAAGTAAAATTTCGGCGTCGGAGAAAGCAGGTCGGAAGGACGCCGTCGATAAGTCGTATAGCTTCGGCCACCTTCAAATTGAGTGATGTAAGCTTCTAGAGCCTCAGACGCCGATTTGTATAATTTGTCATCAAACGTTAGCCGACTTTTGAAGCGCTGGTTTGGCTCATTAGTTTTGCCAGTAGTACTCCGAGAGGGAAAATTCATGTGAGTCTGAAAACAAATAACTAGTTATATGAATAATAAGTAATTCCGAAGTCGTTGCGATTCGAATGATGGCGGCAAAACAATGTTCAAGTTTACTGCGCATGTCAAAAGGCACTTTGTCAGTGAAGGCCAGTTTTACCATTCCCTTTTCCCAGTTTGTAAGACTTCGTCGTTTTTCAAAAAGCAGAGTCTATGTGCCAGTTTTTCGAAAAACGTGGTTACCCTGTTTCTGTCGTTCAAGGGGATCATCACCGCGCTCAAGTTATTGATCAACAGTCGGCACTACAAACGTCACTGAAGAGAAATTCCGACCGCATTCCGTTTACTCTCACATCACGACCACTCAGTTAAATCCATTATTCTTAAAAACTTTAAATTAGTTCAAAACGATCCAGAGACTGGCACTATCTTTTCGCAACCTCCACTCATTTCATTAAAACGCGACAAAAACATAGGCAAATTTTTGGTCTGAAGTTTATGACAAACTAATGACCAACCGGGCACTTTTAAATGCGCTCGCGCACGATGCAAAACTTGTCCTTTCATTCACAACGCTGAAAAAATATTGGGACCCAAACCATCTATTAAGATCACTGATCACTTCACGTGAACCTCAGCTAACATCATCTATTGCATAACTTGCACTTATTGCAAAAGTTCTACATCGGCGAGACAGGAAGACGACTAGGCGACCGATTCGGAGAACACCTTCGCGACGTAGAAAGGAATGACAAGGACGCATCAAAACCAGTCGCCAGACGCTTTAATCTACCTAATCATTCTAAGCAACATATGGCAATCTGTGGTCTTTCCTTACATTTAGGTAGCTCGGAAAGCCGCAAAACTCTTGAACAAAAGTTTATCTTTCTAATCGGCACTCTTAATCCCACAGGTATCAACGAACGCTTTTCACTCTACTGATTTATCCGTGTTTTTCTCGTCGTCATGTTCCCACCAATAGCGTAGCTCCACTTTCTGGATATAAACCCACACACAACCCACAATTCCTCCATTCGCTCTGACGAAGGGCTAACGCTCGAAATGTCAGCTTTTTAACCCTTTACGGTGGCCACTTTACAATTTCAACTCAGTTGATATTACCAAATGAATCTGCTGAAGGGACGAGCTAGAAGTAGAGGGGTGGAGGCCCCGACACGAACTCGCATATCCGGTAACCTCGCCGCTTTAGGCGAGGTTAGTAAGTGATTAAGGCTAGAGGTCAAGCCGAAAGCTTTTTGTTATTTAGGCGGATTAATTTTGCTGTAGGTAGTGTCGACCGACATGTCGACCGTCATGGCGACCGACATGTCGTTCGCCTTGGCGGTCCACAATCCGTCGACAGTCGGTCGACAGTCCGTCGACAGTCGGTCGACAGTCCGTCGACAGTCGGTCGACAGTCGGTCGACAGTCGGTCGACCGACTGTCGGCAGACTGTCAACCGGCATGTTGGTCGATATGTCGATCGATGTATGTGGGCCGATAGTCGGTCGACATATCGGTCGACAGTCGGTCGATATTTGACCGACACTTGGCCGATACTTGGCCGACACTTGGCCGACACTCGGTCGACACTTGGCCGATGCTTCACCGATACTTCACTGACACTTAAGTGATGCTTCAATGGCATTTTACCTATTGTCGACCGTATGGACGTGTTTTAAGAAAATCTTAACAGGATAAAACTTCTGCTGTTCTTCGGGGCATAGACTAAAACTAGAAACAACGAAACGACTGAAAGAACCGAAACGACCAAAACTGCCGAAACGAGACGACCGAAACGAAACGTCCAAAACAAAACGGCAACACTTAAAAATGGCATGCTTCAATGGCATTTTACCTATTGTCGACCGTATGGACGTGTTTTAAGAAAATCTTAACAGGATAAAACTTCTGCTGTTCTTCGGGGCATAGACTAAAACTAGAAACAACGAAACGACTGAAAGAACCGAAACGACCAAAACTGCCGAAACGAGACGACCGAAACGAAACGTCCAAAACAAAACCAACGAAACATGGGAAACGAAACCACCGACTGATAGCCAAAACGACTGGAGCAACTGAAACGAAACCACCGAAACAATCGAAACGAAACCACCAAATCAAGCGAAACGAAGCCACCAGAATGAAGCATAATTTTGGGCATGAATCCTCTTCAACTGCACTGCTTTCCTGGCAGAGGTATGTTAAAATCTAACATATCGCTCGGGCCGTGTTTACGTGGAGGTGGTGAAACCCTCCCAGGAGGATCAGTTCTCTATGAACAGCTTCATTGTATTTCGATAAACAATAACTTTAATGAAGCAATTCAGTATCCATGTTTAAAAAAGTCATTAAAAATCATTAATCGTTATTATCACAAATCTAATATTATCTTTACTCACGCAGCCGGGTAAGGCAACTGAAACATAATAACAACGAAAATGAAGTCAAGAAGCTGAGGCTCAGTCGAAGTCCTGCAGTTACATGTCTGATCTACCGTTTGTTATAATTACCCGCTACATTTTGAAATAACCGATTGCTTTCTACAGAACGTCAAAGAAAATAATCGTAGCTAAATAACACTTCGCCAGAACCTCGCAAAAATTGCCCCCATTCTGAAAATGATTAGGAGTAAAATCCGTCATTTGGATAGAAAGGAAGGAGCTGCTTTTCCTCCTTCAATTCATTTACGCGAGTTTTGAGTTATTTCAAAGTAACCCTGCAACGACGTTACTCTTGGCGGATGTTTTCCCTGTCTTCTCTTCCCAGAATTCTTTCATGTCTCTTGGGGTCCACGATCTTGAGTTCACACAAGAGTGAGATGGGTACTGGGGTTGTTTGACACACAGTATGCTCCAGCCCGACCATACCTACAGCTCGTAAGGCGACGCAATGCTGCGACTCTTTTGCGTATTATTTAACGGAAGGTTCAACCTGGCTCCATAGTACACTCAGACCAGTGGGCGGCTTATCGGCAACTCCAGAGAAGACTCGGTTTACAACACGGGGCGGTGAATCATTCGCTACATTTTGTTGATCCAGTAACCGGAGTCCATACACAGAATGCTGAAAGCAACTGGTGTACGGCAAAGGAAACATTTAAGAAAATGAAGGGAAATACAAACCCTGACTTTCTCCTTGAATACCTACAGGAATTCACGTGGCGAAGGTGGTATGGTGAGCCTCACCCAAATGGATGCTTTCGAAGGCTGCTCGATGACATTGCTGAACAGTATCCCCTTTAAGGGAGTCATTCGAAACCATTACGGGACCCAACACACAGTACGGGACCCAACACACAGCCAAAAAAAGTCGTCTCTTTCTGCTACCATCATCCCCTACCCTCAAAGTAGGCTTGGTTCCATACCCCCACACCGGAGTAAATCTATCTGAGTGTGTTGTTTTACAAGCTTCTTGGACATAAAATAATTTAAATAATCTTTGTTGAGAAAATTTTTGTTGGTTATTTTACTTGTCAGAATAAAGTTTTATTGGTTTAATATTAACTGTCTCAGAATTTTTGCTATTTGAAGAGATGCAATTCAGCCAGTTCCGGCTATACCATAGACATGTGTGAACTAAAAACTAAAAAGCATGTTACTTGGCTAGAGTTTATTCTCGTGAAGTGACGCCCCTGCGATTCGCATTAGTCATTAGTTATTGTAAAGCTCCCGTTAGCCGAGTAGGAAAAAGCTAAAGTCTCAAAAATAAAGGGAAAATATTCGAGAGAAAAGTACAGATTGAAACCATAAAGAGATAAGGTCTTCGGAAAGTTTTATCATAGGTGCTAACTATTTCTTAAAGTGGGACGGTGACGCAAGGATTTGCGTTTATGAGGATTTTCACTTTCCCGTTATTGTTACTTGCTTAACGGACTTCAATTCGTGAGTGGCTCATGTTGTAGTAAACAATTAATCCCCAATTTTTTTAAATTCACCACGCCACTCATAAGTCGTTTCTTATCTTAATCATATACCTGAAAGTTTATGCCTTCAAATCAAATTTTTCAATACCGACACTGCAACAATACACAACCACACGAGCGACGTCCAAACTATATTTACTGATAAAGTTCAGACACTTGGCCGATAGACTACCGACACTTGGCCGATAGACCACTGACACTTGACCGATATTCCACCGACACTTGACCGATATTCCACCGAGACGCGACACTCCATCTGTCGGTCGACAGTCGGTCGACATATCGACCGACATGTCGACCGACCATCTTCCGACTATCGACCGACTATCGACTGACTATCGGCCGACTATCGACCGACCTATCGACCGACTATCGACCGACTGTCGACCGACATATCGACCGATATGTCGGTCGACATGTCGGCCGACACTACCTATAGTAAAATTGATCCATTTAGGCAAGCTTATCCGGTGAACAAAAGTTTAAATATTTGTATTCTGATTCTTCCCCGGCTGAATGAAACTCCTAGATTCTGACTGAGAGATGTTCCGCTTGAGGTGTCAAAACAACGACACAAGTCCGTTTATAGTTCTCATCTTAACTTGTTTATTGTTTTTAGCTTTTACTGTTGTTGTTGTTGTCTTTAACTGTATTAAAAATGTACGTTAGCATGAAAATAGGCATCCTTTATTTGTAATGGTGATAGGACTGAGTGGAGTCCAATTCGGTCTGTAATCATACGAGTGATGACATATTCGGACGAGGCCGCTTAGCGGGCGTCCGATTGTTTATCACGAGTATGATTACAGACCGAATTGGACGACTTAGAACCAGTTAAACATAAAAATTACAATTTCCGAGAAAAAAAAATAGCCGAGTTATGAAAGAAAGGGAAAATTTGTATTAAAAGAAACCAAGGTTGTGGTTGGTGGACTTAAACTACAACTTTGAATGTGATTGGTTTATTGAACTGTCCGATAACAAACTGTCCGGTAACAAACTGTCCGATGACAACTTGGCGAGTAAAATCGTAAAAAATGATGTTTGTTTAAAGCAATTACGATCAAAGAAATTGTAATTTTTGTGATTAGAAATCTTATATTTGATCTTGTTCATGCAATGGTCGCAAGCGCGTTGGATTCGTAATGGTGGTCGTTATTAAGATAAACAACGATTCTTCGGTTACGAAGCTTGCGAGGAATGAATGACGTCAATACATAAAAGGCTTGCGGTCACTTGTTGCTTCTGTAGTAAAATCAGTAGACTGAAACGTTGGCACAAAGCAAGAAAGTAAACATCATTAACCGTTATCTTTCCAAAGAAAATGCCGTATGGCATTGAACTGTAGTTTTCTCTGAGGGATCTTATCGTCAGTTCCCTTGGGCATAAGGACACTTCAATGCTCAAGTCAGTTCAGCTCTCTGCAAAAACTGCTCAATTAACAATCATGTTCGCATTCAAATACGGGATTTGTTTCAAAACAAAGATGATAATGCATTTCGCTTGCTATCTTCGGGAGAGCCGCCTGAATAGCCCAATTTCCGAAAACAAGGCATGGTGCTCAACCATTCTTTTGAAAATGAGTTTAATTTGCATGTGAATGAAAACTTTTTATCATATGAAAGGATTTGCACCAGGACTCGTTTTGAAAATGAGGCCAAGGGTAATTCGGAAATGGGCTATTTTCATGGTTCTTATAACATCAAACGCAATCGATCATTGATTGGTCCTTGCACCTGTCCACACGACACGTAATTACTGTTAGGGACACTTTACTAATCAATTCAAAATAACTTTGAATAAAATATCTAGCTAGATTGAGTTCTTGATTTCCAAGGGTGGTTACTGATTTTCCAAGGTGGTTACTGAAATTATCTGAGGATTGATATTCCGTCTGTTTAATTTGTAGTTTTCTCTTATTAACCCAACATGTAGTATGATTGACCTCTAATTAAGGTGCTGAGTACAGTAATACAAGGTGAAGAAACCCTCGATAACTAACTATGTTCAAAACGTCAAAGTCAGAGCTTTTTTCTTTTTCTATCGCTAAAAAGTGATAATTTTAAAATTCAGCTGCAAGGATCATTATTGCGCAGCAGTTCCTAAATGGGTATATAAGTTTACATTTCTCTAGTCGTGGATTGCTCCTCATTAAAATTATCGTGGGTGTTGTTTATGAACTAATTAGTTCTGAAATAATAGCGATCTTATTCATTCTATTTGTATACTAAAAGTACAATGGCTAACTCTATCTCTGTTGAATGATCGCCTATTACTCTTCGTTTTAAGAACCAAATCCTATTTTGCTGTGCAGAGAAGCTCCTAATCGAAAGAATGGATGTGCTATAAAAACATGCCTGCTAATTAATTTCTGCTGTCTACGTTCCAGTGAATTCGATTTTTAAAAGGATGATCTGATAAGAAAAAGTAATTATAATGAGTTAATAATCAAACGATACTGGAGAGATAAAAAAAATATATTGACTGAATTATATTCACCCAACAACTCCATCAACATATGATAGCAGTACCCTTTTTTTTGTATTACTTTAGGCTCTCCAAATCGTTTGTCTTTGTTTTTTAATTTCATTGGAAGGAAAGTGTCATGGGTAACGAAAACATGTATTCGGCAAGTTTTACCAGGGAATTTTACTCCCCTGCAGCACTCGAGAGCACACGTTAAACGAGTACATACGTACATTTATTCAATTTACCGCAGCAGTGATAAAACAAAACTCTGATATAACAGCTTTCTCCATTGTTAGATATTTAACCTAACAAGCTGACACCCCTTCCGCTCGTGTTGGCGAAAGATGTCCTTTCATTCCCTCCAGTTTCTAGTAATGTTATATCTTATGGGCTGATGCTTCCACAAATGTATTGCCTTAGGTCCAACCGAACTGATTTGAAATGCACGGCCACAGAGTGAAAACAGAGGTTCCAAATTCTTTTTGACCCAGAGATCGTGGGTTACCTAAAGCTTTATGTGAAGATTTAAATGGTTCGGAAGTTGTTGCTTTTTATAAATAAAGTTTGACGCAAACTCGACAAAATTCACATGGTTTCCCAATGGTTTATTATAACTCTGATCAGTTAACTCATACGTTTACATAGCTTTATTCCCGATAAATTTGTAAAGTATCTTGACTGTAGTGACTTGTCAACTTCACAAGTGTCCTACGTCAGTCGTCTGCTTGTGCTTGATAATCGCAATCCAGATAGCGTGCAGCCTCACACAGAGTTCGACGGTAGCTTTGCCCCTAGTAACAGTAGAGAAAAATTGTTTCCCTTTGAAGTGAAAGTCTCTTTTAAAATGAAAACATAAAAAAGTTTATTGGTCTTTGACAACGCGAATTCTTGGGAATGCATGGGTAGGGTAAATGTTGATCTTACATGAATTATGAGGTTCAGATGTATTAATTAATCGAATTCTTCCACGAAACACGTTGAATACGCGTTGTGAAAAGCGTATTTTAAGTTTGGGGAGTACGTTTATTCCACTTTCCGTATTTTTGGTATACGTTTGGTAAAATCAACAAGGACATTTTCCTCTTTCCCACCGATGTGGATATTATTTCAAAGGACAGCTGGGGAATAAAAAAGTAGAAATAAGGGATTCATCGTCAAAATCAAATTTTCACCTTGTCGTGAGTGGTGCTCTTTAATTTCTTAATGCTTCTTCCATTCGAATTGCTCCAAGGTACTGCAGCATCGCTTTCCTGCATTCCTAAGACCACAATTGAAATGGTAACCAACACAAGCACAGTCTTACACTTCATCCTTTTTGATGTTGTCTGGACAGATTATATTTTTTGGCTCCAAGTACACTTCACTCTCTGGTTATAGCATCTTTTTCCTTGGGTATTTATATATATATTTTTATAGGCAGTAATGATTGGACACGAACGAGTTAATTATTGCATATTGACAATAAGCTTACCGCAAGATTTTTTAAATGATTTAACTAGGGTGGATAACAAAGGAGAAAATAAATCATTATCAGCATTTGATATCATGAAAAAGAAACATCAATAATGCACGATGAGACTAATCAGAACGTCTGATCAAAGCATGTATTATTGCTGAGGAATAACGTACCGAGATTTTATGATCTTAGTTGCCATCCTCGCTAAATTGCTGTCAAGTACCAAGAGAAACTTAAGAGAAGACAACTCTGTTTATATAATAAAATTTAGTCTGTTTTTTTTTTTAATGCGGCTTGCTTTTTCTCTTTTTGACGAGGTAATCTTTTCATATCACGTTTTAATGCGGTAGTTACTGAGAAACTAGTGCACTTGCTTTCATGTGGCCGATTAAAGCTTGTGAAACTCATTAATTTAATGACTGGTTGCAGGAAATGCGTTGTAATATTAATAGAACAGGGTTCCAGTATTATTTTGATCATTTATTACTGATCATAAAACACCAAAAACCGTTTACTCTTAAAGGCAATCAAGATGACACCATGCCTATCTCAATTTCTCTCTGTACGTGAGGAAATCTTACAAACCTGGCAAAGATTTAAGTGAACACAAGATTTAGATGACCTTTTCCAGTTTTCTCCTGGCATTCGCTGTAATGCTGTAATAATGACTATTTGCGACTATCCGCTATCTGACTGGACTGCGACGCTAGAAAATACTCGAGGGTATTAAAAGAAAAACTATGGGAAGTAATATTTAAGATGCTTGGTTTCCTATCACGAATGGGTTGCCACATGAAGCTACCATTTGCCGACTCTTAAAAAGTCGAACAAACGTTATGAAATATGTAACCAAACTTGGACTCTTTTTCTTGTCGGTTCAAAAATGATGGTGAGAAAAACTCATGCAACGAATACGTGATGTTTCCCTACCATTGTTATGTAAAAGATTTTGTTTGGAAAAACTAAAAAATGCGATACAGTTTGGGTTATAAGACGCATTTTACTAATTTAATCTTTTCTTATGCTTAGAATTCTGGTAGGTGCAGCCTTTACGGTATTTTCGCTGTTGGAGGTCCCCGGATACTCAGTGTTGGTATTCACCATGGTTTAGCAGCAACCTTCATTACAGAACATTATTTGTACGTTGGTGAGAAGGTGTGCATTAGCCACATTACTGTTTTTTATATACATTTATCATATTGAAAGGTGATTGCCATGATCTTTCAAAAGATTGTTTGTGACGATGAGAATGAAGGGAAAGATATCTCCAGTCGTATTTTTATAATAAAAAGAATGAGGCCAATGTTCAAAAATCAAAAGCGTGTAATGCCTCAAACCTTTTGATCACCTCTTAACTTGCGCATAAAGAGAATTTCATGCATTTTAAGATGCTGTCAACGCAACACTACACGATCAATCTTCCTCGTTGAAAACAGAGACTTGAATAATGCGCCGGTAGATAGGATCAAGAGCTCTAAAAAACTTTTTTTAAAATTAACACTTGTTTCGATTTTAGAGTTGCAAACAATAATTCTTTATTTAACAGAAGTTTTTTTTTTTATCTTTATGGAAATCAAAAGAAGCCTTTCTAAAGGACCTTTTCATGAAAAATTTAAAAAGCTAAGAATGCAAAATCGGAAAGTACACATTTTAGGAATAGTTTTTCAAAAATGATTAAATTTTCTTTGGAAAGAAAATGTTAATTTGGCAAATGCACTCTAGAAGTTGATAGCCACTGAAGAGCGATTGATTGTCTCAAGCTTATTCCTTACGTGTTTAGAATAAATAGTGGTCGAGAAAAAAAGTTACTAATGAACTTGAAACGATTCGTGTTTTTATTTATTTATTTTTTGTAGCGTGGAGGGCAGAATCTCAAACCGAGTGATTGTTATCTTTGGAAGAGACTATTAAAAACCGCCGTCAGTCCACCTTTGCCTATGGCTTCTTTCCACTTCTACTCATTTATAAAACTGCATGTTTTTGGGTTAATGATGTTTGTTGTTCCACTTTCAAGTTTAAAAGTTGTGGTATCAAAGCCAATTAATCTTATTTATCTATTTTCTTGTACATCTATCTAAATTGTTTTACAAAGTGTCTGAATAAGGATATTTTTGTCACGCAAAAAACTTGCACTAATTAACATCAAAACAATAACCGAGCAAAAATTGGTACCGGTTCAAAGACCGCAAAACTACTTTCTTTCGAGCAGGTGTTACCCGACACTTAATGAACTAAAACTTCCTAATATATTTGTTACGTTATAATTCCACTATCAAGCCATTTTGCCATATTAGGGCAACAAGAACGTTAAAAATATGCGATGATGAGAACATTAAAAATAAACAGAGCATCAAAAATTTTAGGGACGTATCGAACGATCATACATTTGATTTTACCCCTGTCTTAGGCTTAACTATTTAAGCAGCGAACGTTTAAGCACATCAGATCATAAAGAATACTAATTCATGTATCCGATCGATACGATGCTCAGATATGGCCTTAGGAGGAGTTTCGAAGACCAGAAACCCACATACCAGAAAATGGAGCACTTTTGGAATAATAAATCGCGTTTTTGATAGTTTACCATAAAATATGAGTGGGAATTTAATTCATTGCTCGTATTTTTCCATTTCCCTTCCGGGCCTTGAAAAATACAATTCTACTCGCAAAAAATCTGAGCGGATTCTGTGTCAAACCATCGGATGAGGTATGTGTACTTAATGACAAAACATCGAATGAGGTGTAGACGTTCGATCTTTGTTTAATATTTGGATTGTTGGTTGAAATAAGCATCACTTAAAGGAAAGAAATTAAAAAAATCCAAGAAATGAACTGATTCGAACAAAAAGGAAACAGAATCAGTTTAGGACAAAACGGAATAAAATGATAGTTGGCGATATCGTACCAGCTGTGACTCAGCACCTTCTAAGGGTAATACGATGGTAGAGCAACACACCACCGTTATTCAAGAGTTTCAGGCTAAGTTTATTTTTACTATGAGTTTGGTCATTCTTTCTAAAAATTAGTTCTTGAAGCTTTACTCTTGCCGGGCTAACAAAGGAGAGCCGAGGGCTTACTTTCCAACATCGACTGGTATTTTATTTTTCACTGAGACTCTGATCCCTCCTCCAATACTCGGCTACAATCAATGTCACGAACGGCTGCACACAGGCTTCGTCTGTAGTCAAGTGGAAACTTCTAGACCAAGGAAAAGACGCTGTTAGACTAAGTGTCCTCCTTTACAGCTTTTCAAATACTGTTTCATACACACGAAAAATGTTTATGTTCTGCTTTTATGTTTAAATTTCCTCTCACTTAAAGAGAAGGTTTAACTCATACGCAACTGAGATTTTCATAGTCATTTTGTGATTAGTAAATTTGTCGTTAGCATTGAAAGGGAGCATGATTAGCATGGTTCTCGGGGTGTTACCATTATAATGGGTGAATTGATATAGTAAACTTGAAGACATACAGAAAATTTTTCAGTATGTATACACCACTGATAATAGTACCTTCCTATGCAACTCATCGTAATGATTTTCTCTCTTGTGCTTTCTTGTGGGTCGCGGCCAATATCCTGTGATGCCTTCAACTTCCTGTACTTGTAAGGTCAATACCACAACATAAAAAAGCATCAGGATGCAAAGCAACTTCATCGTTCAGGATTTCTGTTACCTTTAGTTGTCGTTCACAGGCTGCGACAGTCTTTAGAGTTGTGTTTCAAATCGTTTCAGCGGATATTTATCATGGCAGAGGCACCATTCAGTCGGCGGGGCATAATCAGATTTGTCGCGTATCAGTAGAGTTTGGAGCGTCAGTTACTTCCTAGACGCTTTCATGAGAACATCCCTGCCGAGGAGAAACAAAGCATGTGCAGGCAGCCATGTCCGTTTCTAAACATCTGATAACTCTCGCTCTGTGGACAGCGACATAATTAAACCGCCCGCCTACAAGAAGCACAACTTGCCAGTTGTTCTCAGTGAATACTTATTACCAGCTTGTGCTAATGATAACCTTCATTTTGCGCACAGAAAGACAAGCTTCAATTTTTTTTATTTTTGCTTCTACTAATCTTTGATCTATATATATATATATATAAATTCATATGGTTTCTCATTAAATCCCCTGATGAGTGGGCGACCACGAAACAGGCTTGTAGGGATGAACTTGTAGTTTACTTGTCTTTTTCCTCCCACAATATATTCATATGGTGGATACATTTGCCGTTATACTTCTTTTACACTCAAGAGGTCGCCAGGAAATGATTCAAAATCGTGGTAATGTTCATATCCTATCGCTTTAAGTTAGCTGGGCAAATATCACTCAACTTAAATTTCGTAAAGTTCCAACAGCTACTTTTTCATAGACATGAAAAGTGATTTGCAAATATGCTTTCATTTTACACTGAGCCCTTTCTTTAGTAAAGCATCATCATGACTCCTTCTCCTCTAAATGTTTGTAATAATTAATGAGATCTATCAATAGAACATCAACGACTAACGATAATTATGACTACTTCAAGTTTTATGGTCACTTGTTTGAAATGAGACGCCAGGAACATTTGCAATCAACAGTGGGTCAATCTTCGAAAATTCAAGCAGTCCAAATAACCAGCCTAAAAATTCAAACTTGCTTGATACTATATGTCACATGTATTAGTTACTGACGAGATTCTTTGGAATCACATGTTTCAGATCACACATGAAATGCAGATTACTGGAAATACAGCTGCAACCAAAATTATAAGATTGTTTTCGATTTCCTTTGAAGTAATTCTTATCTCCTTTCCAGTCTCGATTTCTACTAATAAAAACACACAGAATTCAAATAATTCATTGGTTTTTATCTAGATGAAGGTTGCTGTGTTAGCCTCAGGTAATAAAGAGGAAGAGTACATTGGTAAGAGAAAGAATTAATTGGTTTTCAGCTGAAAATAGGTGGCATGATATAGAGTAACTTTAGAGAGAAACTGCCGGCCAATTTCAAAAGCTATCACTCCGCAAACGTCTACCACCCAGTGTGACTTCGTGGTCCCTATACAATTACTTACTTCTGGTAACCATTTTCGCTCAGAAAAAAAAAGAAAAGAAAAACTGACTTTGTACATGCGTAAGTCACAATTGCATTTTTTTTATTGTGTCTGTATTTCTTCGAAAAACAATGATCGCGTATTTGCTAATGCGTTGGCTTTATCGTTTTATTACTTGGTAGTGATATTACAACGTTAATAATTCAAACCCACGTTTCAAAAGATTTTGCTTTCTTATAAGCACTGAATGTCAGACTAAGTCTACTATCGCCTGCTATTTGTTTTGAAGCAATTCAAAAATAACATAGCACGCACTCTAAAAATTGTAACTAAATAAACTGATGTCAGAAGTAGGAAGATAAAAAGCTAACACGCTCTTCATCAGTCAACAACAGATGGCTGCCAGTCTTAAAATAATCTGTATTTGAAGTTGATCTGGAATAACATCAAGCCTATCTGCCTGTAAATAACGCACAGCTCCCTGCTGTGGATTCTCATTTCTGTTATTCATCTTTGGCATAAAGGGGCCGACATTTTGTTTGCAGTATCATTATAAAGGGAAAGCAAATTAACAGAGAGTTTGTTTGATGGTTGATCGGGATGGGTAAAGAAAAGAAATGGCGACCAATGGAGAAACTGCGGATCTAAATTAATGTTATTCAAATATTGCTTTGAAGCAGATGTTAAAAGAAATAGCTTCCTTATTTTTCTTCACAGTGAAACCTTTAACTTCTTTTAGAGAACCCATCTTCAGCCAAATAAACTTTTAAGATGAGCTGAGCAACTTGGGAATTTTCAACCACAACCAGTTTCACCAGACCACTCTGAGGTATATTCTGTGGGATGTCTGCATAGACACGTCGGGATGGTTTTGATGCTTGTATGAGTATCATCGTTATGACTGAAACAGGCTGTTTAGTTAATTATGGATTAACTGTTGACCAACTGGCTGCTTTTCTCTTTGCTTCTAGTATCCGATTCTTTGATATGCTTTGGACTTTTTTTTTATTGCTAACTAATTCTTAATTCTCATTAGAGAAACAATTTCGATTTTGCCCTCCGATTTAAAACGCGGCAAACGTTCTGAAAGTGAGTCAATTTTAAAAACTAATTTGTGTCCACATTATTTTTTAGATCGGGACAATCCACATTTATAACATTGTAGAGGTCACCTTAATCGTTCAATGAGAGAAATGGGGACATATATAAAGCCGTTGGAGCGAGTCATTCATCAAGGCGCATATCGTGTCAAGTATCAAAGTGTAGTAAAGTCATCGAGTCAGTTGAATTCAAGTGAGTGAGAATGGCAATTAAGATGACAACCTTAGTTCTCATCGCTGTAGCTCTGTTACTCATGATATTCGAGGGTGAGGGTTTCACTGGAACAATTCCAGGGAAAAGGAATGCCGCTCTGGTGAGTTTTATTTTAAAGCCGGAAGAATTGAAATAAAATGCCAGTCTAGTGTAATATTGCCATCTCTTCTGAAGTCAATCAATAGTTTAGCTAAAATTTGTTCTAACTGAATGCCTAAGTCACTTTTTCCTAACCTGAACAAAACAGCTTTTTCTTCGACTATACTGACTTTGTTTCTTCAGGATACCAAAAATACCAAAAAGATACCAAAGATACCAAAGATACCAAAAATATGCGTCTTAACTGAGTTATTTGTTTAACATTTAACCTTAGGGTTCTTCGCAGAACTACAAACGGAGTTTGTGCGCCGCCGCCCGCAGTCTTGGTTGCAAAACTGAAGACGAACCGATGATGAAGAGAGTCGGGTATTCAATGGACTTAGTCTGATTCTTCGATATCGTAAAATCAGAAGGAACAAGATAAAAGAGTAATGATGGAAATAAAATGATTTCAAATGTTAAGTTCAATGTCTGACCTTCATTTGTTAGACCTTGTTAGATCTAACGGTATTCACAATTATGGAAACCTAAACAAAATTGTCCAAAAATGGTTTGACTTCCTAGGAGCCTCGCCCACTCGGCGAGTGTCCGTGCGGATCACTAAGAATTAATCTAAGAAATGCATCGGAGTTTTGACGTCATCTGTGATCTATTACTGAACAGGAGCACGGCAACACGTTTAAATAGTGAAGTCGTCTATGCACCTGTTCTAAAATAGATCATAAGTGAAAACCAATCAAAGATGGTGAATTTGAAGCTTGGACATAAAATGAAAGATGTTCAAGTTTTTTTTTTTCGTCATGTCTCGTGCGTAAGACAAGTATTTGACAAGAAGCTAAAAAAACTATCATTTCATTTCTGAGCTTAAAATCCACATCGTTCTTATTCTTTTGCCTCATAAGCGGCTTTTGACATGGTTGATGCTAACAGTATGCACGTCACATATGAACCTTGTTCAGAAAGTCTGATCGGTTTGGGAAGTTTTCTTCCCCCCCCTCCCCCCCTTGTTACAAGACGAAAAAACCTGTTTCAACAAACTGAAATGGGTGTACAATTTAGAACTTCTTTTACAACCAGTTAAGAGGTCTGCATGGGAAAATCTTGACCGAGGTTGCCACTACAGACCGAAAGCAGAGACTGAGGTCAATTTCCTCCGATACAGACCAAACTGACGTAAAATCACATCATAGAGATAGGATGACGCAGATGTATGTCCATTCTCCATCGGCTTTTTCTTAAAAAAATCGATATTTATTAAAAAAAGTAGATTGGTCAAAACATAAATTCATATTTTCAACAAGATTTTAACTAGCGGTTCAGTTCGCCTCCAACGTCAGTGCATTCCACTCGCTGAGCACTCCTTAACGGACTCTTGCATCGTATTCTTGTTGCTGCGTTTTCACAGCCGTGCAAAAATAAAATCATTATTTTGATTTTAAGTGGCTTGATGATCATCGGCTTGGATGTTTTTCAGAGGATGAATCGTTAAATTCTGATCCTGAATCTTCTCTTATCTTGTTTTCTTTTGTCTGATTCAATAGCAAGCCACGGAAACAAGGACAATTAAATGTAGCAACCGTGTTAACCAATTTGATTGGCCCATCGACGGCTGTTCTCGAAAATGTGCTGTTCAACCAACCCTGATGTCTTTCTGTGTCACAGTCAAAAGTACGTTCCTCATACGCAGTAGACGAAGGGTCCTGCGTGATCTGCTGTGTTTTCTTGAGACCTGTCTTGCTGCAGACCAATTGTTTTTCAGGTAGTACAGTGATGCTACAAAGCTTGTCGCATTCCGATAGAATTACCTTCTTTATTTTATTGCACTGCATAACAATGTTTATGTTCTCTTGCGATCTCGCCATATTTCTAATACAGATTATGTCAACATAGTTTCCAGCAAGTTTTATTTCTCCGTTAATTCGACATTGATCAAAATCCAAGTTATCTATTTTCTCTGCTGTAAATTCTGCTCTTGTGAAGTTACATTGTTTGGCACGTACAGTACGTATTCTAGTGTCTGCCGACACTCGCATCACATAACAAAGCATGTCGAGTTTCTTCTTGCCTGCATTAAGCAGAAGATGCACAATAGACGCGCATTTTATCTCGATTGATTTGACTTGCGGTAAGGAGATGTACGCATCAAGGAGAACGTTACATCGAATATCCACGCAGCACTCTTGGTGTATAGAACCAGAAAACTCTCCATCTGGGGCGTGATAGTTACACATAAATGACCTTAGTGTTGGACAGTGTACTTGTATGGATTGCACTTTGCTAAAATCGGTCATCCACAGACATAGTTCAGTCAAGGCTCTACTGCTTTCCACTTGAGAAACATGAAAATCTACCAGACGGCCCCTGATAGTACAATGCTCAATTCTTCTGTTTATCTGCAGAAGTTTGTCGATCGTCTTTGGTGTAAGTGATTCACAATTCGCAACCTCAAAGCGCTTCAACGTCGTAGATGTGACGTGCAATGACCGTAGGTTGGCAAGAAAGTTGAGGGACAAGTGCTCTAGCATGAAAGACACCACCTGGAGGGATTTCAAGTTGGAACATCTATTGACTATCAGACGCCTCAACTTCGGCATGGAACACTTTAAACGCACTATATTCGTGGCCGGTAGACCATCCAACTCGCAATATTGCAAGGTTTTTGATTCAAGATATTGATAACCTGTAACACAGCGGTGAGTATCAAGAAAACAAAGTTTCAAATCTCTCAGTGATCGGAGAAGTTTAAGTAAGAGTCTTAGCTCTTTGTGACCGATGGAAATAAAGCGAAGGTCCAGTTTAGTGATTATCGAAATATAATTTGAAGATAACAAACACTTGACTAGTTTTATAGTGTATCGATTCATAGGAATATTTGCTTCATTGCTGTTATATGCGGAGATTTGCAAGTCTTTGAGATTGCTGAGATTGTTTAAAAAATCCATCAGAGCGATATCTGTCAACCGGAGCATGTTGACAGACAGCTTCAAAACTTCCAATTTTCTACATCGTGCTCTGACTAGTTTAAGATGACCTTGGTTGATCAGTGACACCGGCTGGGTGTAGTTTTGCGTCCATTTTATATCTGACAAATCCCAGAAGCCATAAAGATTGAGTTCTTTTAAGCTTTCGGCGCTTCGGAAAGTTGTAAATTGTCCTAGGTTCCATGGAAAGGTTGGAATGTCAAGACAAGTCAGGTTTGTCATTTTCAATGTCACATGTCGTATGAAGAACCAAAAGTCGTACCCAAAAACAACGTCTAAAGAAGCCACTCTAAGGCACTTGATATACACCTCATATACTCTAAGGCATTTGAAAACGATGTTTTTCTCTCTTTCGGATAGATGACGAGATTTCAGGTGAATATGCTCCCACAGAGAAGGCGTCGTCTGGATGATAGCTTTCCATTCATGACAAACAGCAGACAACCTCGGCAGCCTATCGTAAACGGGGTGCAGAAAACCAAAGATGTGCGTAAGTAATTCCAAAGGAAAACCCTCCATAGCAGGCATATACTTTTGTTCTTAATACGTCTTGGAACGTTTGATTATGACACCTTCTCCTGATTATTACGTCACTAACTGTGCTCTATTTGCACGTGCAAATTTGATAATGATTATCTTTAGGAGTGTAAATTCACTGAAATCAGTTGGTCAGTATATGTCCATATTCCCAGGCTAAAAGCCACGTAAAACATATCAAGAAATGGGAAATTCTGCTGCGTTTATTACAGATTTTTTGCTGGCCAATAATCTGTATTAGTATAATTTCAGAGCTGAGCAAAGAGTTTCCAGCAATCTGATTTGTCGAGCGGTTCCTTATATGACGCTATATAAACCGCTCCACGCGGTTTATGTAAAATGTTAACATTTTAGAAATTTCTCTGCTGTTCAGCTCTGAAATTATACTAAAACAATTATTCGCCTCACAGCGCGCGCTTTACACTCGAGGCAATCAGTCAATCAGAGATTTATGGAAATTTTCGGTCGTCATAAGTAATTTTCACAATGACCAGCGCCTTTTACTTTGATAGGCTGCTTTACTTGCACACGCCGACCTTAATTGTGTTAGGTCTTTATGCTTCCAGATCAACGACTTGGCCTAGGTAGTTCTTTTTTATTTTATTTCTCAGACAAAACTTTAATATCAATAAAATTGTTCATGTTTAGAGAGTGCATTAAATAATAACGAGTATATGTGCGGTTGAAATAAATCAGTACGTTTGGAGGAATTCGAAAAAGCAACTCCCTTTGCACTACCCTTTGAAACCGTCATGGATTTCATATTCCTTTGACACGTTTCTTCAAAAATTATGTTTTCATCAATGCTCTCCATGTTGACCGCCTTATCATGTAGTTCCAGCTGGGTTATCAGTAGTTGCTTAAATGACAGGGCGTAAAGTGAAAGCTGTTAGAACTGCCGCACCTATGGATTGCCTTATGATATTCTAAGATTCTGAACGGCAGGACATCATATCTACCTTTATAACATGGAGAGCAAAATTGCTTAATTTTGATTCGCTGATTTAGAGGAAATTTTTTATTAATTTTGGTAATTGCCCCGGGAAAAATCACTCGCTGCGCGACTCAGACAATTGCTACAACTTTTGAAAACCCGAGTGATATCAATCCCTAATTTTACCCGGCCCTATGCGATTACCAATACTAATTTTGTCTCTAGCAATAACGATGTCATTGATGTCAAGTTGTAATCATGGATGTTATTGACGATTTCATGAAGAGCGAAGTTACGAAAATTAAACAACGGATTATCAGCGTGAACATTTCTTCGTAAAACCAACTTTCCAAAGATTGCCTCACAATCAACTTAACATTTTCTTTCTGTTAAGCCCAGAACATATTTTGATAGGGCACATTCGGTAGTAGGACTAAAACTATGGAACGGGTTGTACCCATGAATTGCCAATAAACGCCTCACAAGCATTTGCAGTAGTTTAGTAGCATTTGTTCGTCATTTTCATCAGCATGATTGTTAGTGGAAAGGAAAACTCTTGGATCTCCGAAAGATATCTCACTGGGGTAATCAACTCCGAGTTATTGAACAGCACCTGTTTTTTTCTTTTATGTCAGTTGGAAATGCACAAATAATTACTAGAATCAACCTTGAAAATACTGTTTGTTAAATGGAAAAATAAGCCGTGTTCTAATCAGAAAGAGTTTTAATACCGGCATAGGATTTTTATCCTCTTGCTTATGGCGATTCCGTTATTAACGTTACAGCCCAGATCATTTTTTTCTCTTAGGCATAATAGAAATATTCTATCACTACAGAGGAGGACGATTAATTTTGATTTAAAAATATTTAAATATTTCAATTAAAGTGCGACTGATAGAACTTGCTGAGGTTAAATTGAATTGAAGCGTGTTGGATATCATATAGTGTTCACTCGAAGTGATTTTATTTTCATTTTGATTTCAAGGGGTTTGCTGGTGGCGTATTGTTTGTCTGCTCTAAAAGGTTTATCTCGGAATAAATTTGGGCATCTGATGGCTTTCGTAGCTAGATATATGTGCTGCCGTCGCTCATAGTTGACCATGGCTTGCGAATCTGTCTCAGCAGATTAGATGTCATAGGTTTGAGAAAGAAATCATGAAAACAAAAATTTAAGGTTAGTTTGCTTTTGAAATTTCATAGCAAACATTTCTTTCTTTTTTTTTTTTTTTTTCAGATATGTTTGCCTTGATTCTGAAGAGAAATCTTGAGAAAATATTTTATTCCCCGAATATTTTTTTTTGGAAATAACGAAATCGAATCGCAGCAGCTTTCACTTTTCCATAATATCCAAATCTTCGGATCGCATATTTTTACTTTTGGCACCTTCAAATGGCGAAACGAAATCCTTTCAGCATCTCAGACTGAAGAAGCAAACTCGGCTGTCTTCGGAAGAACACGAAGTAAATGGTGTAGGAAAGCAACATTTTAATTCATCCGTCTTCTACATCCTCTTGGTCCTCGCGCGCTGTCACCGCCTCGTATTTATAAGCAAAATAAAAAAACCGGAACCAGAATGTTCTTTTTCCGGTGAGTGAAGAATAGGCGTCATTAACATATATTTTGAATGTGTAATATCATTTTTGGATTTGTTGAGTCAGTAATGTTAGTCCACGGATTATCTTTATCCAATCCTGAACATAGAGAGGTGACGGCATCACAACGACCTCATGCCTGACTTGAGGAGTGCAATAATCGCAGTGCTGGTTTTTAGTCAATGCTCTAGTTTGGCCTTCAACGAGAAAGGGTGAGTTAAATTTCTTTGATGATAAATATATCATACCACCTAAACTGCATACTTTGTGTTTTACAGACTTTGCAGACTTTGTGTTTTACATTTTTAACAATTCGATGATTGACTAACCCTTTGTATGAGAAAATAAAATAAGTCTTAAGCATGTGCGGTCAGGTTTAAATCAATAACATTCGAATGACGGAATTACGCAAAGGTGAAATAATAAAATTGAAAAGATATGATTTGCTCGAACCTTTTTATGAATATTGGCACTAAAATTCGTACAAACGGCTTGTCAAACCTTAAGATTCACAATTTGTACAATCTCTTAATTTTGTGAGGAGAGTTGCGCAATTTGAAACTACAGTATCACAGTCTTTGTGTGAGGAATGTATACAAGGTACACAGATTGATTTTGTTTCCTTTCGCTAACAATCTCAGATTTGTTCCCCCTATTTGGGCACTTAACTAACTGTTGATGAAAATGAGACGAACGATGGTTTTCCTTAACTGCGTATGATCTTCCCCATTTCATAAGTTTATGCTATTAGGAAAACTACCACACACCTGCTTTTTAATAAATGATTTTGCTTTTGTCATCTCGAACGTCTCCGGCTGGTTATGAATTTCAAATACTGATTTATTGCCATGTGTATAATTAAAATTGAACTAATTAATCTGTCGATATTCTTCATGCTATTTTACCCTCAAGCTGAGGTTGCAAAGCTTCAAGCAGAAAATTTACCACAACGAACTCAATTTTGACTCCTTTCACTTCGGAAGCGATGGGTCCTGTTTAAATATTGCAATTTTAAATTAACCACAAAGAATTTTAAATCAGAATTTTAAATATTGCCCATATAGTGCTTTAACAGAGAGTACACCGCACTGAATGCACACAGTATAGCACCATACTATGATAGCACCATAATAAGAAAAGATGGTGATCCACCAATTCGGGAAAGTTTCATCGAGGCGTATATCTTATAGGAACGTTCGTAGGCTTTGTGATTGAATTACAACCCGTAGTTAACTAAGTCGGCAAGCCAAAAAAAAAATCAACAACAACAACGCAAAACTCCTGGATTTTGAAGCTCCAAGGGAAAAGCAAATATGCCAAAGGATACTCGTATCTCTGAAAATTATAAACTGATTATACACTGGAGTCACAAAAACGCCGAAATCAAATTGCGTCTGAAAATGCCTTTTTACTTTAATCAGCAGGATACTAAGGCTCGGCTAGTTCTTTTTTAGACGTTTTTAACCAAGGTGTAAGGGGATAACTTTCCTTTCCTCTGATAACTTTAGGAACCTTTCTGCAGATTTACAGCTGAGGTGGCTAAGCGAAGCAAAGAGCGATTGTAAAAATATTTCGTTTTCAGAATTTTCCGGTTTGGAATAAAGTTTTCGAAGTTGTTTTGAGGATTCTCTCTGTAATTACGTTACACCTAAAGAAAAATAATTTTCTCGTGGTTGGAGATAATCAAAATTCTATTCATGTCTTGCAAGAATACATGAACTTGTGATAGATGTAATACCGACACCAAAATAGAGAGCAACAAATCAGTTCTTGAAATGACGAACCTAGAAACTTTCAATTGATAGCAATTTAATCTCTTAACACTTACAGTTAAAGTGCCCCTGAGATCAAAATTTTAGTACATCATTTTTTTTTTCATTTTCGTGTTCAGTGTGTCTCCTTCACCTACTCTGCCAAATTTCAGTTTAGACCGAGCACCAGAAATATCTTTTTTCGGGCCGTTAAACTTAACAGAGTGCTTTACTCTATTCTTACTAAAACTAAACAAAAGTGACTGGGCATCGATGCGTTATTCAAAGTTGAAGTAATCGTGCAGACCATGCTGCAGGTATTTCTCTGCATCGGAGCCTTGCAAATAGATCAGAGCGGGAAAAATGGATGCGATTTGTGCGACCTCGCCGAGTAAACTTCAATCCTACAGAAATATTTATGATCTACTCCGAACACTTCTCGGAGGACTGTTTCGAGAGATCTGTGTACTTTGAAGGATCTAGGCGAAGAATTCTGTCGGGTTCAGTGCCTACCGTTCAAGAAGAGAAGGGACAAGAAAAACCGTCCTCAGTGCGATCTCGACGCCGGAAAGCGAAGTCTACGAACCTCCACGGATTTTGTCACCTTTACATATGAGCTGATCAATATCCACCTTTAACAACTCTCTGGCAGAATACCTTACACAAAGGAAAGTACTCGGTGAACATTGTAAATAAGAATGATAAAATAGCCGAATTGAGGATTGAGATTTCTGACCTCAAAGAGCTCACTTTTATACAAAAGAGATGAAAAATATAATTGTGTGCTCTGATTCTAAAAAAAGCTGGCTTTAATATCAGCGAAAGCAGAACAAACAGCTTAAGACACAGAGCGTAAAAACACTTTAAAATGTAGGCTTGCAGCCAAAAAACCGAGAAAATGAAAATTTCTTTAAAAACCTGTCAAACTATCAACCATCTGACAGCCAAGTCAGCGTGCTATCAAAGGGTCTCAAATTCATCCCAACGCCCGTGACAAACGAATTTAAAATCAGGCCAACTTTTGCGAGATTTATTCGCAAGACGAATGCGCCTCCGTTACACCTTTCACGGACAAAACAAAGAACCACTTCTGTTTCATATCAAACTGAATGCCACCGGTTCAGTCTTCTATCGCCCTTCAGAGCTACTTGGAAAATTGTCATAACGCTACTTGCAGACTGCATCTAAGCCAAAAAATACTTTGTAACGCAATGAGGTCACGGCTCTAAAGAGTTGAAACAAACTCTGCTTTAAACCTCACCGAAGCAACACAACAATAGTCATCATGAATAAGACAGAAAAAACAAAAGAGGCCAAAGTGCAACTCAACAACAGAGTTCACTTCAAACCTCTCAAAGCACCGATAGTGAAAAACACGTNCTGATAACTTTAGGAACCTTTCTGCAGATTTACAGCTGAGGTGGCTAAGCGAAGCAAAGAGCGATTGTAAAAATATTTCGTTTTCAGAATTTTCCGGTTTGGAATAAAGTTTTCGAAGTTGTTTTGAGGATTCTCTCTGTAATTACGTTACACCTAAAGAAAAATAATTTTCTCGTGGTTGGAGATAATCAAAATTCTATTCATGTCTTGCAAGAATACATGAACTTGTGATAGATGTAATACCGACACCAAAATAGAGAGCAACAAATCAGTTCTTGAAATGACGAACCTAGAAACTTTCAATTGATAGCAATTTAATCTCTTAACACTTACAGTTAAAGTGCCCCTGAGATCAAAATTTTAGTACATCATTTTTTTTTTCATTTTCGTGTTCAGTGTGTCTCCTTCACCTACTCTGCCAAATTTCAGTTTAGACCGAGCACCAGAAATATCTTTTTTCGGGCCGTTAAATTCACGATTTCGCGTCCGCCATTATTTGATCATGTTCCGGAAGTTGATCGCAGGACTCAGAGGAAGTGACGTCAAAGGCTCAACGCGAAAATCTCACATGGCAAAATGTCAAGCAAACATAACAGAGTGCTTTACTCTATTCTTACAAAAACTAAACAAAAATGACTGGGCATCGATGCGTAATTCAAAGCTGAAGTAATCGTGCAGACCATGCTGCAGGTATTTCTCTGCATCGGAGCCTTGCAAATAGATCAGAGCGGGAAAAACGGATGCGATTTGTGCGACCTCGCCGAGTAAACTTCAATCCTACAGAAATATTTGTGATCTACTCCGAACACTTCTCGGAGGACTGTTTCGAGAGATCTGTGTACTTTGAAGGATCTAGGCGAAGAATTCTGTCGGGTTCAGTGCCTACCGTTCAAGAAGAGAAGGGACAAGAAAAACCGTCCTCAGTGCGATCTCGACGCCGGAAAGCGAAGTCTACGAACCTCCACGGATTTTGTCACCTTTACATATGAGCTGATCAATATCCACCTTTAACAACTCTCTGGCAGAATACCTTACACAAAGGAAAGTACTCGGTGAACATTGTAAATAAGAATGATAAAATAGCCGAATTGAGGATTGAGATTTCTGACCTCAAAGAGCTCACTTTTATACAAAAGAGATGAAAAATATAATTGTGTGCTCTGATTCTAAAAAAAGCTGGCTTTAATATCAGCGAAAGCAGAACAAACAGCTTAAGACACAGAGCGTAAAAACACTTTAAAATGTAGGCTTGCAGCCAAAAAACCGAGAAAATGAAAATTTCTTTAAAAACCTGTCAAACTATCAACCATCTGACAGCCAAGTCAGCGTGCTATCAAAGGGTCTCAAATTCATCCCAACGCCCGTGACAAACGAATTTAAAATCAGGCCAACTTTTGCGAGATTTATTCGCAAGACGAATGCGCCTCCGTTACACCTTTCACGGACAAAACAAAGAACCACTTCTGTTTCATATCAAACTGAATGCCACCGGTTCAGTCTTCTATCGCCCTTCAGAGCTACTTGGAAAATTGTCATAACGCTACTTGCAGACTGCATCTAAGCCAAAAAATACTTTGTAACGCAATGAGGTCACGGCTCTAAAAGAGTTGAAACAAACTCTGCTTTAAACCTCACCGAAGCAACACAACAATAGTCATCATGAATAAGACAGAAAAAACAAAAGAGGCCAAAGTGCAACTCAACAACAGAGCTCACTTCAAACCTCTCAAAGCACCGATAGTAAAAGACACGTAGGAAAGGGTTAATGAGATCATTGACCAAATGCATCGGGGAAAACACATCGATGGCTTAGAAATGGCTTTCACAAACTCCCAATATCCGCCTTCGGATACACAATTAGCCATTGCCGAAAACTATTTTTACTAATCACACGATGATTTCTTACAAAAAAGGTAAATTCCTTGCGACAAACAAAAATACAGTTCGAAGGCGATAAAGCGATCCGACCACAAAAGCCACATGGGGAGTCCGTGCCGTTCTGTGTTTATCTTTATTCGCATGGCAAAAATTCATCGTTTGTCGGCGCAAAACTATCCACAGAAGCTTCAGATGATTTCTGGGACAATCCATCGACTGAAAAAGTCGACATTTCCCGACTGACTACGAAACAGTTCTCAAAAAAATAATATGTGTGATTCTCTGTGCAGCGAACAAAGAGAGTTGTGACAAAGCAAAGCATAAGGTTGTTGAGCCTTTGACGTGTGATGACGTTTCTGCGGGCTCGGCTGGAACATGTTTTCAGCAATGGCGGACGATTTTTGGACGACTTTGAAGCGGTAAAAATTGGTCATCGAAGGTTTGTTTTGAGTTTTTAATGGCAAAAAGGGTCTTAACTTGACCCAATTCAACATTATGTAAACAATTTAGGCCAAAATAAAATGGTCAATTTTCGTCTCAGGGGCACTTTAACTTTCTAATTCTCAAACTTAATTAATTTGTGGCTAGAGAATATGTTCGTATTCTCTGGAGTTTATGGCTAAAGCAGTAAAGAATGGAAATCGGTTGCTGAGTGAAGCTAAATTCTGTACTGGGAGGCTTAATTATTGCAAGAAAGGAATAGTTTCCATACACAGGTAAGGGCTGCCATTCATGAAAGAGGTCTTCTTAAAGCTTTTATTGAACAACTGTCATCCGACGACCGAAGTATCGTCTGTCAATCACGCAACAATACGAGCAAAGCACCAATCAGGGCCATATCAAATAATGCTATTTTTTATGCTGGGATTAACCTTAAAAGTGATTTCTGATGATCTTGAGTATAGCTACCTTTTCAACTTTTGCAGCAAAAGCAGTGTTTATACAAATGGCGATCATTTGTATATTTGTATTGGTAATTGCTTACACGTAATAGTTTTACTTGTATTTGCCACTGACCCGTATAATAAAGGATTTGGCAACTCTTACAGTCAACGTGCATTTACAGAATGATTTTGTTTCGATTTTCTTAATCAAGCAGAGACCTTGAGCACAATGATTTAATAGAAAACTTCACAAAGTTTTTGAATGACGAGGAAAACAGACGCCATTTAAAACTACTGCGACCGATGTCAGGAGGTAAGATATTTGCCAGTAGTTATCTTCTTTATAAATCCTTTTTACTCACAATGTTTCACTTTGTCGACCATTCCGTATTTGAACATATTTTTAATTTTTCTAGGTGAAGCAGTGCAAGTTAAAGTTGGCATTCACATTGTGTATATTGGAAAATTTAGAGAGTCAGATATGGTAAGATAAAATCATGGTTAACCTTAATTCGTATTTCCTGGACAATGAAACACATCGACTTTTATGATCAGAGCTCCTTTTGTTCCACTTTTACGGCCATGGTAAAGGTATGATCATTTCCTAGAGTTGTAAATGATTTTTTTTTCGGTCGACCTGTAAGGAATACACAATGGAGATGTATTTCCGGCAATACTGGAAAGACGACAGATTAGCATTCCCTAATCTCAACCAGCCGGTAACTTTCAGTGGTGAACTCCCCAACGTCTTATGGCAACCAGACACATACTTTGAAAATGGCTTCGACGGTAGACTACACCATTTAACAGTTTTGAATAAGTTCCTGCGTCTTAATCCTGACGGGCGTGTGTTGGTCAGTACCAGGTGTGTAAAACTGATAAGGGATTCATTATCATAATTGGAATGAAAAAACCTTCGATGTCATAGAGGAGATGTTGTAGTGGAGTACAGCACGTTCCGTTTTTACGGACTCTGTGAATAAAAACTTCATCTAAAATCTGCTAGTTTGGCTGCTCAACTGCAATTCAATCTTTGTTTTTTACCCTTTTCTATACTTCCTTATTGACTAATACACGAAAGCAACAGCCAGAGAAAACGAAAAGAAAGGTAAAACAAAATTGTCTTATACTTTTGTTTTGTTAGATTAACCTTAACCTGTTCCTGTGAGATGGACTTCAGGAAGTTCCCAATGGATACACAGATTTGCAACCTCTATTTCGCAAGTTGTTAGTTAATTAATTTTCAGTAATGGTATAATGATCACCACCCAGAAAATATTTTAATTTTTGCTCACCTTTTGAAAGATAAGTATTTGAGTCAGCCGTCCATTTTAGGACATGTTCTGGTAACACTTAAATTACCGATTTCATTTCTTTATTATTATTTTAGATGGTTTCACAACAAGGGATCTGATTTACAGCTGGAATGATGAGTTTGTTTCATATGGAAACGCTAAAGAAAACGAACAGTTTTCCCTCAAAACATTTCGCTATCTAAACGGAACAAGATCCTACGCCACGGGTGAAGCATAACTTTAGTTAAACCTTTAAACTCATAAGAACACACTCCAGTAACATCATTGCATGGAAAAACAGTCTTTGCATAAAGTCGCTCAACTGTGGTGATATTTAAAATCTCGATTTTCTTTCTGTATCTACAAGTATATCCTTTCACATTCTAATTTGGATATATCAACAAAGTTGAAATGGTAAATTGGCCACCGTAATGATTACAAAAGCTGACGTTTCGAGCGTTAGCCCTTCGTCGGAGCGAATAGAGGAGTTGTGGGTTGTGTGTGCTTTTAAAGGCAGAAAATGGAGCTACGTTATTGGTGGGTGCATGGCAACGAGAAAAACATGAATAAATTAGTGGAATGAAAAGCGTTCATTGATCCCTGTGGGATTTAGACTGCCGGTTTGAAAGATGAGCTTTTGTTCAAGATTTTTACGGCTTTCCGTGCCACCTAAGTGCAAGGAAAGACCGCAGATTGCCATATGTTGCTTAGAATAATTAGGTAAATTAAAATGTCTAGCGACTGGTTTCGATGTGTCCTTGTCATTCCTTTCCACGTCTCGAAGGTGTTCTCGGAATCGGTCACCTAGTCTTCTGCCTGTTTCGCCGATGTATATCTTTTTGCAATAAGTGCAAGTTATGCAATAGATTACATTAGCGGAGGTGCACGTGAAGTGATCGGTGATCTTAATGGATCGTTTAGGTCCCGATATTTTATCAGTGTTGTGAATGAAAGGACACGTTTTGCATCGTGCACGAGCGCATTTAAAAGTGCCTGGTTGCTCATTAGTCTGAAAAGAACTTCTGACCAAAAAATTGCCTAAGTTTTTGTCGCGTTTGAATGAAATGAGCGGAGGCTGCGAAAAGATAGTGCTTGTCTCTGGATCGTTTTGAAGTAATTTAAAGTTTTTAAGAATGATGGATTTAACTGAGTGGTTGTGAGGGTGAAACGTGAGAGTGAATGGAATGCGGTCGGAATCTTCCTTATGCGACGTTTCACATTCACATTCTAGGTCACTTCTCGTACCTTGGTGTTCGCTTCATTTTCGTTCGACGCTTAAGCTTTTTCTTGGCAAAAGTCTACGTTCCCGCGATGTTGGTAGTAATTGTTTCCTGGCTGTCTTTTTTCGTTGACAAGAACTCGGTTCCCGCTCGAATATCCCTTGGAATTACAACAGTTCTCACGATGACCACGCTTATCATGGGTCTCGGGCAAGACTCTTTACCGGTAGTGTCTTATATGAGGGCATTGGACTGGTACCTAATTGTCTGTTACTTGTTGGTTTCTGGTTCTTTCGCCGAATATGCTGTGGTCAACTACACAAGCAGGTTTCGTTCAAATCGAAGGAATGTAGGTGTCATTTATAATTTTGAAAATGTTATAAGGTGGGGTCTGAAGAGTAAATTAGTCAATAGACGAAAAAGAAATAAAGAACCAATTTGAATTAATGAGATCGACATGGATTCCAATTGGTTGAAGACTTAACCGGCTTTGTTTTCCTTTTGTAGAGGTGATTACTTAAATGTTTTTTCAAAACTTTACTGTAGAGAGAATACAATACTCTCGGCGAAGTTCATTACTGATTCCTTAACTCAATCATTCAGTTGCTTTATTGATCTTACGATAGTTGAAATATCCGTAATCAATTGTATCTACTTAACTTTTTGTTTTAGAAATTTCGATATCCAGAGGAAATATCCTCTCCTGAAAGAACATCAAGTGAAGCGTTTCCTAATTTGCGACCGGCTGCCGATGTTGAAAACAAAGCCTCCATTTCATGGGCGCAGGAGGATTTGACTGTTACGGAGAATGAAAGCAGCACTTTAGATAAATGGTCTCGTTATATCTTCCTACCAACGTTTATCATTCTAAATGTCGTATTCTGGGTATATTACTTGGTTCTAGATGACAACAATTTCTAACAATTCAGTGAAACAGAAACAACAAAACAAGGTTCGACCCGGCAGTCATAAATCTGAAATTTGATACTTCGGCCAGAGAATTAAAGGCTGAATCAGTGGTAACTGGGTGGAAGGGTGTTACAGTTACCTAACTGTGTGATAGTTGTCACTGAAAAGAGAAGACAACTGAGCCTAGTACTCTCTAAACAGATGATTTAAGTAATATTGGGTTTTCTCGCTACATTTCCTTATTCTTTTTTATTTGTTGACAAATTTGTAAGGTAATGTAATGTTGCAATTCTTGTGTAATTATTGATTGATTACTTGTAAATCGTAGTTAATGATTTGTGGTAGAAAAAAATAGTAATAATAGTATGCACACTAAGGCTTTTCGGAGCAATAAGGTGACACCATGGCTTAGCTGAATCCCCGTCCCCATAATGGTGGGCTTTGCCCACCGAAAAAATTTATCTGAGATTCGCCTGGTAGTTATGCACCTTATTCATGAATGGCGGACGAGCGGTTGAGACCTTAACCAAGTTCACAACTGAAAACGAGATTTAGGAGGCATCGGTCGACCTGACGACGCTGTAGGCTTTGTTCGAAAGGTTGTGGATTGTGGAAATGTCGATAGTTTTATTATTTTTTTTATCTTATTTATTCTTATTTATTTCATTTATTTATTTTATTTTTGATCTTACATAGCGTGGATATCTTGTGGAATGTTCTGTTGTAAAAATGGCGTCGAGTTTTGCAGTTAATTTGAGTGAAGAAGACATTCCCGGGGGGTCTTTAAAGGGAAGAAACCCATTTATTTATTTATTACAATTTAATGGCAATTAACAAAATAAAATAAGTACTTGTAACAAAGGAAATGCCGTAAGGATGGTCTGTAAAAGAGTCCAAGACCCCATCCTCAGATAGACCACCTAACTAAATATGTAGTTTGAAAATATATTTAATATATAATTAATCTAATTAATTAAAATCTGATATAAAAATTCTAAAATATGTGACTATGAGTTTTCGGTAATTTTACCAGTGTAGTTGGGATTCATTCAGTAAGAAGTTCCTCACACCACGCTTAAAACTTGATACTAGACGCTGATCTAATTTAAAATGGGAGTGAATTCTACCTATCAACAATACGATTAAGAAAACTAAACCTAAAAGTGTTTGTACGGGAGTAATTCTTCTTTAAAGTAAGTCCATCTCTCTCTCTGAAAGGGTATCGAGCAGTATCAGAGTAAAACTGAACAGTTGAAGAGATATCAATGTCAACATAACCATTCAAAACTTTGTAAGAAATTAACACATCAAAAAGAAATCGTCTATGCTCCAAGGACAGCAGATTAAGCTTGGAGTTGCGAGTATCATAGTCATCTTCACATTTTACAATAAACTTCGTAGCTCGACGTTGCACTCTTTCCAAAGTCATGATATTTCTGGCAGTGAAGGGTGACCATACAACAGAGCCATATTCAAGTTGAGGCCTAAGCAGGGCAGAATAAAGAGTTCTGAGCGTAGGAAGATCTCTCAAATCTCTGCAATTTCTTTTGAGTAAACCAAGTACTTTATTCGCCTTGCTAGCGATCTTGTCTATGTGAGAGTTCCATGCCAATTTCTAATCAGTTAGTAAGCCAAGATCAGAGAGCTCAGTAGTAGCTTCAAGGGGAGTACCATCCAGTAGTAGAGGAGCAGAGATTGGAGACTGGTGTCCCCAAATTAGTAGGGGATTTGTTCCCTGGCTAGACGGTTTTTGACACTTTAATAAAGTTTCTACTACTAGATTGTTTTTGAGTGATCTGCAATAACTTACATTTCTTTGTATTAAAGCACGTTTGATTTTTTCTAGCCCAGGAGGCCAGATTGTTGAGATCTTCCTGAAATAATTCGTGATCGCATGGACGGTGGATAACTCTTGAGGTTTTACAGTCATCTACATACAGTGCCACCATACTCCCAGAGGAAATAGCATCAGGCAGATCATTAATAAATATCACAAAAAACAATTGGCCTAAGATGGACACTGGGGTACCCCTGAGGGGATAGTGCGCCAGTCAGAACTTGCTCCATCTATTACTAGCTGTTGTTCACTATTCATTAAGTAGTCTCTGCACCAGTTCAGAAAGCAACCAGAGACACCAAAGTTACATAACTTCTGTAGTAAGATAACATGAGACACTTTGTCAAAAACCTTACTGAAATCCAAGAAGACTATATCGAATTGGTTCCCTGCATCCAAGGCTTTAGTCCACTGATGATGAGACAGCACTAGCTGAGTAACACAGGATCGACCTGTAATAAAACCATGTTGCCAGTCATTTAGATATGGAGCTACATGTCCAAAATTGCTTGATGTACGATCCTCTCCTGGCACTTGCTGGGAATAGACAACAAAGAGATTGATCGATAATTCTCAACTAGGTTCTTGATATCAGTCTTAAAAACAAGTGTAGTGTTAGCTCTTTTCCACACCTGAGGAACCACACCTAGTTATTGAAAAGAGTCGACAGTGGGTATGAGAGCTCCAGTGAACATTCTTTTAAGAATCTCGCTGGGATGTTATCAGCTCTTGTCGCCTTGCTTACATCTAACTTAGCCAAAATTTTCTGGACTTCAGAGGCTGTTGCTGACACTGCCGTTAGCAAGTCAGGATGTACCACGTCATTTTGTAATCCTGCAATATCAACACAGTCAGGTGTGATCACGGAAGAAAAAAAATCATTAAACAATGACGCCTTCTCTGCTGGATCACTAACAGACTTACATTTATACGTGACAACTGGAGGTATCCGTCTAGTCCTCGATTTCAAAGAGTGGAACGTCCAAAACTTCTTCGGATTGATCTTCAGGTCTTCTGAGAGTGATTTTAAATAAAGGAATATATTTTAATGAGATCAATCTCTTTGTTTGTTTCCTTAACAGTTTAGACTTTGAAATCAATTCGATATCCTCATGGCGTTTTGAACGCTTCCGAAGGGCTTTCTTTTTTCGTACCAACTTCATTACATCGTTATCTATCCAAGGGGGTCTGGAAGAGTGTCTGAGTTTAGACTGGGGAATATGTGGATTGACTGCTGTGATCTTGGAAAGCTGCCACACCATAATTCACATCGTTAGCAGAAAAACAGGTGTCCCAAGGAATGCATGACAGAGATCAACAACAACGGCCTGAGGTTTTTTTTGGCTAAAATGCAGGGGAGACAAATGCAAAGGGCTGAAAACAACCGGGCTCAAAAAAGTTACAACTTTTCTAAAGGATGAATTTCTTAAGGAAATTTAAAGTTATAGTGACCAGAGATATTTTTTCATACGTTGCAAATGTTATCACTCCTTTCGAAAGAACGATCCCCCTCATAATATCTTTTCAGCATTATGGATTGTCTCGGGTGACCCTGACGAGGGTGATGATACAGATGATGCGTATATTCGTTGAATAGAACACCAGACAAAGACCTGCAATTACCACACTATGCGCACTTATTTGAAGAGATAAAAGTGTACTAGAAACATGTCGCGCAGTTGGAAGTGCTTAAGTCGGAAGAGCAACAGGGGTAAAAATTTCAAGCCTTTAATTGCCACTTTCATGATCACGTAACTACAATCGCCGTAGAGGAAAATAGAGCAAGTTTACAACACGTTCGATTTTTGTCGCATTGATAATTAACAAGACTTAGAATTAACTTAATTTATGCACTCTTAACACGATACTTGAACATCCTTGCACTAACAACGCCCTGGAAATTCATCTTTTGAAATCGGTGAGCTCGAACTCCAACTCCTCTTCTGGGAGCCGGTGGGGGCAAAAAGTTTATTAAATATCCCACCATAAAGTCTCCTGAGACAAACGTTCAGCTTCATTCCGTAGCCATTCATGCTTTTTGGTGAGCGACGCTAGTTGATAATACCTTTCAAATCATTCAAATTTATTATTCAACACATTGTGACAATGTCTAAATGTGGTCATGGCTCTCTCAATCTTCGTCGAGTGATATACGTCATTTCTTGTGTCGAGGAGAAAATGGCGGACTTTGTCAGCTTTTCTGCCAATTGACAAACTCAATAAATTGTACTTTGCGATCAATGTGTTGAATAATGAAACAGTTATCCTGCTCTATCCCGCAGATATCCTCTGAATTAAGTCTTTCGACTTTAGTCAGTCTTATTTGAGGTTCCTGGCAGTCTTATTTGAGGTTCTTGGGAGATATGGTGGTCGAAGCACTTGATCTTGTTGTTCGGTTCGTCCCTTTTCATTAGAAAATGGCGTGGCGGAGTGATCGGTACATTTGCAACAACAAATTAACCAACCTGAACAACCTAACATTACCAACTGAAAAAAAAATTACCAATCACTACCAACTTACGCCACTTCAATCTTACCGCAAAACTGGCCAATCAGCTCACGACAAACGCACTTTCAGCACTCGAATGACAACAACTTTAGACTTGACTCAAATGATGACTTCTGCTAAGATTGTAGAAACATCACTTACTTGTACTGGCAACGTCCAACCACTGCTTTTCCCTCTAGAATCACTAGAAAATCACTAGGATCACTAAAGCCCCACAAGATTCAAAGGGAAAAATGCTAAAGCGAGGCGAAGTTGAATTTCTTCCCAACTAGTTTAAGAATACGACCGTTTCTTCCCATTATGTCGCCCATTGTGCGACATAACATATTTACTGGGCTTATTGTGCGAGCATGGACTACCTGTGCTTTCATTTGACGTCAATGTGGTTAAGCTTTAATTTTAGGTCGAAATATGTAACAAACAAATATGTAGGAAAAAAAGGCACCGAGCGTCATGGAAATATTCTACGAGACAACACACAGAATCACACAGCCAGGAATCCGACGGGGGAGGGCGGTGTTAAGTGTATTTCTGGGCATTTTTACGGAGAGATCCAAAGAGTCCTTAAGGTTTTCTCGGAAAACGATATCCGTGATGCTGTGAACTACGCCCATCATGTCAAACGAAAGACCGTTACCGCAGGGGATGTGCTCTACGCTTTGAAAGCTAAGGCTGTACGCTTTACAGCTTTGGCGGTTACAGGATTAAAGAAACCTCAAAGAAATAATCAACGACTGTTTTAGAAGCCATTGCATTTGGGAAAAGTCGTGATAAGCAGCAGTAATAGTGAAACATTCAAGTCTAATGGTGTTTATACGTATAAAAGAAGTCGAGAAGAGATCTTATTTTGTTTCGAAACGAAGTACTATTCAAAGTCAAATGCGTCTTGATACGTAGAGGTGAAATATATGCAATTTGCAGTTTTCATACTTAAAAAAGTGACAGCGAAACAATAAGAGGCTGTAAATGTGTCGGGGTTCTTTTGTTTGTTAGGCACATATGTAATCTCGCAATTTCCACCGTCGAACAAAGGGGAGGGAAATAAAACTAACGGCAGTGTTTTTTGTATCCTTGAAGTTTCAATAAAATGCCCAGAAAACTAAGCCGATCCCAACTACATTTATTTCATTGAATGGACTTGCTTTAAGTTTGTTTAATTAGTAAAGGGCCTAAATGTGGGATGTCATCGATTGACGCAGATTACGCATAGCCATCTCACATGTTTGATCAAATATGCACCGGGACAAACTTTCCTAAAGGCGATTTCTTATGTGAAACTTCAGTATTATTAAAAGCTTCCTCTTTATATGTAAGCTGGACAAGAGGCAGGAGTGAATGCTTAGGCTGTAAACTGTCAAGAGAGGAAATATTTTATTCAATGTTATGCTTCCCGAGAGAGTTTAAGCCACACGTAATAGAATTTGTCCAGGGCCAATAAGTTCTCTGTATCTGTTACATTTTCCACATTCCAGAGCTCGATTGCAAAGTAAAATGCAACATCAACAATAACAAGAGAAGAAAATCATGTCTGGATGTGGTAAAGGAGGTAAAGGTAAGGAAAAAGAGGCAGCAAGATGTCATGGAAACATTCTGCGCGACAACATCTATGGAATCATCAAGCCAGCAGTCCGAAGAGGCAGGGTTGTCAGTTTAAGTCCTTAAAGTTTTCTTGAAAAACAATATCCGTGATGGTGTGACCTACGCTCATCATGCCAAACGAAAGACTAAATGGAATCTCACAATTCCACCGTCGAACAAAGGGGAGGGAAATAAAACTAACGGCAATGTTTTTGATATCCGTGAAGTTTCAAAAAAATGCCCAGGAAACCAAGCCGATCCCAACTATATTTATTTTATTTGTTTGAATGGACTTGCTTTTAATTTGTTTTAATTGGTCAGGGACCTAAAAAGAACTTTGCTGGAAAAAGATATTCGTGATGGTGTGATCTACGCCCATCATACCATACGAGTATTACAAAGGCAGCACTCCGAGGGGCAGGGGGGTGTTAACTGCATTTCTGGGATTTTTCATGGAGATATCCGAAGAGTTCCTAAAGTTTTCTTAAAAAATGATATCCGTGATGGTGTGGCCTACGCCCATCATGCCAGACGAAAGACCCTTACTGCAGTGGATGTGCTCTACGCCTTGAAAGGCCAAGGCTGTACGCTTTACAGCTTTGGCGGCTACAGAGTTACAGAAACTTCAAAGAAGTTATAAACGGCTTTTTTAGGAGCCAACGCATTTGTTGATAAGTCTTGGTAGGCAACAATGATAGTGAAACCTAGAGATTTCATTTTGTAGATTTTATTTTATTTTATTTTGAGAAGTCGAGAAGAGATTTTATTTTGTTTTTAAACAAGACGTACTTACACTGTTTTCAAGCTTTGTCCTAATGTTTATGTTAGCGCTAACACTAATGAAGTGCTTTGAGTCGCCTGTCTTAAAATGAACTCTGCCTGAAAACCAAACTGTTTTGTTGCTCTAAGGAACAAGGATGGCTACATATAGTAAGGACTGGAGCGGATTTAAAAAGGTTCTTATCAGCGAATATACTATTTAAAGTCAAATGCGTCTTGATACGTAGGAGTCAAATATAAGCAATTTGCAATTTTCCCACTAAAAATGTGACAGCGAAACAATGAAAGGCTGCAAATGTGTCGGGCTGCTTTTGTTTGTTAGATACCTGTGCAATCTCACAATTTCCACCGTCGAACAAAGGAGAGGCAAATAAAGCTAGCGACAATGTTTTTTATATCCTTAAAGTTTCAATAAAATGCTTAGGAAACCAAGCCGACCCCAACGATATTTATTTCATTTGTTTGAATGGACTTGCTTTGAATTTATTTGATTAAGCAAGGGCCTAAACGCGGGATGATATCAATTGACGTAGATTACGCATAGCCATCTCGAATGATTGATCAAAGATTCACCGGGACAAACTTTCCTAAAGGTGATTTCTTACGAAACTTCAGTAGTGTCAAAGACTTTCTTTTTTTTTTCGTAAGCTGGACAAAAAGAAGGAGTCGGTGCTCAGGCTGTTAATTGTCACGAGAGGAAATATTCTGTCCAATGTTATGCTTCCTGAAAGAGCTCAAGCCACTCACCATAGGATTTGGCCAGAGCCAACAAGCTCTCCGTATCTGCTACATTTTCCACATTCCAAAGCTCGATCGCAGAGTAAAAAAGACAACAACAACAACAGTCATAAGAAAAGAAAGTCATGTCTGGATGCGGTAAACAAAGTAAAGGTTGAGGAAAAGAAGGCACAAAGTGTCATGGAAACATTGTACGAGACAACATCCAGGGAATCACAAAGCCAGGAATCCGACAGGGCAGGGCGGTGTTCATTGCAGTTCTGGGCATTTTTACGAAAAGATCCAAAGAGTCCTTATAATTTTCTTGGAAAACGATATCCGTGATGCTATGACCTATGCCCATCATGCCAAACGAAAGACTGTTACCGCAATGGATGTACTCGACGCCTTGGAACGCAAAGGCTGTACCGTTTACTGCTCTGAGGGCTACAGAATTAAAGAAAACCTCAAAGAACTGGTTAACGGCTCTTAACAAGAAAAGTCTGAAAATGTGTTGGGGTGCTTTTGTTTGTTAGAGACCTATGCTATCTCATAATTTCCACCGTCGAATAAAGGAGAGGTAAATAAAATTAACGCCATTTTTTTTAATATCCTTGAAGCTTCAATAAAATGCCCAGGAAGCCAAGCAGATCTAAACTATATTTATTTCATATTTGCTTGAATAGCCTTGCTTAAAATTTGTTTAATTGGTCAGGAGGCTAAATGCGGGATGTAATTTTGTGGCGTGGAAACATTCTACGAGACAACATCCAGGGAATCAACAATCCAGGACTCCGACGGGGTAGGGCGGTGTTAACTGCACTTTGGGTATTTTTAGGAAAACATCCGAGGAGTCCCTAAAGTTTTCTTGGAAAAAGATATGCGTAATGGTGTGACCTACGCACCATTGGCGTGAACGCCCACCATGCCCACCATGTTGATGATTACGCCTCAATTATAAACTTGATTCAATCACTCCCTGTAAACTTCGGTTGTCAAATCAGGTCCGTAACTCTTAAAGAGGTCATCCATGAGTTACGCAACATTCGATCAGACTGTTCAACAGGTCCTGATAACATCCCTGCAAACATGATCAAAATGGTTGCAGATTATCTGGGGTCTCCGCTTACTGATGTCATCAACACCTACGTCAAGAACTTGTACTTTCCATTTGCTTGGAAGCTCGCGCGCGTCTGCGCGATTCCTAAACGGAGCCAAAATAAATCCGAGAAGGACTTACGACCTATATCAATATTACCAGTGCTTTCAAAGGTTTATCATAAACGACTGATTTTCCGTCAACTGTCTGTTTTTATTGATAAGAACAATGTTGTCAACAATAACATTTCTGCCTATCCAAAGGGACAATCGATTACTACTGTACCTCAAGCTATACGAGACGATATAGTAAAAACCATGACTATGATGATCTTAGCCGACTTTTCCAAAGCCTTCGATACGATCTGTCTCGGAAATCTTATCACCAAGATGAGTAAACTAGGTTTCCCCAGAGACTTCCTGATATGGACACTCAATTATATTACGCATCGTAAACAATTTGTACAGATCGATGACACGTGCTAGGAGGTTACAAACGTGAATTTTAGGGTTCCGCAAGGCTCCATCTTGGCTCCGGTGTTATTCAATATTTATGTTGCTGATCTTCAGGAGAGCGTAAATGTCAAATGCTTCCAGTATGCGGACGACACAACAATCTACGATCATGCTAAAATATCTGACCTAAATAACTGTAGAAACACTATCTCCCAATCAATTAATAAACTAAGTGCCTGGTCTAAGCAGAGTACCCTCGCCTTTAACAATGACAAAACCAAGGTCATGATCCTATCCACCTCGCAAATGTCCAGAGTACATCACCTCGACGAGTATGATCCTAACATCGTAGTCAGTGGTTATGAACTAGAACGTATTAAATCTTGCAAACTGCTTGGAGTTCACATCAATGAACATTTTAAGTGGGACGATCACATCAAGCACGCGGTATCTGGATGCTACGCCACTCTATCGATACTAAGAAAATTGAAATACCTTGCCAAATATGAGATTAGAAAGCAACAGGTAGAAATATTTATTTTGTCAAAAATTAATTACCCTTTACCACAATTCTTACTTCGCCGTTTGCAACGAGTTCAATTTGCTGCCGCCAGTTTTGTACTCGGTCACTATATTAAGAACTTTCGGGATGTACTTAAAATCGGATGGCTTCCAATCATTGAGAGAAGAGATTTGAACCTCCTAAAATCATGCTTTAAAGCTTTGCATAAAATTGAGACTTGGCCAGATTATCTTAAATAATAAAACAGGAATGCCGCAAGGAACTGCATTCAAGCAATTCAATTAGATTAGTGGTCCCGACCGAAAACAGCACTTTCCAAGATAACGCGCCGAAGCTATTTAACAAATTTACCAGAATCTCTTAGAAACTGTAAATATTACAGAACCTTTCTAAGACTTTCAAGGAATTTTTTATGTACTAGAGTACAGAGTGATTAGTTAGTTTTGCTATAATTTCTACTTAATCCTACTTCTACTTTTAATTGCATATTGCGTAATCTGTGAATAACTTAACTTGATTTATTTTAACTGCAATTGATGTATTTCAACAGGGAAGAGCCACCTAGTGGATCTGTTAATAAACCATTATTATTATTATTATTATTATTATTATTATTATCATCATGCTAAACAAAAGAACGTTACCGCAATGAATGCGCTCTACCCTTTGAAACGTCTTAATGGCCTTTACGGCTCTGGCGGTTACAGAATTAAGGAAACCTGATTGTTCAATCTAAAAAAAAACTCCCTTAAGTTCAAGAAGGATACATTTATGACGAAATATCCGAAAAATGAGAGTACTCGAAGTTCACTAATCTGCCGGAATAAGAGGACCAAATTCACGTGGAGGAATAATGATTTCATAATTGTCTCAACTATATCTCTTTTTGGTTTTCCTAAATCTTCCTCACCCCCATCGTCCTCATGCCTAAGAACATTCGTCATCGGGCATTTCTTTCTCCTCCTCCGCGGCGCGATCGCCAGTTACGTGAGTGTTAAAAGAAAAGCATCAAGTTTTGTTGGAATATTGACTGCACCCTCGCATAGTTTGGCAGGTTTTGGTGGCCATGACAATTCTTGGTCAGAACTATTTGAAAGATCTGTATCGCGGGTGTGCGGACTGGATGCTAAATTACCCTGATTTTCGATGGAGTGGTCCTATTGTCTAATTGCTAAGATCATGATAAGTTAGGCAGAATTTGGTCGACTTTTAATCGACCGCAAAGTCGTAGAGAAGTTAGGTCGATTTGATACAAGTAGATCCAAGACAAATTGCTCTCGATTCGATACATCTACAAAATCGATTCGATTCATCGACGGAGTCGATTTTGAGACGACTTTTTAAAGAAAACAAAACTAGAAAGAAATGTTAGTGAAATTATCTATGAAGTTAGCGAAAGAACCTATGAAAAGTCAATCAACTGACCTGAAAGGTTAGCGAAACCACCTAAAACATCAGCGAACTGTGTCGTTAGCGAAACGACTCCCAGGCGAAACGACTGGAATTCCCTCAGTGGCCAGCTGAGCCTCTGGAAGATTTTTGGGGTAGAACAAAAAGCTGATAATTATCCAGGGGATCTTACTGAATTGCAATAAGTCATAGAATTCTGTTTCCAACTTTCTTCAAAAAATGTTTCTTTGCTAATTCGAATCCTAAGCATCTCCCATTGATGACCGCATGTGTGATCGTATGTAGTAAGTTGTCTTTTCTCTTGGATCAACCATCTTATTAACTAGCCTGGTATTTTCTGACATACTTGATCGAATAAACCCAAGCAGTTTGTCACAGCTTTGCGATTCGATATCATGCGAACTAATTGGTTTAATCCGGGGCAGATTTACCTTCCAAGCACAAGCACTTGTTTACTTGTCTACTCAGGTATAATCTCGATAGCAGTGGCATTGAGAGTATCTACGAACTGAAGATCAAACACTGATCAGAGACCGAAGACCTAAGAACCACAACCGAAATATCGCACTTTACACTTTGTGGGGCGTTGAAATACAAATTATTGATAGGGGTCCTTGTCTGCGAAAAAAGCTGGGATGAAACTACAAAGCGAAGACGTTCGCGAAAACGCTTTTCAGGAAATACATGATATCACTCGCTATGATTTGAGAGATGTTGAAATAGACGTTATCGATTGGGTCTTCGTTTTCTTGAAAAAGCTGGGTTAAAATACAAAACAAATACCTCGCCTGAACGCTTCGCCGGCGCCCAAATACATCATGTAGATAGTTTTTTGTTTTGAAGAACCTTATAAGGACGAGGTATGGACGGTTAGACAACAAAGCGTAACGAACAATATCATCACGGTGTTTTGCGGCCTGACTAAGCGTTTTGGCAAAGGTTTCCGTTTTGTAGTTTAAGACTACTTTTCTACAAAATCAGGACCCCATCAACAAATATGCGTTATCAACCAGGAGGAAAGTTAAGATGTCTGGTCAGATGGCTTTATTTTGGCCGAGTTCTTTTACGCGTTTTAGAGGACCTAAACGAAGTCGGGGTACATAAACACGTAAAATGAACGTGGAAAATATCTAGGCGTCTTGACCTAGATAGGCTAATGAGGGATATTTCTTCAATAGCAAAAATGTTTCGCCTTACTAATATTCAAAAATGACTTGCTTAATTTGAGAGCCCGGTAGGAATAAAAGCCAACTGTTGCAGCACAAAAGATAGAATCTACGATTTATACGGCTGCGTCTTCTCCTGATATGGTCGCTGTTGTCTTGAACGTTATCCTTCAGAAGTTGTATGACTGGTGCTGCCTTAACCGCCTCATACCCCACCCTGGTAAAACCGAGTATATGATTTTAATGCGTGGCCGGTTTGTTGGGCCGCTACAACCAGTGTTATTGGGAACAGTGTGATCACTCAAGTTAAATCATCTAGGTGTTTAGGAGTAGAAGTTGATAGTGACCTCAATTGGAACGCTCACGTAAAAGAGTTGATTAAGTCCTTTTCACAAAAGTTGAACCTTCTCAAGTTTCAAGCGTGAGCTGAGTTTTATTTCAAAGTAATTCTACCATCTGTTACCTATGGGTTGATTTTATGGGGTTCCTGCGGCAAATCGCTCTTTGATGAGCTGGAGAGGATACCTGTACGTGCCGCAAAGATCATCTATGGCCTACACACCTAGTGATCTGGTCTTAGCCCAATGCAAGGGGCACACTGTTAAAAATTTATACGAACATAGGTTACTTATCTTGGCACATGACTGTTTCTATAACTTTTTACCCGCTCCCATTATGAAGCTGTTTGCGAA